ACACACACACACACACACACACACACACACACACACACAGGGAGAGAAGCTGGGGGTCAGAGCACAAGTTCAGCCATTTATACGCCACCCCTGGAGCAGTTGGGGTTAAGGGCCTTGATCGGGGGCCCAACATAGTAGGATTCCTCTGCCAGCCACAGGATACAAACCAGCAACCTTCCAGCCACAGGCACAGATCCTTAGCCACAGAGCCACCACACCGCCCCATATCAGTTGTAAGTTATTTAAGTAATATCTACAGTTCCTTTACTAAATACACGTTGACATTTCCTGAAATTGTTTTACCACATACATTCTGTATACATTTTTATTTTTTATTGTCTGCAATTAAAATGCAATAGAAACAGGACCTCTATAATTACTTGGTTTGGTTTTGTCACCCTTTTTACTACATTATCAATTTTCCACCCAAAGGGTACCATATTACCCCTGTCTTGAGTGGCTGCTGAAAGTGTTTGGCTAATGGTCTATAAATTATATCCCTCATTTCATTTAGTACAATTGGTAGAATACTGTCAGGCCCTAGAGATTTGTTTATCTTAAGTGCTTCTAATATCTGCAACACATTTGCCTCTTCTATGCTAATACTATTTAGGATATGGCCCTGTCTTTTCTCAGTCTGAGGTTTTTTTTTAGTAATATCTGAGTGAAACATTAATACAGTACATTAGCAATTGTTCTTTCATTTTTTAAAGTTTCTCCTTTTTATCCTTTTTATGAGATACTATACTTCATCCTTTACATAATGGAATCTTGCAGTCCTATAGTTCTGTAGTTCACAGCGAGGTCCATGTACTGTACATAATGTACTATAGGTCAAGTCTAGGTTCAGATGCATTTTGGATCCTTCAGATACTGTAGCTGCTCCATTCATGGACTACTAGTCATTCTTGTTTTTATGATAGGATGTCAAGGCTCCACCTGTTTTTTCAGCAAGTGAAATAAGTTCATCTGAGCCAAGAGCACAATGTGTTTGGTATAGAAGAAGCAGAGGCTTACTGCACATCACTGATGCAATAGGATCAAATTAAATTTTATCTACTGTACCTCATTCCCAAATCAATTACAGTACATTATGCATTAGAAACAAATATTTTAAAACATAAGTGGCAGGAGCAATTTCTTCTTGTTCTGCATATAATTCATTTCATCAGTACCTCAGGTGCAGGGAATGTGTAGAGTCAGAGCTCTAAAATGAAGTGATTAATCATTGTTAACATTTGACCATGTTTAGTGTACAGTATTCTGTTCCGGGAACAATACGAACAAGGACATAGATACTTTAGGGAAGGTTTCCTTAGGGACAATTGGAATCATTCTAGGATTAGAGGATGTGGTATAAAATTAAAAAAATGAAAGTTATTGGTGAAGGAGGTGATATTATTTGATGATGATGAAAGAAGAAACATCTTGAAGAAATATACATTTCCAATATTTCCTTCCTCCGTGTTTTGCCCAGGTAAATGCAGAAAGACAAATGTAAAGCTGGTAAAAAAAATAGATTCTCATCTGCTTAAAGGATTTTTTTATATAGGAAATGTTTCAAGATATGAACAGTTTAATAAGATTGTGAACCTAAGGGTTCACAATATACAGTAGATGTACATTTGCCTAGTAGCAGCAAACGAATTAATCTGAGTGGCTCAAACACTCCAGGCACTAGGTTTGTGGCCATGGGTTTGTCATTGGGTCATGTCACTAACCCGCTGTGGCCATGACGTCCCAGGTGGCTGCACACAATAGGCTGAACATGATCGAGGCTAGTGTGGGCTTAGTCAGCAAGAGCTTTCTCGGGTCTCTGCTATACACTGACCCCTACAGTCACCTGGCCATTTGCAGGCCCCTGGTTTTGTCAGTAAGGGACGTGCCTCTCCTTCCAATCAGCTGATGTAATGATGCTGCGTGTAATTTTTCATTACGTGTAAAAAGTACAGGATGGAGCTGCAGTGCCCGACACCTTTTAAACTATGAGTGGCTCAAAGCTAAGCAAGTGAGTCTGCCTACAATTCCTGGTTCTCTCCTGTGTGTGATCACGGTGTTTGCAGTTGTGAGCCGAGATTGGAAAAACACACAATTGGCTCTGGCAAATTGCACGAGTATGACAAACGTAAGTGGAGATTTCAGTTTTTTGTTTTAAAAAAGGTAATCTCATCTTCTGTGAAATTAACTTGTTTTTGCTTAACAGATTCATTGAAAACAACAGGATAGAGACAACATCTAAATTTGCTTTCCGGGGTCTTCGAGATTTGACCCATCTGTAAGTGTGATGGTTTTCTTTTTCCTTTTTTGTGACATTGCATGAAATTTAGATGGTGGACTGCTAAATGTTTTTTGTTGGCTTGTATTATATGTTTCTTTGGCTCCTGTTCTAGGTCTTTGGCGAACAACAATATCAAGGTTTTGCAAAGAGAGGTCTTTGGTGATTTGGACTCTTTGATAGAGCTGTAAGTAAAATTCATGATTTTTACACCATAATTCAATATACTGTTAGCTAAATGTAATATTGTATTCAAAAGCACTACTTTTTCTTCTGAATTCCTTGTAGAAAGTAATAGTTTATGTTCAAAATTTGTAAACATTCAACATACTGTGTGGAAGGCCAAACTCAGGAATGATTCAAAGGCACCATATGGCATTGGTTTATGTAAACTGTATTTTTTCCTGAAAGATTTTCACATCCTTCATGTGCACAGCTGAAAAATAGTAAAATTGCCAATCAACAGAGGAGGCAAATAGCTTACTTGTTCCTCACAGTATTAAATAAATAAAGCTTTTCATTTTTCAGTTTGACTCATTTTTGTTCTTGGAATGTAACTACGTATGTATGTAGTTTCATATACTGATTTTAAATTAGTGGATTTTTTATTACAGAGCAATTTCTTTATTGGTATATTGTAGAAATCAAAATGTATTTTTTTCTCTTCTATTAGAATTTAGCACTCCATGTTAAAAGTGTGTAAACCTAATTCCACCGTTACGCTATTTTTTCCACATACATTGTTTTTACTAATTATTTAAAACTTGAACAATCATCTTACTCTTGGTTCCCTTGGTGTTACTGTCCAGTATATGAATAAACATATTGCTTATTGGGTTACACCGTTCTGCGAGATTATTTTGATTGCAATTTATGTAGGTTGTGGTTATAAAATTGTATTTTTTGAGAGGAAACACTGCGATTGTGTGACATGATGATCTCAGATGGTAAAGCCTGTAAAATTTCATGTCTGTGCAGAAGGGTTTAAATGTTGCAAAAGGAAGTAAAGTTTTTTTTTATTTCTGTTTCACTTTAGAGGAAGCTTCCTTTATCCAGGCTTGCAGTTTTGGTTTTTTTTTTCTTATTCCGGATTTGGTCTTGATTTTTCTTTGTCTCTACTTAATTGCAGAGATTTGAGAGGAAATGCTTTGGAATGTGACTGCAAAGCCAAGTGGCTCATGACCTGGCTTAAAACTACCAATGCCACAGTGTCTGACGTGTATTGTGCTGGACCAGCCGAAATGAAGGGCAAAAGGTTGAATGATATTCCAAGCCTGCACAAGGAGTGCACATCTACAGGTAGTACAGCCTATGGCAATGCACTGGTCAGCTCCCAGGACCATAATTCACCATTTATCCTAGTCATCCGTTTGATTATTTGTTCAGATGGTTTGGTTTAAAAAATCTTTTTTTATAAGTACTTTGCCATACAGTTGCCAATGCTGCTTGCAGAACTACGCATTGGGTTGAGATAGGGGTCTTTACTGGGTAAGTGTAATCTGCATCTGAGATTCCTGCTTCACTGAAGTAGGTAAAGTGGAAATTTAGGGCCTGTTTATACTGCAGTCTCTGGCCAACACTGCGGCCAAGGGAGTGTACAGTTTAGACATCTAGCTGAAAATCATTGAGCTTGAAAATAAATGTCACTAGTCACAACACTTATTTCACACTGTCTGAACTTTGACCTTGTTCCTATGTAATATAATGCTAAAATAAAAGATTGTTGGCATTCCCACTGTTCTTTTTTTAATGATCCTTATTATGATAAGGAATGTTATAGTTAGGAATAAAATCAACAACAATCTTTGACAAAAAAATAACACTTCCTATGAAGGTAACATAAAGAACAGGCTTTATAAGCAAGTTGCTAATGGAGTTTTTATTATCTTACTGAATTAACTGAATGATTCTAAAACAAGTGTTTTTTGCATTCTTGTTTTTGTAGACCTGAGTATGATATATAGCATTAATTTATTATTTTAGGAATATGCCCTTTTTGAAATAAGGTCAAATTGTATTCTAGAATTCGTGTTCTGCTGTTCTTTTTTGCTAGCACAATGTTAATAAATGTCATTCACAAAATACCTGCTAATGTCCTAAGTACTACACACCAGTACTTCTGTTTAATGGTTTGAAGCTACAATATATGGCACTAGTCCATCACAGGGCACATACTTACAGGGACAACTAACAAACAACTAACATATCCAGCATGTCTCTGGAAAGGCAGAGGAAAAATGTGTTTGGAATAGAAGAAACAGAAGCTTACTGCACATCACTGATGCAATAGGACCAAATTACATTTTCTCTACTGTACCTCATTCCCAAATCAATTACATTATACATTAGAAACAAAAAAATCTTCTTGTTCTGCATAAGTTCATTTCATCAGTACTTCAGGAGCAGGGAATGTATAGAGTCAGAGATCTAAAATGAAGTGATTAATTATTGTTAACATTTGACCATATTTAGTGTACAGTATTCTGTTCCGGGAACAATACGAACAAGTACATAGATACTTTAGGGAAGGTTTCCTTAGGGACAATTGGAATTGTAATTCTAGGATTAGAGGATGTGGTACAAAACCACAAAAATGAAAGTTATTGGTGAAGGAGGTGATATTATTTGATGATGATGTTCAGCATGTCTCTGGAAAGGCAGAGGGAACTGGAGAACCTGGAGCTAACACATGAAGACACAGGGAGAACGCACAAACCCCACAGTAGTCACCCCAGGAAGGAAATGTAGGACTCAAAAGTGTGAGATGGCATTACTATCCTTCTCGTCACCTGGCTTACAACAACCACTCAAAAACAACATGACTGTGGTATTGTAACAGGCCCCAACCTACTGTATATACCTAAAGATAACTCAAGGGGCCTGAGCACATCAAAAACGCATAAGGACTTTGACTGCGGTGAAGGAATATTTATTTTTTAGAATAACACTCAAAACTACACTTGCCATTTGCTATTTTAAAACCCCACCACCAGCTTCCACTGAGGTCTTTGGTATACCAAACATAACTGTTCACACCCACACGAGAATGTGTGAATGAAATGAACAATTAATTAACATATTTTCACCTCTACTGTGTCTATTTAAAAGGATTCAAGTCATTTAATGGCCCCTAGAGGCTTTTTAAAGAAAGACTTAACAGTACAACTTTATAAAACTCTATATAGACCCAATTTATAAATAAAAAGGCCCAAACTTGCAAGATAGGAAAGAGCATTACAACATGTAATTTATATATCCTGTCGCAACACATTTTTGGAAACTTGCAGTTAGTGTGTATTCTATTTATATTGTAGATATACAATTTCTAAAACAGTGAAATTAGGATGCACTCAGTAAATAATCACAGCCTCAGATGTTTCTGATAACATCCAATCTCCAGTCCATATATAGCAAAGAACACATTTTTAATCCCTGTAATCACAGAGAACTTTCTAGTTTCACTAGCATGTGGATTAATTAATATGTTTTTTTAAAAACATTAAAAATAAAGCATTAAAAAAATAATATTCTTTATTCTCATTTTTGAAGGATGACAACAATGATGAATGGATTAAAACTTAATCTAGACGTTTTCTGTAACTGTTTTCAGTGACAGTCAGGTAATGGGGTATAAATATGCAGTTAAGGTAGTAGGATCTTATATTTTTATTTCAGAAATTAATTCCAGCATCCTTGGTTATACAGTATAAAACCAACTTTTTCAAGTCAAGCCTTGTGCCTTATTTTTGTTGTATAATACAGTACTTGAGAATGTACACATTGACTAAATTCAAATAATTAATCTCCACTGTCAACTCCATATTATAAACCCAGTATTTGATGACAGCTTTTTGTTTACAAGAAACCTCTTCTTTCTGCCAAATGGAAATCTGCAATCAGGCAGTGCGTTTGTAATTTGCAGCTGACACAGGGTTTGAAGTTCTGATTTGCTACAAGCCCAAGTAATGTTTTGGTTCCTGCTTCTCATTGTTTATTAATCTTTATTAATCTTTATTATTATTAATCTAAATCTTGTTTCTGATCCTTTCTACAGACTTTGTCCTCCATCAATCTCTGGCATTTCAGTCTTTGTCGGTGGACACCTTTCATTATAAAAATGATGTCTTTGCTGCCATTGCTGCTCCGAACACAGAAAACTGCATGGTGATGCAATGGGACCATATTGATAAAAATTTCAGGAGCCATGATAATATTACAGGTGACAACTCCTTCATGAGATTAAACCTTTGATCTTTAAGACCTGCACGCACAAAAATCCTAACGTATACAGGTGTGATCACTTACTTTTTAAGAATAATCCCCAAATCCTGAAATGCAAATGAGATGACAGTGTTTTTCATGCATTTCAAATACACACGTCTGCACTCTTTAGCTTTACCAGTCACTGTTATTGATTTGCTCTGGTTTATAAAGATTAGTTTGCTTGGAAGCTGGCAGCAGGCAATCTCCAAAGTCTGCTTGTCCACTTTTTTTAGATGCACCCTTACTGGGTTAAGATGAGTGCAAATGTATGGAATGGTGGATATGTCAGAGGAATGACATGTCTGTCACCAGCTTAAATAACAGCTAGTCTCTGGAGCATTTCAGTAATTAACAAGACAAGTTATTTAACATCCACTAAACTCACTTCAGTTAAAATGCTTTATTCTTCAAAGCTGGTGTCTGATTCATGAATTATTATTGTCTTCTTTTTCAATACAGGGCAGTCAATTGTTGAATGCAAATGCGTATTGATTGAAGATCAGATTTTTATCATAGTGGCGCAGCTTTTCGGAGGCTCCCATATCTACAAGTATGATGAAAGCCAGACCAAGTTCATCAAGTTCCAAGACATTGAAGTTTCCAAAATCTCCAAGCCCAACGATATTGAAGTGTTCCAAATCGAGAAGGACTGGTTCTTCGTCATTGCAGACAGCTCCAAAGCTGGACTATCCACTCTTTACAAGTGGAACAGTAAGGGTTTTTACTCCTATCAATCCCTTCATGAGTGGTTTCGGGATACAGATGCTGAGTTTTTAGATTTGGATGGGAAGCCTCACTTGATCTTAGCCAGTCGCTCCCAGATCCCGGTGATTTTTCAGTGGAATAAAAGCACCAAAAAGTTCACCCCACATAGTGAGATTCCCAACATGGAGGACGTTGTGGCTGTGAAAACCTTTCACATCAAAGGAGAGCTGTACTTAGCTATGACCCGCTTCATCGGGGACTCCAAGGTGCTCAAATGGAGCAATAAGCAGTTTGTGGAAGTCCAGGCCTTGCCTTCCCGGGGCTCTATGGTCTTACAACCCTTCTCCTTCAAGGACAGACACTATCTTGCCTTGGGAAGCGATTACACCTTCTCACAGATATACCTCTGGGACGAAGAGAAAAAACTCTTTGACAAATTCAAGGAGATCTACATCCAGGCTCCGCGCTCCTTTACTGTAGTGTCCACTGACCGCCAGGATTTCATCTTCTCCTCCAGCTTCAAGGGCAACACCCAGATTTTCGAGCACACCCTGGTGGATTTGAGCTTGTGAATGCAGGCACTTAACCCAATCTTCTGTGATCAAGCTCATGAAAAAGACTTCACTTTTCATTTATGTCAGGTATTTATTCATGTTCAATACTTCCTGCATTTTTACTAAACTTTTAATCTGTCGTTGCTATTGGCACTCTTCTAACTACTTGATATTAACACATAATGAATAATAATTCCATTACATTTGAAGGAGGAGACCCTTCACAGCCATTATAAAGCAATTTCATTTTCATTGTAACCAATTTAGGAAGGAAAATGGGTTGTGAATGTCAACTAGATTCTAGTTGCCACATTTCCTATGGTGACATACTGTATTACCTCTTCAAGAGCTGTGTATTTAACTCCCTGTGGCATCTGTTATCCTTGCTTTATCGCTCATCATGACTGTATGAGGAAACACCCTCTGGAATACAGTTTGTGCTGAACAAAGAAGAGCCTGACAAGCACAAGCCTTCATAGGTACTCCACTGTTTCCTAAAGCTCATCTTTATTGCACCCGAGGGAAAGAAAAAGATCCCATTTAAGCGTTTCTTCTTGATCCCATCAGGCATTTTTAAGAAACGATTACTGAAAGCCAAGGCTCTATATTAACCCCCAAAGTTATTTAATGATGACAACCAAAGCAAACTGTATAATGATGAAGCAGTATATGATACTAGTATTTTTTATAGTTAAGCCATACTGTAGCTCTGGAGTGATTGGTAATAGGATTTGGTTAGCCAGGGACACAGGGTACCTGGAGAAAGTGAATTATGATATAACTCAATGCATGGACATTCCTAGCACTTGCAGATAAACAGAACTGCTGTCAAAATCTATTCTAAAAAGCCAATATTTTAACAATTAAGAGACTCTGTTTTATATGAATGTAATATCAACCAATTAGGAGTCAACCAAAGCTGGACTTCACTCACTCACGCAAACTTTTTTACCTCTCGTTCTAGCACTGAAAGCTTCCTCTTACAGAATGCAACATACTTTTTTAAGTATTCAGGTTTATCCTGTGTCCATGGGATACCATAATGTTGGAAAGTGGCAGGAAAGACTGCCTGGGACTTTCAAACGGTAAAACGCACAGCATGTCAGTGGTGAGTAGTGAAAAATGAATATTCCCCTCACGTGTTATAACTTAATTGATAATACAAAACCAAAAGGAATTCTGTCAGAACAGGGTGTTTTAAAAAACAGATGTAAATCTTTTTAAACCACAGTGAATAGACCACATTCCTCAGTCAATAGAGTTAATTATTATATCCTTAACTTCTATTTCTTAGAGGGGAATTTCTCATTTGAACTCCACACCTGGCTACGGGGGTCTGATAAATATAAAAGATTGAGGACTTTGAACTAAAGGTAGCTACAGTAGCAGTCCATCAGAAAATGCATTGCTGATACATATATGTTTTAGACCAAATCTCATCAGAACGGTAAGAAACATAAAAGATAGATGTGGGTTTTGTATTTGCAAAGGTGGCTATGCACCGCCATGCCATCATATTCTTATGAGAGTAGTAAGGTCCAGTACAGCACTGTATTGAACTGCAGCTGAAGAAACAATCAGGTATTGTGCTATTGCTCCTTCCAACAAAGAGACTATTGCTCCTGTTGCAAATATGACATGCCATTCTGAATGCCAGTAAAATTATGCACACAACCCAAATGAATATGCTGCTTGTAAGAGCATGCCATTTGAGACCCGAGTGTTAAATAAATTCTAGTTTGTACAGTTTTAAAACCTTGAATAATCTATATTAAGGTACTAATGTTAGTACCGGTGTGGAAATAGTACAGTACAGCATATGGTATTATACTTAATAGTACCATTTAATGAAATATGCAAGTTGTATGATGTAGACATTTTTGTATCATAAAAGATACTGTATATGGATAAAATCTTATTGAATGCTAGCCTTGTAGATATTCTTGAAAAATACAATAAAGATGCTCATGATTAACAATTTAGGTCTCTTTTTACTTCAATAAACACAGATTTATGCACAAAGAACCTACTGGGAATTCATTCATTTTTATATTTTTATAGTATTAGTGTGTTTCTTACATTGACAGCAAAATGGGTGTTTCTTCTATGTTTTAACTAATCTTTTACATCTTCATGTGCCAGCATACAGAAAACAAAGACAAAGTAGGGAACAGAGAAAATAATTTAGCACAAACCATTTAAAGGAAGTCAATACAAAGGTTAGGAAAGATTGTATATCTATTGAAGTCCATTAATTAATCTCTCATTCATACAGCTCTAAGAATATTTTATAACTCTCTTAATAGCCTAGACAAGAGATTCAAGTGTTTATTACACTTCAGGTGAACATCCATCACATGCTAAATTATTTATAGGAATAATCTGGTATTTAAAGAAGCATAAAACAACGTCAGGTTGAATACAGATGATTCAGCACAGGTGTTCATTTAGCAACATCAGCAATGCATAAATTTGCACACAGATATACTATCATTTAAATATATAATATCATATTAATATGTAAACATAATAAAGTTCATTGTACATAGAATTGTATATAATGACACTTCAAAAGTATTTTAAATTGAGAAAACTGCATCAATGATTGCATGGTGTGTTACATGATGTAGGTTGCTGAACAATGTTATTAACAAGAAATCGCCAAGCATTAAGTATACTTAATTTAAGTATTTCCTTGAGGTGAACTACTTTGAAGACATCCCAGGTATCACTGAAATTGATAGTTTTTTGTTTGTAATCTCTTGGGAGCCATTGTTTATGTTTTCACACACACTGAAGATTGTCAACAACTTTTCTACCAAAAATAAATTAACACTTACATTTGAATTATTTCATTGCTTGGTTTCTTCATATTTAATTGACTCAAGCTTTTGTCAATTATACAGTACATTCCGAATAACTCATCAATATTGCTACTAGGAATCAGTCTGACCCAGTCAGGGGGATACTGTGGTAGTTTGAAAAAATTACAGTGAAGTCACAATGCAAAAAACAAAATATAGAAGAAAACCTTATGCATTTCCCATATTCTACATATTTTAATGTTACTTTGGAAATTTACTATTCATTTTGTTATCATGCTGCTCAATTTAGGCATTATTTTCAGCTGTAAGACCATTTAAAAAAAATCATCTCAACGTTTCCAGCCTGGGAGTCAGTTTGCAACCCTAGTATTGTATGATATGACGAACATAAGCTCTGCTGAACTGTAAAGTATGTACAATCCTATGGAAAACTAAACAGGACACAACTATTTTGCAAAACAATAGCTTTTATCTTTTTATTTTTATTCCAGTGTAAAGAATAGAGAACGATATTTGTTTTTAAAATATATTTCTCTGTGAAGTGACTTTATCTGTCTATCGAGTGATTAAAAAGTTGTTGTATTCTGCTGACAGAATTGCTCAGGCAAGCAGTTGATGTTTTGTGGCCCATTAATCATTCAGTCCCCAGGCCCACATTCTCACACATAATAAATAGAGCAGGGGTACATTATTGCTTATGAAAGGAGAATCGTGAGCACCTATAAACCTGTAATAATACATAGTTAGTAGCCTGGGAGAAATGGTCAGTATTTAGTAATGCTGACTCTAGAACCATAAAGCCCAAAGCCGTCCTGTAAATATACTGTATTTCACTGCAGTTTTGGGCAGACCTGCTGTGTACTGTTCCTTTTGCACTCTTACCTTAGGCATTGGAGGGATATTAAGAATAAAGTACAGACTAGTTTAATTTAAATTGGAATCAAGCAAAACTGTCCCCATGTTCAGTTTATTGGAAGAAAGAATGAAAAACAGTCTCAGTATATTCTTCCTCAGTATCTAACAGTATATAAAAGTTAAATGTAATCATGGATCATCTGTTCCACTGTTTAATCCTAAACATGCATTTAAAGGTATCAGTTCATCACTGAACACTACTCATATTGTTATTATGATTATATTACTTCATTATACAGTATACTCAGTTATTAAAAATACACTCACACCTGAAGAAGGCTCCATAGCCGAAATGTTGTGTTTCTTTCTTCTTTTTTTTAGCATGGAATAAACCTATTACTTGTTCCTTATTCAAAATACTATTAAAGTCAATATACTGAGCCGAGTTCATATTGCAAATTCTGAAATGGAATAACTGACTTTATTGGGTCAGTAGCAGTTTATTGATCAAAGGACATTCTTAGAATTCTTCCCAACTGTTCACATTGAAACAGTGTATTTTTTATGGCAGTCTGCTCATTTGTCCACTGGATCATTGCTCTAACAAATCACCAGATTTTCTGACACCTCATTATGTAGTATTAGAATTGTGATTAGATCAGATCAAAACCCTGGAATTGTCAATTGCCTATTGGACAAATTGCTGATCAAACCTTTGGTCTGGTATTCTTGGCCCAATGGGCTCTTGGACCTAACAAATCAGCCACAGACCACTGTAATGAATGTTTCACGTTTGGTCTTAATGGTGTCTCCCTTGACAAGGTACGGTATATTCTGTCTGAACACAAAAACACCACAGTGAAGAAGTGAATGAAAGTGCGTTTATACCTCTTTATGTATAAAAATAGTTTATGGAAAAACTGACAAAAATAGCATGCACATTTTTAAGTCATGTTTTCAGTAAAGCTTGCAAAATCAGAATGTTTAGCTTTTTTCTTGCTGCTGAATGGAAAGCAGGTGAATCACCATTATGCTGCTGTGGAAAATGAATTTCCACTGGTGTTTCTGGAACAGCTGCCATTGGAGCTTTTATTTAAAGGAAGCATTTCACAGTGCTGGGACCCTAGGTTCAATTCCAGTCCTGTGTGGAGTTTGTGTGTTCTCCCTATGTTTGTGTGGGTTTCCTCTGGGTACTCCAGTTTCCTCCTGCAATCCAAAAGTACTGGTAGGTTAATTGGTTTCTAGGTAAATTGGCCCAAGTGACTCAGTGTGTATTTGTGTCTCTGTGTGCCCTGCGATGGACTGTTGTCCTGTCCATAGTGTATCTAGCCGTGTGCCCAGTGCTTGCTGGGATAGCTCCCCCATGACCTCCTAAATTGGAAGAAGTGGTTAGAAAATGGATGGATGGAACCATTTGAAAACATGGCTCCTACGATTGTGCTCTTGGCATTTCAGTTGACTTATGAAAAATAAACAGATATAATTACATTCTCTTGATGTTTCTGGCATTTAGGAATTTGAGTTTGAAGGTGAAGGAAAACAGTCAATGTTTTTTAAACTACTGAGTGAAACGGCTAAAACATATCTTAAAATCAATACTAATAACTCCAGAATAACTCCCTTTAATGTAGTTAATGTAACAACAAATATGCACATCCACACAACTAACATAAAATACAAATAAAAGGCATTTAGCACTTGACTGTCTTGATCATTGAAAAATTCTAAGCAAATTAAACTGTATATTAATACAAGCAGGAAAACTAATCAAACCAAATCTTATCAGACCATCATTCTGGCTAAGAATTATGACAGTAACTGCTCTGATGTTTTTGTGTAAGTGCAAATACAGTTACTTTCTTGTAGAAACATAATGTAATCATCGCAGATAACATACAGTATATCCAATACTGTACATGAAGAACTAAAGGGAACCTTCAAAGAATAACTGTAGAGCTGTACTTCCTAAAACACATACATTTACCTTATAAAATGTAATATTTTTCAGCATCAAATTCATAAAAATAAATAATCATACTATCATACTTTCATTTGAAATAAGAATGCAAAACAATTTTTAAATGTTAAAATGTTTTCGAAAACTGAAACATGAGATGGAGCTCTTGAGCAAAATACAAATTAAGTGAAGTCTGTTGCACCACCTCGTGTTCAAGAAAATCTATTGCAGTTCCAACAACTTCAATAGACACTATAAAGAACAACTAATGTCATAAACATGATTGTAAATGTGTTTCATCATTCATTCATTATCCATTACTCCAACATCCAATAGACCATTGGTTCCCACAGAAATTGAACATCTGTAGAAGGACAAAAAACACTGTGCAATTGTTTGTTAAATTGTATGTTTATTTGTGGGTAGATAAGGGTGGAGGTACAGTAGCTAAGAAAACTTACTGCACTTACTGCAAATTATGGACAGACCAACAGTAGGACTGAATAAATATAATGATATTTAATTTAACTTCCAGAAACCAACAAAATGTGCAAAACATTTTGTAGTGGCAAAGCTTTTACATGGCTGAATATTATACACAATAAATGTACCCTTAACACAATTTACCTCCTACACTCCTACACTGATCCAAAAACTGATCTGCCCTGTGGCAAGAGATTAGGCTCTTTTCTATACTAAGCCCCTCCCATAAGAGCATTTTTTGTGGAGGCACCTATAAAGGTATCCCTGGAGCTTAAAGAAGGAGACATAAAATGGTGAATGCTGTTTGTTTATGTTAGTGTGTGTATAATTTGTGTTGTGTTAACTTTTACATAGCAGTGTATCTACAGTAGCAATCAACCTACATAAGTGCACTGATGAAATAAATCACTAGATACAAAACAAGAGATGTTAGTGAGATAAATAAATGTTTGTTTATTTAATTAGAGACTTTGTTGTCAAGTATGTGTAGTTGTGTGTGTGCTGCAGTGAGCAGGGGACCGATCATTCTGTAACATGGTCATTCACTCAGACAGGAATAAGAAAGCACCCTCTTAATAAACACATTTAGGAGACTGCCTTGAGTTTCATATTCAACTTTTTTGGACCAATACACTTGACATCAGGTATTTGTGATCCAAAAGACATGTAAACAAAACAAGAATGCAGCTCAGTTGAAATGAAAATCAGCAGACATAGTGGTTTCCTTGAAACAGATGATCTATGGAACAAATATCTCTCTGATTTGTAAACATCCTTGTATTCTGACACTCTGACAGATGGTCCTGAGGTTGAGCCTAATCCATTAGGGGATACAGGGACTATACCCTGGACAGATTGACAGTCTGTTGCAGGGCACACATAAATATGTATAAACTAGCAAGTATTTGGAAAGGTGAAAGGAAATTGGAGCACTTGAAGAAAATCCACATAAACATTGAAGACATCCATATATAGTATAGAACCCAGGACCTGAAATCTATAAGGTACTGTAATACTGCTGATCTCCATGTTGCCAGCATGAGTTCTGGCAGGTTTCAGGGACAGTCTTGTAGAGGGGACTGAAATCTCAACCCAGCTCCCCAGGGTAAAATTCCCAACACCCAACCCCTACAGTTCCAGTCATATTGTCTCCTACACCAGATCCCTGTCACTGACATGTGCTCCCAGGAGAAGACATGACTTCATGCACTGCTGCAGCTGCTCCTCATAATGAAGCAGTCATCATCCCTCCAGAGTCATTCTTGCCGTCTAGTAACATCCCAGTCCCACAGGAGTGTGCAACTACTAGCTAAACATGATGGTAATTGGGTACAAAAGGGGTGCAAAACCAGGGAAACTATTTACATGAGTCCAGGCAATCTCGCGACTGTGTACACCTGTTCCACAATTGGTCAGCTGCACTGGCCAGAGGCTCTCCTAGTCCTCACCCTGGCCACTACTACTCCTGTCCTGCCCCTCGCCACACAACCCAGCCGGGAGCTCTTCGGCCACAATGCCAGGCAAGGGTGCTACAATACCTTAAGGACTGCCTGGAGATCCGGGTGGCTTACTGGATGTCCAGTGTCCAGTTAAACTACTACTCTGCCTCAAGGTTGGTGGAGAGGCAGTTTGTGTTTTCTGGACCCACTGATGCTGTGGTGCTCCTCTGGTTCCCTGCTGAGTCCTACTATCCCTTAAAGCAACATTGGGGACTTTTAGGCAACCTGGTGAAACAGTCAGTGGGTACCAAGATGTTTTGAGTCCTGGCATCCATGGAAAGGAGAGAACAATAAAGCAGTATCCAATGAAAGCTTGATTTGCTAGTACTGTACCTCATCAATCCTGGGCAATGTGTATGAGGACTTGTGAGTGCTTCCATTAAATAATGATCTACAAGCTCCATGAAGTCGCCTCCCCTGCAAACAGCACCAAATCTAAATGGAGTGTCTTTCCTAACCTCAAGTCTTACTAGCTAATATTGGAGGGATATTAAGCATCAGGGTTTACCACTGGTTTGTCATCTTTAGGTGTCCAGTCAGTAATGCATTCTGGTATCTGAAATGGAGATGTTCATTTGTGTGCATGCAGTCCCCATCACAAGCTGCAGATATGTCCCTGATTTTCAGTTACTGGAGAACTACAGGTATTTAGGATATGCACGCTGCACCGGTAAGAACCTAATAATATAGTAATAACTAGTAAGAAATAATGGTATAAAGAAAATGTATTATTATTATTATTATTATTATTATTATTATTATTATTATTATTATATGAGATTGAATAAAATAACACATAGGAACATAATATTTTTGGAAAAAAGAATAATACAATTATGAATATTTTGTTGATAAACAGAAACATAATAACATTATGTTTTGCGACATGCACGAATGACTTCATTATTTGCAGACAGCATTTTAAACAGAGACGTGAGTGGGGAAGATATGAAAAGGTAGATCTTCCTGACAAGCACGCTCTTGCATCAAAAAGAAAAACGACGGTGCAGGAACCTCCACAGGCTTCCTCAGCCTGGCCGGGGGTTGTGACGGATTTCCATCAGAATCCGGTTCCCTGTATCCTCACATCCTGACTCCGCCTTGCAGCTGGGAGCTGACGTAGGGTAAACAGAAGGGGATGGAAGTGAGGTAGAGCCCGTAGAGGAGGGGTTTGCGAGGAGATTCCCGAATTACATACCTGGCTTGTTTTATTGCATCAACGACGATACTTTCTTATAGTATTAGAAAAACCCGAAGAGAAATGACTTCTTCCAAAAGAAGCGAAAGCGACTGGCAGGGGTTGGTTAGTGAGGTGAGTGCGCAAATGTCTTATCGGAGTGTCAAATACTAGATGATCTAGTATGCGTGGGACACGACACGGCGTTTCCAGATGGGAAAAAAGCAGTTTTTATGCTGTGGTCTGAACTAGAATATGAGTACCAGGAATTAAATGCTGTCTGGTTATAATACACTTTCAGCTTTCAGGGAAAAAAAAACGGGGAAAATTATGTGGCGTTGCACCTGAAGGTTACCGGTAACTTGGTAAATTTACATAGGGAGCATTTCAAATGTCATTTGTATGCGTAATTGTATTGAATCTTGGTGGCAAGTACGCATTGGACGGCCCGTTTTAGCACAAATACTACCATATGTTATTAACAAATACTGAAAATAATGTACAGTACCAACCAAAAGGTCGTGATGTATCTAAGATTAGAGCTTTGTTCTTGTGCAGTTTGTAATATATCTGCAGCGGTCACAAATCCCAATTTAGTGTGTACGCTTGTAACCATTTTGTATCTACTGGAATAGCATTCAGCGTGTACTGTAACAGCTGATTGCCAATGGTGGTGTAATTTAGGACACCTGTAAACGTTTCCAGACAGGATCCGTAACATATGGGACCATATGAAAATATGAGCTGAGAATCTTGAAACGGATTTTCTATTTAATTTTAAACACGAAAATATCGTGGGACATATTAAACCTTTTATTAATTTTATTTCTGTTTTACATTTTACATACTAAAATCCTGAAAACGGTAATGCATCGTTGCTGGATACAAAACTTAATATACCTGATTTTATAACTTGAAGTTTTCTTTGCAGTTGGTGCTGACATTTAACTTGTTTTAGCCATAAAAGTGTTCATTTTGAACGTTCAATTTTAAACCAAGAAACTTTAAAGACGTGCATACTGTACATGATTTGTGATTAAAACAAGATGGAACATCGACGAAAGGGGGTGAATACTTTTGCAAGGTACCGTTACGTGCATGTATACCAAAGTGCATCGAAAGTCAGATAATGAGGTGGACAGTTCGAATATGTAACATTACATCATACATCTACATCTACATCTACATCTCTTCCCATGAAATGTGTCATGATTTAAGTTATTGATCATTAATTGCCCATGTTACTGATTTTAAAAAGATGGCTTTACAGTTAAGCACATCTGTGGGATGCTGTTTATATAGGGAGAAAATAAAATTTTCCAAAACAACAGTAGCAATTGTTAAGAATTTAAATATGCTGGTATTTACATCAAGAGCCTCAGACAGGAGGTCTGATAATTCCAAATACATTAAACTCTGCCCTGCAACAGACTGGTGTCCCTCCCAGGGTGTATCCTGTTTTGCATCTGTCGCTTGCCAGGATGGGCTCTGCTGCCCTGCTACCCTGAACTGGAGAAAGCAGTTAGAAAATGAATAGATGGAAATACATACTATACTTTCAGAAAAGTCAGGAGTTGTTTTGAAGCAGATACATTGATTGGTTTGATCTGTTTTGATCATGTTTTCTTCACTGGTTTATTTATGGTGACAAATTGTACCAAGGTAAGAGAGAAGAACAGTCATATAGACAGGGAAAAGGATCACGTACTGTAGAGGCTACTTCCACACTGTAATGAAAAACAGACTGTAATACACCTAGGCAAAGTGTTAGGTATCGGGCTCTCATCTCCTTTAGAAGCTCCCTTCATTTTGTAAGCTTCACTGTTACAGTACATTACAGCAGAAGATGTTGGAGAAAAGGATACATTTTCCTCAAAATTAACAACCAATTTGATAAGATGTTAAGATGTTTTTTTAGTACCATGAACTTTTTTTTTTTCTTAAGAGAGATTTCATGTGGGACCTTACATAGTAGCTATGTTGATGTAAATGAGAAGGATTAATTTAATAGCAGTAATTGAGGAAGTAATTTTTACAATACCTAAAAGCAAAGCAAAGTGCCCTGAAGACATATGACTGGCAGAACATGCAAATATTTACAATTTGACTGCGCTGGAAGGGAGGCACAAGGAGAGGAAAAAAACAGCTCAGAGTAGCAAAATTTGTTTTGTAAGCAGTTTTGTAGATTCCCCTTGTCTAATTTGAACCTGTAGATTGCTGTTTTCTGTATCTCACAAACAGTCATGTGGTTTTGTGCTCTCATAAAACTGCAGTAATGCTTCAGTATCTAAAATGCTTTGTAATTTTAGAGTAATAATTAAAACGCTACTGCTAAGAACAACTGCTGAGAAGTATACTCTCTTATTAGCAGTACTTTGAATCTATACAGTATAAGTGCATTATATACTGTAAGTGTAATATTCGTACATTTATTGTAGTCATAAAATAAAGCTTTCTGCATGATTCAAAACTTTGTATCAAGCATTTATTCTCTGTATTACATGTTGAGTATTTACATACTTGTCAGTTTTCAAACAAGCTACTTTAATTTTTTTTTGGTGGAAAGTGTATTAGTATTCCATTATAGTCATTTTTCAGATTGTGTCAGTTCTTATTTTCATTATTAAAATATGGTTGAATACTGATATTCAGTGACAAATTGTATTGGAGACAAGTGAGCTTTTTTTAGAGTGCAAGCTGGTGCCTTTCAGAGTTAAATATGGGTGTTTCAATTTTTATCTCAGCCTGTTCAATAGTTTATTTTTCCACTGCTACAGTACAGAACATGGTGTTGGTTTAGTAGCTCAGGTGGGGGAGGGTACTGTAAATTAAGGCTAATGCAGATTAGCAGTACCTTAGTACAAGTTAGCAGAAGGTTGTTGTCTGGGGCCATGATGGAGAAATGGTTGTGAAAAGTTTCACAGTATACTTCGAGACTTTTGCTTTTGTGCTGACATACTGTACAGTGGTGATCACAACAGAAATGGGGATGTAGATTTGCATATTATTGCATGTTATTACAGCCGATATGATTTTAGGAGTGATAAAAGAATAATGAATCATTGTACATGTTGGATTGGTTCCAGAAGAATGAATCCAGAACTGTTCATCACTTTTAAAGAAAATGGAACTGTGGATGATTATTTTTAGAAAATGTTTAACTTTACCATTACAAAGCTATGCTCTGTGATCTTATTCCTGTATTGTCATTCCTAAATTAATGTTTTGGCCTGAGTGCAAATTGGTAGTCCATCTCAGTTAGCTGATATATTTTTTTTCAAAACTCAATACAGGTGTGTGTTTAGCAAGGTATTTCTTATATTTGCCTTAAAAAGTTATAATTATAATTATAATAATTAATAATTATAATAAAGCTAGTCTTCATTGCCAAATCTAACTCTAAAATCCTGTTGGTATGTGAAGACAGCAGGAACGGCAGATATTTAGACACCTGGATAATTTTGAAATGGACAGCTTGGTTTCTAAACATGCGCATGTACTCTAAACAGCTGTAACATAATGAATGGTGATCTGCATCTAAATGAAAGCCTTTGTCATATTAAACACTACATACGATTAAACTGTACACAGTTTTCATGCTTAGTCTTGTCACCATTTCATCAGTTGTTCTAGAATAGATAAAGATAAGACCTCTATGTCCAAATCTCAGAGAAATGCATTTAAAATATTCAAGTTCTCCCTTCATACATTTTCCATTACTGCCTCATCATAAGCTTTTATATTATGCTTTTTTTCCCTAATAGTTCTTTCTCAATAATTAAAATAAAACCAAAGTGCAATTTTCAATGTGCCCACAGATGTAAAGATCCCTGTTTCTACATCTTGTGTAAATTTCATAATTCAAATTGGTAATAGGTTTTTTAGGTGGACATAGTTTTGTTCCAGGATTTCAAGACTTAAGAAAAAATTTGATAAAGAATAAAGAGGAACCAATACTATCTTCTCTATCTTACTGTACATCATTTTTAAACATGGGCTGTGTTGTTGTAGTGCTAAATATAGTTCCTGCCTTGCTGAGAGTTTGATCCTTGCCAAGCTCTCTCTGTATATGGAATATATAAAATCAATCTTGAAAAGTAGCACTGGGGATACATAATAAAATTAAATAATACAATAGTTGTTTTATATTAGAGCATTATATTAATAATTCTTAAATCTAGATGAACTACAAGACAACAGTTAATATAACTACCCAGGGTTTCATTATTTCCAGAAGCTCACTAACATTTGAGATGCATACAGTATGCTAAATAATTGAATGTAGGCTTGGCAGGTAGATAAAAACAAATGTCTGTGATTAAGGTTGTCTGTTGTAAAAAAGAGCGTGATTATACCTTTTTATGATGAAATCTTTGCTTTATACCATGTATTTGTTTTTTAGTACTGAGTATCAAAATAAACTTATGGCTCTGCATTAATTGATCTGTTGTACACAACAATTAGCATATCATTCTGAACATTTGCATCACATCTACTGACATCTAGCAGGGTGGTCTTCACAAAATCTTAATCCGTCACTTGCCACTGCAAACTAGTCCACCAGAGGCAGCGTCATTTCTGTTGTGTTAATGAACGTTGTGTGGTCATCAGGCCAGCAAACTATGACTTTTTTTTCTGTTTCCTCAAAGTTGAACTGCTGATGCACGGATTGTTGTTGTATCCCTGATGTTTCTGTCACAGTGGAACTGGCAGTGTGAAAATATGACTTGTGATCTCCTAGATTGTGACCTATCACTGGCTGACTATCTGGCTGCTAAAAATGTTTTTTTTTTTCAAGTTGAAAAAATTGCTGGCTCTGAACATTCCCGATAATGAGTGGCAGTTCACTGACTTAGTCAAGCTTCCAACACGTCAATGATAGATAAGCAAGCAATTTAATCAGAATAATTTCCAAATAACATTTTAGTCCATGTCCAAAAACTACACACACTTTATTTTTCTAAAAACAGTCATGCAAATGACACCTATTGATCTGTTGTGCTTGTGGAGCATTATCATTTAGTCGTGCTTGTGGTTGAGACGGCTCTGTGAAATTGGCCCCATACCAGTAGCATGAACAATTAAACCCACCGCATCCGTTAGTGCTCCGTTTGTGCTGTTGAAAAGTAGTTTGTGCTGCTTTCTCAACTGAGATAATGCACAGAAAACATTATTTAAATGTAAAATCTCCAACCCACTCTCCCAGACAGAGAAAGTGAATTGCAGATATAATTCTCCTCTCATACAGTAATTTAGTGCCTGAACTGCTCAGACTGTGTAACAAGTGGTCAAGTTCATTGTACAAAGTCACACAATTACCCCCCAAAATATGGGACTATATCTCATTAATGAAAGCAGCTATGTAGGAAGCTGCTTTCAGCGGTACAAACAGAACACTAACATATGCGGTGGGTTTCATCGTTTGTACTGTTTGTAGAAGGGCCAACTTTACTCAGCTGCAAATTTATGTGGACTCTTACAGTACGCATGACTGTGAAATTGAGAACTCCCCTGTATCCAGTAAGTATCAAACGGCCAATCTATGGAGGAAGATGAAAGACAATTTGCATACCTGTCAGTTTGTGTGTGTGTTCATTTATCCTGAATCAGTTCTAAAAATATTTTGCTGCAGGGTAACAGTCTGAAGATTTTCTTAATGATTCTCCCTGGAGAATCATTAGTAACCATTAATCACTTAGTATGTAGGTTCTGAAGCTTTCATTTCTGCCCTATTCTGCATGATCAGTAAGACCTATTCCAAATGTTTTGCATAAGGACTCTATCTAAAGCTGAAGCACACTACTTTTATTTGTGAGGTCTCACAGTGTGCTTTATTCTAGATCTCAAACGATATGCATTTCTCTGAAATTTTCATATTTGCATCATTAAGAGCACAGTTTTATGGAAGCATCACTGAATATTGAAACATACGAGGAAACAGGCAATAACTGACCATATGTGAGTTTTATTTTTTCTTTCAGGGTTTCTTTGAGGTGTAAATTGACAAACCCATTATGATCATTCTGAAATACTCACTCAGAATTATTTACTCTATGAACATTTCATATGTAATCATATGATCTTCACTAGATATACTGAAGAAACTCCAGGCAAGCAAATGGTAAAATTAAAAAATAATGTATACTTTTGGATTTTGTTTTCAAATATAAATATTAGAAAAATTATTATTAGATTTGTTAGACAGATGAGCTGCTGGTGTCCTGCATCAGGAATTGTAAGCATGTTCAATAAATCGTGTTGATTTTACATATGCTGAATATGTGCTAGGAGACGTAAGTAGTGGCCGTGGAATGGTTTTGATATTTAAGAAGGAGAGAATCTAAAAATTACAGTGTTTACAATTCTGTTGTAGGATCTAGATTTGTGTGTCCAAATTATTATTTTTTTTTCAAATACAAAAACTTTTAGGTCCCAGTTTTCAGTGTTAGCCTACACTTACATTATTTTAAATAAATGCAGATGACGTCTAATAACCCAGTTGTCTTCAGCTGACATGTCAGGACGGAGAGTCTTGTTTGGGTGTTTGACAGCAAAGTAATTCCAAACTGCTCTAAAACAGTGTGAGTGTTGAATAACCTTATGTATTTAAGCGCCAGTAGTGTAAATATCAGGTTCGACATGAGTGTCTGTGTTATGTTGTGTTTGTAAAACTAAAGGATAGGGAATGAATTAGTGTCCATTCCAATCTACAGTATATTTGTGTTTAATCTAAGTTTCTATTACCTCCAGAGATTAGCAGTGTTCAATCAAATATGGCTTTTCCTATTAAAGAGTTTTTTAAGTGTACTGACATCTGTTTGTGTCACATTTCGGCTCTATACTGTAGCTTGATTCTGAGTGAGTAATTAGCAATAATGGCTATTACACAGCCTTAGATAACATCTGCAATTAGTGTTAATGGAAAGATGCATGAAATGTTTCACATAGAGTAAAAGATTGTGAAAGCAGTTTCAGATATCAAAAGAGTAATTGCTTGCTTTTTTATGTAGTTTAGACATAATGTTGTTCAGATGAAACTTGATCGATTTTCATTTTGCTCTTAAAATGGAGGGTTGTTTTTTTACTGAATGTCATTACTTGACTATTAGTGGAAGGAAAAGATCCACTGATCAGAAATTCCTTCAAACTTGAAGGAGTGTATTCTTCTGTATTGACAGCTCTACAGTACAATATGTGCTGATTTTTCTTTTGCTAATAGCATACGGTAAGTAAATATAGTCTGCCTGCAAACTCATGCTTTAGCTATGGATTTCCTTACAACACCAGTTTTAAAAACTCTCCTTATCTCCTGTTCTAGTTCCTGATATGCAAAAGGAAGCTGGAGAGCAAAAAGGAAGCTCTGCTTATCTTGTCCAAGGAGCTGGACACCTGCCAGCAGGAGCGAGACCAGTACAAACTGATGGCCAACCAGTTGAGGGAGCGGCACCAAGGCCTGAAGAAAAAGTACAGAGAGCTCATTGTAAGATTTATCTTCCCCTCATCCACTCTGCCTGTTAGATGTGTTAGACGCAGAACTGCTTTAGCATTGCGCCCCCCCTGCTTTTCAGGCTTGTCTTGGTTCTTGGGTATATATGGAATCCCCCTTTCAATCATGACTGCCTCCATAGACTCTCCACATGGACCACAAGAATCCAAGTAGTTCTTGATAGGTGCAGCATGGGGCTTAGTAGGAACTGTGATTGAATGGCTGTTGTGTGAGTAACAGGAGTAACGTTGAATGGCCCTTGTGTGAGTAACAGGAGTAACATTGCGTGGCTCTTGTGTGAGTAACAGGAGTAACATTGCATTGCTCTTGTGTGAGTAACAGGAGTAACATTGCGTGGCTCTTGTGTGAGTAACAGGAGTGAGATTGAATGGCTCTTGTGTGAGTAACGTTGCTCTAATAACAGTATCATTATGTTAAAATAATTGTTACGGCTATGAAATTCTGTTTTGCAGGATGGGGATCCTACCTTGCCACCAGAAAAAAGAAACCAGGTATGTTGTGGATCAAAGGCATGTTAAGCAAATGTTTTAGGATACACGGTGGACATTCTTGTTTTTGTGTTTTTGTTAACTGAGTGGTAGCAGGAAAAAGAAAGCTTTATGTACTGTGACTTCTGTTTTCAGTGTTAGAAGGACTCCCTCTTAGCTGCCATTTGCGTTCTCTAGCTTGTGTTTTACTGTTGATTCTGAAGAAGTCCATAGGGTTACATTCATCAATAACTTTGAGGATTTTGAATACTGGAGTATGGTACCTTCATAGACTTATTTTTTTAGACTAAAAAATATTTAGTTCCTTTAACCCTTCAGAGTTGAACATTTATTTTAGTTTGTAACTGGTAATTCTCCATCTATGCTTTTTACTTACAATTTGAGGGTTAATTTTTTATGAAGGACTTGTGCATTGGTTAACATGCCCTGGGTTCAGTTCCGGATCTGGGGTGCTGTCTGCGTAGAGTTTGTATGTTTTCCCCATGTTCACATGGGTTGTCCAAAGACATCCATGTACTGTATGTGAATCTGGTGTGAGTGTGTGCATGTTTATGTCTGTGTACACCCTGCAATGGATTGGCTTTGTGTCCAGGGGATATTGCACTTGCTGGGATAGGCTCCAGCTCCCCTCTGCCCCTGTATTGAATCGAGCAAATAGATGGATAGATGGAAGATGGGATGGGTGGAAGGATCTTTCATGAAAAGGTTTATCAAAAGCTTTCTGAAATTTAAATATACTGCATCATTTATATTATAGTGTCTGATATGATAAGTTGTCTGTGTATCCTGACTGTTGCATGTTCACAGAGCTCTAACAAATTTGATACTTCTCTGTAGCTAAGAAAAATCTAAAGTTCAATGTTATTTTCTTTGTGAAGAATTCCACATTCCACTCTGTCTGAGTGTGCTCATTTTGATCTTCATTAGCCACTTCCTTTTCAACATCTAAAAGATTAAAGCAGACTGAATGTACTGATTGGGGAAACAAGTCGTTTAGACTCATCAATACATAATTGGCTTTTAAGGCTTTGCCAACAAAAAGTTCTCTGAAACAAACCAAGCAATGCAGGAACATCTGTACAAGCGGAATTGCTGATTGTTGCTTTGTGTTGCAAATTCAAAGTCTGCTGAAGAGGGGAACCTGTTAAGAACCCCACTACTACCATTTGGGAAAGTGTGTCCTGTTGTTGTTCAGGTGAATCTTGCCCAGCTGTTGAGAGATTCTTGGGAACGCAGTAAACAGCTAGCCGAGGAAATCAAGGAGCTGAATCAGAGGCTGGCAGAGGCCCAAGGGGATAACAAGGTACACCCTCCCATCTTTCCACACTGATCCATAAATCACAGCCTCAGACAACCACCTGGAAGAAAACATGCATATGCGAGCACTTTCCCCCTTGGGAAAAATACCAACCAAGAATCAAACCAGATTTTTTGTTTTTGCCATGTTGTCTTTTTTAACTTTTTTATAATTATTGTTATTTTTTTTCCTGAGCAAAGGAAATTACACAATATGAATTGTGTGTAATGTGAAAAAAGAATAGTAATGCATTTATCAAATGGAACTGCCCAAATTTTAAAATGTTTCAAGGGCCTCTAGAAGGGCTCTAACAAGGAGCTACTCTGCACTCCCTGGTTGTTCTTAGCTGGATCAAGTCACTATCTGACTGCCCTAGTATTCTCCAAGTGCTGGCGCACATCTTGCAAATCTAATCTGCCGATTTGCACTCATGCTAGTCCTCAGATTGTTGCAGACTTTCTCAGGCACTGTTGAGCTTGCAGCTACGTCAAATAATCAATACCTCTACAGCTTGGGAAGTTGAAGGAGCATGTTAGTATATTTTATTCTTTCCTGCATGGCTTTGCTAGTGTAGGGCGTCTCCAAAAAATTGGTGGTTCCAAATTGGTTGTACAGTATATATAAAAATCACATACTTATTTCCCATTTTAAGGAAACACATTCTTAGAGATTTATGTAAGAATGACCAATTATTTGTTATAGCCTGTCCCCAGCCCACACCTTTCACCATTTGAAAGGGATTTGGAATTCGGTTTGCTGGCTGCAATGCCCCTTGTACATCTGTAGGAGAGCAAATCTACAGACGCTTCTTCTGATATGTGCATTTGTCAGGGTGTTCACCCTGTGTACTCTGCCAGCAACACAGCCTAATCAGCAGAGGGAAGATGCTTCTTTTATCAGTACTAGCCTAGTGAGACCTGACAAGCCACAGGAGTTGCTATCGTTCTGCAAACTGAGTACACAGGCCCACTAAAGGCCACCCAATCTCTGCTTCACTGAAGAATGTGACGCCATTTGAGGAATCCTGGTCACAGCTGGCTAAGGAGATTTCTGTTTGAGCTGCTTAGAGCCCTAGATGTTCACATTTCTGAAGATTGTGTTCTTTCAAGTTTGTTGTTTTTTTTTTGGTGAAGATTTCTTTATTTTCAATTTTAATTTTTGATTTAAATTTTAAATCCCTGAGGTGTGCGAACAAGTGACAATAGTGGCATGATCCTCATAAAACAAGTTTCCTGATAGAGAACAGGAGGGAAAATACATCATAAAATAAAATGCAGTATTGACTTCCATGAGGCACACTAAGCCACAACTTGACATGACATAACAGTGCTACTTCAGCAGAATTCCCAGGTTGACACTGTGACTGTGAAAGCTTGAGATGACTGAGCTGTGGATCTTTCTAGAAGCAAGATGTCATAGAAATAGTATAGTCAAACGGATGCGAAAAGAATAGCAGGTTCTAGCCAACCCTTTAAAATGGTTTTCTTTGCTGCCATTATCATTGCCAGAAAAAAAAAAGATTTTGTTGATAGTTAGTTGAGAGAGAGGTCTACCAACGCACATACCTCTTAGAAATGGAGCACCACAATTCACATTAGAGAGAGACTCTTGTAAACACCACATGTTGCCAAAATGTATTTGTTTTAGGGCATGCCAAGTACCAATGCAAATACCTTATGTAAACGTCACCCCAGACACACAAACCCAACTGTCCTTTTCTTTGTACCTACCAGAGTGGTGTAAGACCGAATGTATGAGCCACTTTTAAGTGGATCAGCTGATGTGCTGAATTCTTAGACCATTCAGTGCATTTGATGCTTACAATTGACATGGAATGACCCGACATTGAACCAACACAATAAAAGAATAATTGGCAAACTCCGAAGAACAGATGCTCTTTGTTTTCTCCTCAGCTCTTGCGCATGACGATTGCCAAGCAGAGGCTGGGTGACGAAGAAGTTGGAGCTCGCCACTTTCCCGCACACGAGCGCGAAGACCTTGTTCAGCAGCTAGAGAAAGCACGAGAACAAGTATGGAGGCTGCCGCGCTTCTTTCTGAAAGACGCTTCATTTTGATACACACCATAATGTATGCGATGGATGTATTTCACTATAGCACGAGAGTGCAAAGGTTCATGGGCCAGCCATGATCAGTTGTTTTTCATGGAGGCCCATGTTGCTTGTTTTACTTACAATCTGCTGACAGCTGTTATTATGCCAGTTCTAGAAAGATGATTCCTTTATTCCTTTATTCCTTCCTCATGGAGAGCAAGCTGGGGTATGCGAAAAGACGAATTCCTAATGCAAGAAATTGTATAGGGCTAATAAAGTGATGTTATGTTATATTTAATTTAAATTGTAAGGTTTTAGCTGTCCCTAGTGGATAGTTCATACTGCAATAAGTTGATCTGTTTTTGTTTTTTGAAAGAATAAAAATCCAGTTTCCTGTCAAGTAAATCCACAATCCAGATGCAAAACTAAATTTTATATTATTAGATCCATGAATATGGATTGTATTATGTAGCACCTTTTGTTAATAATCTACAGTAGGATCAAAGGTGCTGCAGTTTCTGTATAGTCCCTGAACAGAAGAAGCCTTAATTGAAGTTTAGAGAATATATTTATATTTCTCTGTGTTGCAATGAAGTTAGTGTTAAAATGACATATAGAGTTTCAATTATGTCCTCACAGAATATCTTGCAATATGTCTTCTTCACTGCACAGTATACTTCCAATTTTCTAACTCCTGCTAATGGAGTTAATAAAACAAGAAATATATTTAATTCCTCAGTCTATTCTTTAATGTATTAAAAGGGGGAAAACCATATTTAGTAATTCAGTTGTAATTAATTAGTGTTTATGGTCTTAATGGTTGTAATCTCTACAGTGTCTGTTCCAAAAATATTATTTTAAAGAAGTACAGATTGACTTTTTTGTTCATGAATGTTTTGTTCTTAAATGCCTTCACTTTTTTACAAAACCATTTTAGTGTGTTAGTTTTGCTATTCTGTTTAATGTGGCGTAAAGTATTATTTGTCTCCTCCTGTAGAATGAAGAGCTGGAACACAACCTCAAAGCTGCAGTAGACGAGTTACAGGATGTGAAGGCAGAGAGAACGTTCTATCAGGAGAAAGTCAACCGGCTAAACCTAGAGCTCAACCACATTCTTGGAGGTCATGAGAATCGCATCATTGATGTGGACGCACTCTGCATGGAGAACAGGTCTGTCTTCCAGACGAACATGATCTCTGCCACTGTCACCCTTATACCTGAAACCAGAACATTTTAAAATGAAAGGGTACAGTTATGGAAGACAATCACAAAGAAACATATCAAGATTTTTTTTTTTTGGATTGCTTCACATTTTAGTACATTAGTTCAGTAAACCAGTCTCAGGTTAATAAAACTAGAGTTTTATGTTCAGTTTCTGTTTTTGAGTGTTTGTTTACAGCCAAAATAATTAACAACTCTAATGTTTGGTTTTCCACAAAAGGTGATTCAGAAAACAGCTCAGGAGGACTGTTTCTTTCTTCTGCTATTCTAAAACTCACCTGCTTTAAGGAGCAATGGTTACACATTCTTCAAAAGTTGTGTTACCACTTCTTTACACTTATCAGACTTATCACACGTTTGTTTGTTTTTGTCTGTGTGCAGTGCCTGACTTCATTTAGAGCAGGTGTATATACAAAGGAGGAGTACTAAGTTGGGCAATTTAATTGACTCTGGGAGAGATACATGACATTCCATTTCTGGGATGGTTCTCCTGAAACCTATCCTTCTGTGTGATTTTCAGCTTAGTAAACCATAATACCAAAAATGCTGTGCAGGTAACTCAGATAAACTAGAGATGTAGAATTTTTAAGGGATGTTGTCCAGGTTGCTGATCCTCTCTCAAGAGAAAAGATTGTTTGTCTTTTATTCTGTTTAGATTGTACTGCATTGAGATAATTAGTTCCTTAATTGACATACAACACTTGAAATACAGAGCTGAGTACCACTGATATGTAGTTTTCCATACCTCTTACACCTTAAACTGTGATGTCAAAGCTGGTTACAGCAGTTTGGTAATATTGAGAGATTTCTTCTTTAGGACAGATGTAAGACAGAAATGGTATCTACGCAGCCCTGTGGGGGTGTGGGGGAGTCTAAAAAAAACAGTTCGGAACTTTGGACTCATTTTAAAATTGCAAGTCAAGCAAGGAGCAAAGACCATCCTAATTCATTCTGTTTGTTCAAATGTGAGCTCCTTTATTGCTCCAAAGTAGAAGACAGAAAAGGGAATAACATATAAGGCTTTTCTGTTAGGATGGTGCAGTGGCATGGTTGTTAGTGCTGTCCTATGAGTCTTGAGTCTTGGGTTTGATTTGAGGCTAGAGCATGTGTGGATTTTACATGCTTTCCACTGTATACATGTTTCTACAACGTGCTTTGGTTCCCAGCTGGCTTCAGAAAAGCTATCTAGGTTAAGTGTTGTCTCTGATTTGAACCTGCATGGGTGCGTGGGTGTGTGCGTGCGTGCGTGCCCTATGATGGTCGTTGTTCAGGATATACAGTAGTTCCACTTTGTGTCCCATGATTCTGTCTTAGTGTCCAGTTTTCTGCAACCATTTATAGGATGGATAAGGGATGGATTGATGGGAGTTTTTGATTATGGAAGGTGTGATGTAAGAATGCTGTATCTTATGAGATTTTGTGAATGTTTCTTATGCAAAGTTGCAATTAAGTATGTGTGATGATTCAATTATAGGCAGGACTAGATCTCACATAAAACTGTAAAAAAAAACTTGAGCACTATTTGTAGCATGAGAAGGCACCTTCATCCTTAAAAATAGCATATGAGGCAGGGGCAATATACGTAACAGTATGTCATCATCTTAGACTGATATGTTGTGTTATTGTTAACAAAAAAAAGAAGGTGATAGTATATTGCAAAGGAATAGGTTCATTCCATGCTGAAAAAAAAATAAGAAAGAAAACGCAATGTTTCCGCAGTGGAGCCTTTTTCAGGTGTCGGCTCCACGACCGAAGCGTTGTGTTTTCTTTCTTCTTTTTTTTCAGCATGGAATAAACCTATTACTTGTTCCTTTGCAGCCTACGCATGCTGACGCAGCTACCCACCCGAACTGGTGATAGTATATTGACATACAGTTTTAACTAGTTGTTCCCAAGACAAGGCATCCAGCAAAAAGGTGAAACTGGGCTTCCCTGAGGAGGATCTCTAGAAATAGCAAATTGGAAGGAACACTTGATGCTGGTTTACACAACTGATGAAGGGTTGTGTATAGACGTTTAACTGTTTTAATGAAGCCTGATTGCAAATCCATATGATCTCAACCTAACCATAGATTGTTCAGCTCAAATAAAAAAACTGTTCCATTTCAAGCCTTTAGTTACTTGTTTAATGTGGAGGAAACCAAGAATGTTATCAGATGCCAGATATGTTTGAATAAATCCTCTGTGATCACAGTTTAGTAATCAGTGGCGTGGACTATAGATCTTTATGATTTTTCAGTTGTAGGAATATATCAGCAGTATTAACGTCTGTGAGAAAAGAACCTTTCTCAAATGTCACAAGCTGTATAATGTAGAATAAAAAAGGTTAATGTAGACTTTATCTGACAGTAAAACTATCGTGTTCCTGTTTATAGTGGCTGGAATATCTGCATAGTAAGACAGACATGTTGTAAAGAGCTTTTGGAATAGTATATCACTGTCCTTACATCTTGAAAACAATAAGCTGAGAGTTCACAAAGGTCTTGAGAACAATATAAGCATATTTAGCAAGAAACGACAGGCAGGCCAGTGTAATAATACACTAGCTTAGAGTGTGTTGCATATATTACCTCTCCTAAAGTCAAGTGTCCCCCACAATGTACAAACACAATAGTAAACCAGGTACTGTAGCTTCAGTTTTGAGCTGTACCCTCAAGCAGTGACTGCACTCCATTGTTTGGCTAGAACAATGGAAATAACATACTTCTAAAGTAAGAATGCAAATTAAAGCATGTAAAAGACAAAAACATATATGTTATAATTTATACACTTTTAAACAGCTGGAGTCGGAGTCGTTGGGAGCATTGCTATAGCAACATCGTCATGTTTTAGCATGATTTTGTCAAGAAGCTAAGCGAGAAATAGCCAACGGATCGCTCACTACCTGTCAATGAGTATATCATAAAATGATTTCTGAAAAAAACTGTTGGTACTACATAAACCACATTATACTGTATAATTATTTCCACCATAGCTTGTCATGAACTAATCTCACTCTCATTATTTGATTTGACATTATTTCATAATAATCTTTTATCTTTGACTGGTTGATAAGTAACAGACAGAAATGGTCCAGGCAAATAATAAACAAAATGAAAGTTCAGCTGTATTGTAGGAATTATAAAATGATAAATGCCATCTGTTAAGAGTAAACAAAATTCCAGTTATTGTTCTTTTCAGCCATTTGAATCATCGTGAACACTGAGGCAGGTACATCATAGAAAAACAAAAGACCTATTGTCATTGGGGAGTAAAGGTTGTTTATCAAAAACAAGTGTGTGTCTACTGTATATCTGTCGGATAGGATGGTTCTTAAGAACTTAAAATTAGTTTTCCCATTGGGTGGTCTGTAGTCTGAAAAGGGGAACATGGTAAAAATTGCATTGCAAAGGCAGAAATTTTTGTTTACTGAGCAAATTAAGAAATGACCATGTGGCATCATTTAGAGTAGCTCATTATTTGAAAAAGCACAAGATGTTGTTTGCAGATGGTAAAATCAGAGATTACAAAATCTGGCTTGGTGAGGATTTTGAGACCAGTTTCACTATATTTTTTACAGCCTGAGCCCTGTGTGTTGTTCATTTCAAACTCCTTCATGGAGGTGGATATTTTATTGGCATTTCTGAGCAGATGGGTATACGGTCAAATCTGTTCTGTGACCCTGGAGATGGAAATTGTCACTCTTCAAAATAAAATCCAATTGAAATCACGTCAGTCTGCTGCACATTTGTGGCAACTTGTGGATGCAGAAAAATACCAAAGCTTGTGCACAGTGGCTATGAAATTAGCTTCTCTGTCTGACTTTCTTTGCTGCAAACCACATGACATTTTAAAATTAGTTTTTTAAAGCTTTATTTAAAAGCCTTCTACATATCTAATGTACCATATGACATATTTTGTATTTACTGTATTACTGCTGTTACTTGTTTAGTTGTAATTAAAGTTTTCAGCTTTGTGGCAATTTTATTGGATGGGCAGTACATTCATAATTTCCAGGGGTATTACCATTGTCTTGAGAAACTGATGGAAAACTTTTAATTGCTTATAGATAATATATCTATATATAGTTTGTTTCACCGCAATTTGTAGAATAGCATCAGGTCCTAGCTATTTGTTTATCTGACATGTTCCCAGTTTGTTTAATAGCTTTGCCTTGTCTTGGCTAATACTTTTTAATATGAACTATTTTCTTGATTCATTACTCAGCCTGTGTCATGCAAACAAAAGTTTTGTAAGGTTTTATATAATGGAGCAGCATTATTTTATGTACATCTTGAATTTCCTGATTTTTTGTTTATAATTTATTGTATCTCTCTTTAGTTAGATTCTATTCTCTTTATTTTATTAAGTGCCTCTTTCTCATTATTTTTTCTTTATTGATTTATTACAGAATTTGGGGTACTGCCTCCTTAAATTTGCTTTATCTGACAACTAAATAATTATTGTGTGTCAAGCAGAAAATACTGTACATAAACTGTTACCATGCATTCTATTCTGGTTCCATATATTTTCCCATTTTGACCATCATAAACTGTCTCATTCCTTCACAGTGTGGTTATAACCCTAATATTTGCATGTTGTGTAGGAAGGAAGAATATTTAAAAATTAGTTACAGTAATATAATAAATGTACCTACAGTGGTTTGCTTTTCTTTCAGATATCTACATGAAAGATTTAAACAACTCCAAGAAGAGGTCAACTTGCTTAAAACTAATGTTATGAAGTACAAGGTAAAATGATTCTGTAAAATACTATTTTCACAGTTTCACTGCATTATTGACTTGTCTCCAGTATTTGTGTTTTTGTTTTCTGTATGCATGTCAGGATGATATGGAAATATAGGACAGAGTGGTGATCACATTTTTTTATTCATGCTGTTCATCTAAAAATTATATCTGTGACTCTATTTTAATTTGTTTGGGGAAAACAAAGTGGATAAACCAATAAGATTACACATTAAGAGGAATAATCCTTTTAGATAACCTAGAATTGCTGATCAATAGAATGTTGAGGAGATTAATAGTTAATTGGCATTTTTAAATGTACCTTTGTGTGTACTGTATAAGTGTGAGGTCCATGAAGGAATTATATCCTGTTCTGGGTCCTACTTTGTGCCTACCCTCTAAGGATGGGTCTGAACTATATCATTAACCAGTTGATATAATTCCTTCTTTTGTGTTTATTAGAGAAATAAATGCATACAGTATAATGGAGAAACTGAAAAATACCAAACTTAAAAGTGAAGCAGAATCCTTACTTTTTTACTTACTTGCAGGTTCCTTAGGCGACATTATACAGTATTTCTCAAATGTTAATACAACTGTAACACTTGAAGTAGCTTAATACTGCTGACTGTCTGAATGAAATTCCTACTTAACGTTGCAGAGTGCACTTGAGAGAAGAAAGAATTCCAAAATGAACAGCAAATCAAATAGCAGTGCCCTCACTGGAGTTCTCTCTGCTAAACAAGGTAGGGTTTGCCACGCGTAATTAAAAAGAGAGGGTGAATGTAAGATAGAGTAGTTACTACTGCTTCCTCATAGCCCTTAGGTCTTGATGTTGATTCCAATCTGAAGTTCAAGTTCGTTGTCATATGTACTTGAGCACAATGAAATGTTTACGTGCAAGTTTTCTTCACATGACAAATTATATAACAGATTACATAACATTAACATAGACAATGACATTAACAAATGACATCACAGTTCTTGGAGACAGGAACAGGGTAGCACCTATAATTTTAGCCAGCAGTTAATTAGCAACTGTGTACAAAATCCAGCCGTGGCGGTATATTGAGTTCAGTGCAGACTTCAAGTGATGGCTTTCCATATGGCATTAACATGATCTTATACCACCCATGTGGCTTTTTTCCAGGAATTTTAGTTTCTTCCTTCCAGAGACATTTTGACTAGGTTAATGGGTGCCTCTTAATTGTCCCTTTGTGTATGACATGTACTGTACCAGGTGATGGATTGGTGTCCCATCCAAAGTGTTGTCCTGCCTTGTGCTCTGTACATGTAGGATAGTCTCTGAGTTCCTGGGGCACTCACCAGGAAAAAGCAGGACTCAGATGATGCATGGCATGGCTGTTTGATAAGTCATACAATTTTAAACCACTGTTTTAAAAAATGGCTCAGTACAAGAGCATATTAGGTGTTTTGCACATTTAATTCCTTTGTTGTTGAAACTGCTTTGAAAGCATTCTCTAGTACAATGTGGATTTCCCTAACAAAAAAAAAATAATGTTCTGAACAAAAGAACTCGAATGACTGCCCCAAATTGCAGCTGTGGCTGAACAACACCAGACCTGACGCTTAAACTAGATAGAAAAAGAAAAGGCCATTATCACTTAATTACTCATTCTTTTGGAAATACCAGTACTGTATGTCATTTTGAGCACTCCCTATTGAAGCCAGGAAGAATCCAGGTTGTTCTTTTGTATTAATTGCTTTCACTTTCTGAAATAGCTATATTCATTCTTGTGACTTTGTGAAATCTTTCAGTTCAGGAGTTGTTATCGGAAGACAACGGATGCAGCTTGCCAGCCACCCCACAGTCTATATCGGACCTGAAGTCACTGGCAACTGCATTGCTCGAGACTATTCATGAGAAAAACATGGTTATACAGCACCAACGTCAAACCAACAAGTATGAAAAAACTATGAATCTCTTTTTTTCCACTTGTCACTTTTTCTGCTATCAGTTCTTTTTAGTCTTTATAAAAACTACATTGGTTTATCCTGTATTCTACTGCTTAGGTTTTAGGTCCAACACCTTATATTCAAACATGGCCTGTAGTGTGCCATTGAGCTCTCTTCCATCTTGTGTCCATGTGGAATTTGTGGTCTCGGTGAGTTCTCAGGGCTTTGCTGGAAGAGGGCAGAAACAGAAGATGATTATCCATTTAATTAACAGTTCATCAACAGAGGCACTCTTAACGTTTTTTACGCTAACTTTGTGAGGCTATTTCACTAAAATTCTGAAAATCGGCAGTCTTCTAAAAGGTGTGTTCTCCTTTCACTGGAAAATTTTACTTATCAGATTTTACTTGATTTTTTATTTTTATTTTAATTGTAAATTCTCTTTTTTCTTCATTTTATTGCAAATGCATTGTAGTATGAGTCTTATAAAATAAACCTTAACCAAAAATAATGTAAGAATAATTAAATATTCTGAAGTGGTGCTTTTGCACCACTTGGATACAATACTTGATAATTGGAAACATTCAGGTGACATGCATGATATAAATTACAATATTCATTTAAGAAAGTAAAGGAATAAACACCCAAGAAGTTTTATTTTTCCTTGTTTTTTTATAGGATTCTGGGAAACCGCGTTGCAGAACTTGAGAAAAAGCTGAAAACATTAGAAGTGTCTGGTTTGTGGAGTCTTCCAGGTGAGCTACTGATTACAGTGCACATTTGTACTTCCTTCACTATTGTCTCAAAGTCTGTAACATAGCTTCAAACAGCTTCAGCCTGTTTTCTCAACAATAGAGCAGCAGAGAGCAGTACTCATACAAAAGAGAGACAACTCCTTTAGATTATATACTGTATAAAGCATTGCTAGAACAGTACAGCGTTGTGAATCAAAATAAGGTGTTTTAATATGAATGTATTGGGGAGTGTGAGCAATCTCCGTTAATGTTTAAATGTATTGATGTTTTGTGTTTTTCTTCATGCATGGCTTAATATTTAACTTTTAATTCTGAGCGTGTGCACAATTCAGAAGACACTGTCAATATTCCCCCTCTCAGCATCAACTCAGCTGTGGTTTGAAAATGTTAGTGAGAATTTCTCAACAAACACCCAGCGCCTAGAAATACTTGCAGTCTGTGTTTACATGACCTTTTTATTAATAATACTCTATATACAGTTTATATATATATATGTATACAGTACTATTCAGATCTGTAGTATACTGTATTTTAGAGTTTTACTTTGGACTAAGCAAAAAGATATTTGGAAATTTATTTCGATAGAAGAGTTGAATTTGGTGTTATGGGAGTGCTTAAATGGCCACTACAATGTCCTAAATGAAATCTGATTGAGGTTAAATAGTACTGTCTTACAATGTTAATATGGAACAAAAGATAGTCAGAAAGGCATAAGGTAGATCTCCACTTTCTAATCTTATATCCTAGATTGTTCATGACAGTTGTAAAGTATATTATTGTAGAAGCTATGGTGCCACACAGTATTAATAAAAAGTGAGGTATTCTCTTTTAATATCACCCACTTTTGCACAGTACTTAAAAAAAAATATTTAAAACGCTGTTTATTTGTGAATTTGTAGCAGAATTTGACCACTTCAGAAAACCCAAAGAAGTGTATGACCTTAACTACGAAGTAACTAAATTTCTTTTTCTCCCTGCTGCTCACCGAAGGCCTGACCTACAATGTGTCTCTGGGATTAGGGAGTATGTTTTTACTACAGTAATATTTATTACATCCATTTTATCTGCCAGTATAGCTCCCACCCTCAAGAAAGACTTAAGCTTAAAGGAACTTGCTTGTCCCTTGTGTTTTGTGTTTCTGTCTTTAATTTCTGAATGTGTTCAGTCATTTAGCATTTTGTCTGTATTTCTCTGTTTAATTTATAACACCATTAATCTAATCAGTGTGCTATTTTGTGTGGTAGAACGCAAGCATCTCTGAAAAGTGGTATTCATCTAAAATGATAAAAAGGGAGTTATAATTTTAGAATAAACTAAAATATTGAGGGCCATGGGAAGCAACAGGAATTTAACCTAATTGTTTTGGATTTAGAACCCTTTATCTTCAGCATGTTTCCGTGTGAAAATATTTCCTTTCTTCTTGGCTGTAAGGATTCTTTCTAGGGGTTCATCTTTTGGCTCACTAATAACCTCATTTTCTCTGTATGCTTGTTGTTATTATTAGTTCATTTTGCTTCAAGAAAAAATGCTTACAGAGATTTGTTTTCCTTTTCAAGATGTTCTTTGCTCTATATAGGACAAACACCTGTCCATGATGTTTTCCCTTTGGAAGTTTTGCTCTTTTAAGTACAGGTATTTGTCTGAAATATTTTGGGTTATAAAAATACAGACCAGAACATTGGTACTGGAAAGAAATATGTGAAAATATGTATATTTCCACTTTCCTTATTTGTGCGTCAGTGCCTCAAGAAAATCCCAAAATTGTATAGCTCTTTAGAAAGAAAAGAAATAAAATTTGTAATCCTTTAAAAAAATCTGCAAATCTTAATGAAATAAAAAACTCAAAATCCATCTTTCTAGATATGATATTCATTTTTAAATAAGATCATTTTCATAACTTCATTAAAAGCCTCCAACATTTTTAATTTTTAAAGTCATAATGCTATCTTACAAGCTACATATCATTGAAATGATAAACTGTGCCTCTGGATCAATGCCTAGCTAATGTGCCTGGGGAGACATTATCATTATAACAACAATGGTCTTTGATGTTAATACCTCCTGATCTCAGTAATCTTATAAAGATATGCAGTGTATGTTGTCAGTGCTTAAATCGATACTTGTAGAATTTTATTTTCTTTTTCTTTTTGGAGGCAGTAATAGCTCAGGCAGATGTTCTTGGACTATCTGTTCAAGTTGTAATTCCATATTTATAAGACACCATTGTTTTTTTTTACCACAATATCTTTGTGCAGTCATCCAGAAAAAGTGTTGAATATCAGTTGCAAATAGAAATCATAGATCTGAACTAAGCTAATTTAGCGAAGTTAAAAATGCCTCATATATTCTTTGTACAGTGTATTAAATAAATCCTGTTTTTTGTAAACAGATTTTTCTCTGCAGGGTTTGCAGAAACGTGTCATACTATACATGGCCACTAGAGGCTGCTGTGTCCACTTTGCTTAAGAGAAATGGGGAGAGGCTCCAGAATTTCTGTGCGGTGAAGCCTGGCCGTCATAAGCCTTCATTCTCTTTTATAAAACTGACAAGCATCCATTACGGAAAATGATTGCCCACATTACAAACACATTTATGGAATGTGCTGTTCTTAAGAAATTTGTAGACGATGTAGAAAGTGTAGTCGCCTGATGAAAGTGAAACTATAGAGTAGATTGAACTTAAGATGGACAAAGGAAAAAAAAAGACCAGAGGATCGGAGCTCTAAATCACGTGGAAGTATAAAAAAACATGTGCCAACTTAACAAAACTTGATTTAAGTCCCAGTTGAGTGACCCTTAGTGAGCTGCAGTTAAAGTTACCTACAGCAGATTTAATTGACTACAGCTTGTCAGCATTTCTCCCACTCAGCATGCACAGAAAGGACAGAACGGACTGTTTTTTGGGGGATGTTTATTTGGAGAGTATTCTTCTTGAGCTGAATGGTTGATTTAAAGAAATGAAAATGTAGACCAAATTGTGCTTCACGAACATGCAATTCCAGAAATACTCGCACAAAAACATGGATCTGTTAACTTTTTTTCCTCGTGGGGTTGAAGTTGTTCAGTCGCAACATCTGGGCTTTGTAATGCCATTACTCTCTGAAAGAGATGTTATATTACGAAAACAAGACTGAAAGCCTAATGAAGGCAAGTAGATGTACTGAGCCTGTTTGACTTCAGGACAGATGGGGCTCAGAAAAGCCTGACTTGCTGTTATTTTAAAGTCCAGAAAAATTCGGGACTAAATAAAGTGATGACTTTAATATGCCTTTTTATTACATACTGCATGTTCATCTGGTGCATGAAAATATCCTTAAGAGTTGTGGATATCATTAGAAGAGTTGATCCAGCAGTCTTACTTTTTTTTTGCCAAGGATCATCTCGGGGGCTGTGTATAATCTTTAGGAAATCAGAACTGCTTGTGTTGCCTGTGAATAGCAGCACCTCCTTCCTGTAGATGAAGTTGTAGTCTGTGCCCATTTTAACTAGTTTAACAGGTACCATGCCAGATAACATGGCACTCTGATCGCAAGCTTCTCTCTCCCCGTCTGTGTGTCTGTGTGTCTGTGTGTCTGTGTGTCTGTGTGTCTGTGTGTCTGTGTGTCTGTGTGTCTGTGTGTCTGTGTGTCTGTGTGTCTGTGTGTCTTATGAAGAGCAGGCTGGGGTATGCAAAAATACAAATTCCTAATGCAAGAAATTATATATTTGTTGTAATTGACGTTGTAATTTATCATGAGTCCACTATAAACATTACATCTTATAAAAATCTGGGGGTATACGTAAGATCATATACTAGATATTAGCCATATACAATTACTTGCATTAGGAATTTCTTTTTGCATACCCCAGCTTGCTCTCCATGAGGCACACAGACAGGGAGAGAGAAGCTTGGGGTCAGAACGCAGGGTCAGCCACTTATACGGCACCCCTGGAGCAGTTGGGGTTGAGGGCCTTGCTCAGGGGCCCAACAGAGTAGGATTCCTCTGCCGGCCGTGGGATTTGAACAGGCAACCTTCCAGCCACAGGTGCAGATCCTTAGCCACAGAGCCACCGCTCCGCCCCCACTTTGTACATATTGATGATATGTGCCTTCCAAAACAGAATGTTGACTTTATGTATAATAAAGTACAGCAGCAAATTAAGTTTTTTCACAGGTTGAGATTTTAGTATTAGCAGTGAGATTCTGTCCATTTTTTTCAGCTCTGTGATACAAAGTGAGATGCAGTGTGGAATAACGATTTCTGTGTATCAAAAGGATAAGATATCCAGACTTGTGAGGATGTTTTAAAATTGTGAGGCAGGCACAGGAGCAGATTTTTCAAGCAGTTCTTCAAACTGCTTATATTAAAAGTATGTTGAGACAAACTTAGTATGTCATCAGATACCTCTCACATTTTGCATAATGAATGCAATTCAGGCCTTCCAAAAGACTTTTAGAAATACTTCAATGTACAGTAGACTTAACACAATGAGGAATTATTTTTCCCCATAACGAGCCAAACGTCTCAATCAATAAATAAGTCAACAAAAATGAGTAATGGTTAGTGGGCTTGTGTTATCAGTGGATTATGCACAAAATGTCATGTGTAATTTTATGGACTTAGTGTACTTGTTTACTGCTGTAGGTCTGTGGATTCCTGTAGGAGAGGTGTGAAATGAATGTGTATGGGTAGTTGTTTGTCATGTAATGTTTACTTGTACTGTTTGTATGTTTAGTACGTTTCTTTGTGTGTAAAACTGAGGTGATTTCAAGGCATATTTCTGAGAAATCAAACAGTATTATCCTGTGGTGATTGCTCTCTACCAGACAGGTTAAATGGGCCAGATGACCTTCTCTTGTTTGTAACCTTTCTTATGTTCTTAAGTTGAACACTGTAACTGTAGTCTCTGATACTGTCTGTTAGCTGGTAAATCTTGTTAATTTAAGTTTTCTTTACTCCATGCACACTGATAATCTGATACTTTGAGTCCCTTCCTTGAGTTAACCTTATGTCACTGCAATGATAATACAGTTTGTCTCTTGGCAAGCTTTACTCTTTCACATGCATGCAAACAAATTGTATTACTGGATGTGCAATTTTTATATGAATGTTAGAAGAGGTCTTTAACCGTCTAATATGGATTTGCCACTGTATTAGTTTGCGTTTCAAACTCTATCTGAAGACACGTGTTTAAAATGGAAAATCACCAATTTTCTTTGTTGTAAAATCTGTCAAGAAAATACTTAAATCATCTGATGGGCATGTATTTAAAACATTCCTGTAGAGAAGATGCATAGTGAGATATTATATAGTATAAATCGTAATGTTGTAGTTGTGACCCTTATTTTGTATTGATTTTTGAGGGGATTTTATTTCTACTGACAAAAAAAGATGGATGCTATCATTGTTCACTAATGATCATTAAGTCCCTTCTGAGTCATCAGTATTGGTCAGCAGTGATTTTATTGCATAATCAGAGATCAGCAGAGCACACAACATTTCAGATTTTGCTTTCAAGAAAGCTGAGGCTTGTCTAATGTTTAGTTCAATTTTAACAAGCCCTCCTGTGAGTTGAATACCTAATAGCATATTTCATAAAGAAACGCCCACACAATCAGACTTATCGAACGTGCATAAAAAGTCTGGAACCAATATCTCTAGCTTCATAGTGAATGCAACTGAAAATGATTCATCGCACATTTATGATATGTACATTTCCCTGTCTAACAGTATGTGGGCGAATAATATCACCAAATATTTTCAAATGACCTTATAAAGAAGAGCAGTGGACATCACCTGTAGCTAGTTAGGAAATATATGGCAAATAGCAATACAGGAACATTTTTTCTATCGTGTTTTGGCAAAAGTAGAAAGGAAGCACAAAATATTTAATACACTTCCTTATGTTTTTACAAACATAATTATTACATAATTACAAATGTAATTACAAACAGTAATTATAGTTCAAAAGGGATTTGACTCACTTGAAAATAATCAAATTCCAGGAAGCTTTGAAGTCTTACACATCACACGCTTAAAAAATAACTTTTTTTTTTACATTTCTTTCACATTTAGACAAAACTATTTGGATTTACTTGCAGTATGTGTTGTACAGCCTTTGCTTCCTCTGAAGCAAGCGATACTTTTTTGTACTTTGAAACCAGTTCCTGGAAACCTGTATACAGTATGTTGCTGATTTTGGTTGAAGATTTCTTCAACGCTTACAGCTTATAGGTTGGTTTCTGCTTTACAATAGCAGCTTTCAAGTCACCAAGTCACTCTACCGCATCACAGTGGAATTCAAGTCTCTGGGAGTTCAGATGGGAAATACATCAATGTAATCTCCTTTTTGTACAGAAATTCTTTTGTGGACTACATAGTATGCTTAGGGGCGTTATCCTACTGGAATACAAATATCTGTCCACTATGTTTTCTAGCACTGGGCAGCATGTGAGACTGTGAATAATTTATATTTTTACCATTTGTCGATCCTTCTACAATACAGAGATTACCAGAGCCTGAGAAAACCACTCTAATGCCATCACAAAATGTGCACTATGCTTAATTCTGGTCATGAGGAACTCTTCTTTACAATCTCTTTTTCTCAAGAATATGGCTACTTTCTAAGTAAGAAAAATCAATTTTGTCAGACTAAAAAAAAAATTGATTGAAGAAACTTCACTGAACATCAAAAGAAGCTTATAACTACTACAAACTCAATAATGTCAAAAGTTAGTAGTATGTGTGGGCAGTGTTAAAGCAATATAAACTGTATATCTGTGAGTTATGATTTGATTAAATATTGCAAACACTTTCTAGTGAGATTCTGGTCTGTTCTCCAAGAAAGCCATTGTTATATAGTATGAACTCATGCATGGTCCTTGTAGAATGTGTGCATCTCGGGATAACCCTATAGGATGGGTAGCAAGTGAGGTCCTGGCATTTGACCAATTTAGTGTCATGCAGTCAATTTGCCATTAATCAAAAGTGAAGGTTTGTGGTGAATAAATTCACTGTCCAGACCATCACACTTGTACCTCCTATTGATTGGTGCCCAATCAACATTCTTACTAATACTTGACATGATTTACTGTAGTACTTACCGTATGAAGCAGTCAAAGACACTTCAGTGAGTCATGGTCAGTCATGAGTGATCAATAAATAAAAATAACACCAAACTCAGTTTCCAAAAACTATATTCTTGTGATTTTCTTAAACCATACTAAGATAAGTAAGAGTGATGCATTGATTTTGCTAATCAATATTTTAAATGGAAAGCTCCAATCTGTTTTTACATGTGGTTTTTGTCCATGGGCACTCATCTTGTGCAGGTGTTTGTTTTTTCTTATGAATCTACTGACCACATTCTTTCAGTTTCTGTTTAAATATTTGCAGTATCACAAGGATACTGCTGGGATACCCCAACAAGTCCACATTTTGTAGAAACCGTACTTGGTGTTCTACATCTGGAGCTAGCTGAAGTTGTTCTTTTCCATTTTTTGTCAGTATTATCCCACACAGTGCTTTAGGTAAACCAGGTCTTTCAGCTAATATTCTGCTTTTTTCTCCTTCATTTAGTTGCATCACTGAAGCTTTGTAACTGTTCTTGTACTCTTTAGCTCTTTTCATGGGCTTTTACTTTCTATAATCCCCTACTTTTGTATAATGGTTTCCTATTAACACTCAGCAGAGTTCATAGAGGTAGTTTTGCATGATCTTCTCCAGCAGGAAACTTCTGGAGGAAAAACTACAAGAAAAAAATAAGCACTCAAGTAAATTAAAGAATCAATATTAAGTATGCTTGAATAATTATGTTTATCCTTTATATTGCCAATAGTGGTGTATAAAAAAAAAAAGTAGATGCATACATATTTTAAGGGCTGAGTGTAATGTATTTGTACCCTCATGGTTTGGGTTTTTCTGTCTAGATAATAATACTTATGGCTATTTGCTGTGCTTTACAGTCGTTGCTTTCAACTCACATATGCTTCCTCGGTTTTAGACATTTGTTTGTTTTCCAGATGTTAAGTTCTCAGCGTGTAATATGCATATTTTATTTAATGTTCCGCTGAATGTAATGGCAACACATTTTGATGTTTTTTGCAACTATATCATGCTTGCATTATATAGGTAACAATCCCCTGTGTGTAACATATGGCATCAGTCCTTGATGTTTGCATGCAGCACTAATGAAGATGGATGACAAACAAAATCTGCTGCTACTTCCTCCGAATTCGATATTGCTCATGTATGACGTGTTGTGCCTCAGTGCTTAGGTATGCATGTTTTGAAACCTCTTTTCCGCAAATCCCAGACTTACCTTTTGGTGTGTGCTGACATTAATTTTGTGAGGATGAAATGGGATGTTCATTTTTGGTGATGTAATTTGATGCCGTAACATTTTACCTTTTTTTCTGAACCTTTGGCATCTAGGAGGAAGGGACACCATTTCACTAAATGACCGAGCCCTGAGTGGGATCCAGAGGCCCCGATCCCCTCTGTTAGAACTAATGGAACAGCAGCCACAGCTGAAGACACAGCCACCTAAAGGTGAATGTGTAATTGTGTGTAACGTGCTTCAGTGTTCATTAAGGATGCCCTCTGTAAGCGACATGAAAGGATGTAATTAGCAGTGCATGCTCTCTCAAAATTTTCCCTTTAAAGCAATATTGGTACTGATGGATAAGTAGCCATTTCTTTTGAAATGCCATGGCATTTGAAAATGTTAGCAAATTCCGCCTGCTGACATTCAAAACCTGGGGCGTGTTTTGATAGCAGCCTATAAATACGGACCTTTTACATGCTAAATTGTAACAAAACATTTTTGCAAGGAAAGTCTTACATGCCGAATGGAGCATATAACATTTTAACTGAATGTTCACAAACATGGGTCAGTAACTTCCAAGATTAGAAAAGAGATTTTGGAGAAATAGCATAACTAATTTATGCCCATTTAACTTGTATAACGTAGTTTCTTTTTTATCCTTGTATCTTTTCACTGGGCCATAAACGTATTATTGCAGTCTCTTAAAAGTCATGAATTTGAAATCAGTATTCCTAATGTTTTCAGATTTGAATCACTCACTCATACTTTATTTTATATGGGCCTTTTTGAGGAATATATTCCATTTGCAGAACACTAAACATTAAACATTAATGTAATAATAATAATAATCTTCTTTTTATATAGCACATTTGATGCTATGGTTAATTATATATTCATCACTATATTTCATGCTATGATTTAAAATAGTATAAGTTAAATACAAAACCAAAAGAGATGTATACATAAATTACTATAGAAAATTAAAGACATTTAAAAGACAGTATGTAAACGTCTGAAGACTTTTGAAAGTGCTGACTAATATTCGTCATCTGATGTGGGTTGTAGTATCATTCCAAAACAAGGTATTTTGGTTTTGAAACCTAAAGACAGGCAGAGTCCAGAGGGCACAAATGACTTCCATACAGTACTGTATGTACATGTACTGTATGTACATGTACTGTATAGGGAGTTAACAGTTCACTTGTGTAGTCAGGAGCCAAACTATTCAATCCTTAAAGGTGAGTCGTGAGGTGAGTTGTATTTGGATTTTCCAATGCAAGAAAGCTAAAACTGGGATATATACTCATGCATTTTCTTTTTAGTTAAGATCTAAGCTGCTGAACATGATGTTTCTTGTTAGGAACATGTTGCTGTTGCCAAACAAGCAGTGCATTACCAAGATCAAGCCCGGAAAAGACAAATATGTGCATTAGATTTTCTGCTTCAGATTTGGAGAGATAAGAAAGGAGACAATATTACAAAGATGGAAAGATGAGATCTTTACAACATCGTAAACATGAGCTTCAAATGCAACACATGGATCAGTGATGACACCAAGATTCCTGACCTGAGTGCTTGGACTGATTCCAACACAGGTGTGGGATTGATAAGGAAAGCGTATTTTCAGTCCTTAAAAAAATGTTTGCACTTTTGAACATTGAGCATTTTCTAACATTTCTAATCCCAAGGCAGATTGTGCTCGGTTAGTGTCAGGGTTGGTTCTTTCTGTCGGTGTTGTATTAGCATAAAACTAAATTATGTTGCCATACCTACAGAGTATCCAGTGGTAACATACTATATTCGTACTAAAAAGAATGGTACCAAGAGCCCTGGGGTATATTTGATGTGAAAAAAATACAGTTAAAAAACTTCAGATGCAAAAAAAAATATATTAAAACTTTCCATTCCAGAGCATTGGTCCAACCAGCATTTATTCTGTGTATTTAAATAGTTCTTTTCCTTTGTCTATTAGTAGTTTATAAAGTATATTTTTATTGTTTCAACACTGAGTCTTCCTTTTTGCGCAGGTCAGTCAAAACATGAATATTTTGGGTCCCCAGAGCAACACTGGAGACCAGCTCAATGCATGTGGGTTTGCAAGACATTGAACATGTTCACCCAGAGAAGATGTTTGAATGGGGAGCTACGTCAACGTCAATTCTATACTGAAAAACATATAGGAGAGACACAGCATTTCAGCTGTGTCATGCCTGAAGAAGGCTCAACAGCAAAACATTACATTTCTCCTTTTGGTGGAAATCTACCATGAAACTATCTACCACTGTCTTACAATGTTAGCTCAGTCAGATTTACCTGTAGTATTTAGGATTGGGATTTATTGCAGCAGGAATTGAATTCATCCATAAATCATTCATCATTAATCTTTTTCTCCTGTCCCATCAGACAACAGGATAAGAAACGGAGAAATTCCATCAAGGAACCAACAAACAGCTGATGGCGGCCCACAGACCCTCTTGAGCCCACAGGCAGGTCCAGAGGGCAATAGTAAGGGCGGTATTTGTACAGACGCTTTGGTCCCCAGTGAAAGGATGCTAGCTTTGCCTCCATCGCCAACAGCAGATGAAATAGATAGACGTGGAGCTGAGATAGTGAAGATGACTGAGGAGCTGGCTGCTGCAGTGCTAGAGTGCACTGAAATGGAAAACCCCACAGAAGAGCGGTCAGCAGTGGCAGCTGGAGTCCAGCTCGCCACAGTTTCAGAACCTGAGTCTCCACTGCACGGTCCCTCAGACCTCACGCGTCCCAGAACTGGCATCACGGCGGAAGAGAACCTCCTAGAAGACCACCTTTCCCAAGCAGCAAACGCAGATGTTTCCAGCAGTGCAGAGGCCCGCATCGAAACACTAGCAATGAGTTCTGAAGCAAACCACTCCTTACTGACAAAGGAATCAAGTCTTGATAGTACGACAGAGATTAGTGAAGACTATTTTGGTGAGAGTCTTGCATAGATCCTTTTCAATTTCCTGGCGATTAAGATGCATATCTTTTCTTGGGGTGGAAAATAACCCAACTTATGCAACATTGGTCCCATATAGTGAAACTTGCCTTACTTTTAATGTGTTTGATTTGAGTTTTCCTTAGGCCGATTTGCTTGGTAGGAAGCACGTTTAGTTCTGTTTTCACCCTCTCAGCATTAAGAATGCTCTGATTGAAGTTCTGTTAGGAAGCGACTGAGCACTTAGAGTAGATGCGTTTTCTTTTTCTTTTCTCAGTTATTTGAAGGGATGCTGACCACTTTATCCTGTAAACAGAAACACCTGAGAGAAACGTGAGAAATCCAAGTGTTCAGTAAACTGTTCCACTGTTAAACAATCACATAGTTTGGCCCTGCCCCCACAGGGTATCCCTTCTTCCCAACATGTTTTTTTGTTTCTTCAGTACATAAAAGTTTAATTCTTTATTACTTGCCAAAAGCGAGTCATATGTGCTTTTTGTAAAAGTGGGAAGTTGTGGTCAGTCATCCTTTTGAAAACAGTTTATTTGGGTTACAATGGCACTGCTGTGATATGTGTGGCTAATGCAAGCTGTGGTGCCAAGAATGTTCAGGAATAAAAATAAATAGTGTTAAGTATTAATGCAATCCAGGAAGTAAAAACACTACAATTAAACAAGTTGACTGTGGCAGCTGCACCTGTACATTTTTCCAATTGTAACGCTTACAGTAGGTGGCTTCCTAAATATCTGAGATGTCAACACCACACTGTGTGTTGAAATTGTGTGAAATGTTTCGCTGGCTTCACAGAAATTTAGGATATTCAGTACATCAAAGATGTTTCACAGTAAACCTTACTATTTGTGTAGTCGTACTAACCCTTGTACTTTGCACAAGGGCTATTTGCTTGATGTGATTTCCTGAAGATTTTGGCGAAGGTCCTTCCTATTATTCACAGTGAGGTGTCTAGTGCTGACCAGAGCACATTTAATAATTACAAAATGACTGCAGAAATTGACGTTACTGAAAGATTTATTTAGATGATGTGAATTATGTTAAATTTATTGTGTGTCGTGCCATAAAAAAAAGATATACAGTTTGTATTGAAGAAGTGATTCTCTTGAACAATATCCACAACTGGTTAGGTTACTGGCTCTTTTTCGTAAAATTACCATCATGTAGTAATTTATATTTAAATGTATAAATATTTTTATATGCAAAACATCAACTTTTGTTTTTATGCTATACATTTATGGCTTCATAATACTAGAGAGCTGATACTACTTATTGGCGTGCTTCTCAAATAATATGAATGCTTATAGAATGGGTGATGTTCTGGTGAACACAATTAATAAGTGTCTTAGAAATAAGGAAAAGATACTCTTGCAAATGTTTTCAGACCTTTCCACAAATGGGACACATGGGAACTTTCTCCATGGGATATGATGTGCAATGTGATGCACACAACTTTTGTTTTAGTAATATTCTATTCAATTCCCAAATGCTCAAACAGAAGCCTTCAAGATACTCTGATTGTAAAATAACCTACAGTAAATGTCAACACAAATTGAAGAGAATACATTTAAAATATCTTGATTGTATTCAGACCCATGAACGCAATATCATTACCTTTGTAAGATGGGATGAAACAGTTTTTGACCATGCTTCCAAGCAGATTTGCTGAAACTCTCTGAAGTTGCTTAGGGACAACAGTTTTCAAGTCTTTCCACAGATTCTGGATAGGGTTCAAGTTAGGAATTTGACCATGGTAAATTTGGCCTGCTTTGAATCATTGTCCTGTTGAAAGGTAATTTGTTGCCCCAGTTTTAAGTCTGTAGCAGATTGGAGTAGGTTTTCCTGTAGCAATCTGCCTGTACTTTGCTACACTTTTTTCAAGATGTCTAGTCCATGCTGAGAAGTATCACCATACCATGATACTGGCACTTATAATCTTGACTGTGTGCATGGTTTAAATAGGATATGTGCTGTATTGGGTCTGTGCAAACTTAACACTATGCATTTAGACAAGACTTTTCTGATTTGGTATCCTCTGAGCACAATACGTTTTGCCACATTTTTTCAGGATCATTCAGGTGTATGGCATGGATTACCCACTCTTTAATGCAGGACAGCTTTGAGGAGAAACTAGAATACCGTTGACTGATGCTCATTTTCTCCCATCTCAAGCATTAGATTCAGCATTTCTTTCAAAGTTGGCCTCACAGTGTCATCCTTCACCAGTTTTCTTCTTGCCCAACTGCAAAGGGGTGAGTTTCCCGAAAGCATTGTAACGCTAAGAACATCGTAAACTCGATCTTAAGATCTATCGTTAATTTACGAGTGTTTCCCCAAATCCATTGTAACTAAAGTAGCACCTTAAATCCTTCATGATCTACATGCTCCCCGACCCACTTGTTAATCGCTAAGTGCTTCTTAAAGTGGCTACCTCTTGCGCCAACCTTAGCGACAGAGATCCCCAGACAGAAATTTAGAATACTAAAATAAATACTTGACTAGATTATATCAGAATTGTCATGCTGAAATGCAGTAATGCATTATTTAAGTTAAATCACTGGGTTGTAGCGGTGGCTTGTATCATTGGCCTGTACAGGCCACAATAGCAGAGGGTTATTGACTTTTGTGATTTATAGGCCTTATATTTATTTATATTTAAATTTCAAATACTGTTTTATGTTCTGTCGTGATTGTTGACGGTAATGCTTCTACCTATTTGCTTTTAAATGTAATTGTAGGTCCTGTATGTGTTGAGAGTCCATCCTAAGTCTGTGGCACGTGACACATGCCAGGCTTAGTAGTTCTTTTTCCCAGATGTTAATTAGTCCAATTAAAATGTAGTTCCAATAAACCCAATAACTATATAAAACAGCAGTATATTCTGATGAAACACTGTAAATCTTAACAGTGGCAGCGCGTCAAAGAAATCTTGCCTTAAATCAAAGACGCAGTCCAGGATGCGTACATCGACCGCAGAGTCAAGCTGTGCGAATTCATTCTGCGGTTTGGACAAACCTCAATCCACCTGATCATCCCAGTGAGGAGGCAATAATTGAAAGATACAGGTTGCCAAGAGCAGAAATAATGGCACTTCTCAATCTAGTGGAGGAAGACCTTTCCAGACACACCCGACGAAACCACGCTTTAACCCCTGTGGTGCAGCTCCCATAGTGCTGCGATACTATACTACTGGAGGATTCCAGTAGACTGTTGGAGATGCACAAGGCATGCACAAGGAATCGGCAAGGCATCTGCGTGTGTGCATAAAGTCACCAGACTGCTTCTACGCCATGCAAACACCTGCATAACATTTCCGTGCACCCCTGATGCGCTGTGTGAAACTAACATCGGGTTCCACACAATCGCCAACATCCCGCATGTTGTAGGAGCAGTGGATGGTACGCTGATACCCATTCATACTCCCAGTCTCTTGGAGCCTAGTTACACCGGCCGTAAAGGGTTCTCTGCATTGAATGTATAGGTGATTTGCAATCACCAACGACTTTTTACGGATATTGTGGCAAAGTGGCCTGGGAGTACCCACGATGCCTTCATCTGGGCCAATTCGGCAGTGTGTCAGAAGGCAAGAAACGACGAGTTTGGTGGTGGATGGCTACTGGTTGATAGTGGGTATCCCCTTCATGCATCCCTGTTGACATCTGTAACTAACCCCCAGACGGCAGCCGAAGAACAATACATCGCAGCACATCTGCGAACACGCAGCGAGGTGGAACGCAATATAGATTTATGGAAAATGCGCTTCCGCTGTCTTCACAAGTCATTGGGTGGCATCAGATTTTCACCACAGCGGTGCTGCGCTGTGATAGTTGTGTGTGCAGTGATGCACAACATTGCTGTTAGAGCACGCGTACCCCTGCCTAATGATGACGAGGAAGATGTTGACGAGGAAGAAGTGCTGGAGTTTGGAAATGTCCAAATCCCTGAACTTAAAGCACAGGGTGTATACGAGACTGCTGTGGAGGCTAGGCAGGCCATCATCACTACCGTTTTCACATAATTTTTTTTTTCTTGGTTCAAATACTCTGTAATTGTAATTGAGTTATTCCCTGTATATTTGAGAAATAAACACACTTTGCATAGTCTGAAGGAGTGTGGAAATTCTTAATACATCATTTAATTTATTTAACATAATAAAAATTGAATATATATACATACAATATATAAACAAGTTACAAATTGCCTCCAGGCTGTGTCTGAGTGCCTGAAAAGAAAGTAAAGTAATGAATATATACATTAGGTTGCAAATAGAAAACTACAGTAGAAGAGTATAGTCCAGACATGTTCACAGTAACTCACCTTGTTCAGAAGGCAGTATTATCGGCACCAATATAGAGGGCCGGTCATACTGTGCCTCAGACACAGCTAGCTGTCTCACCATCACATCGAGTTTTCTCTTCTTGAGTTCCAGTAGCTCTGTGTGGTGCCTTTCTCGCTGCTCCAGAACCTTATGTTTGAGTTTGAGGTTTTCTCTCTGTAGTTGCAGACTCTCCCGTTCAAGAGCTATTGAATGCCTGTGCCTGTGGTTCAGGTGGTGGCCGTCGACTGGGGCACGTCTGAGACGATTCCACCCGTGGGCCTTCACTGGATCAGGGGGATGGATGCTGGGGCGAGGAAGTGTGGGGAAACTCATTCCCACAGACATCTATCCCTCCAGATATTCCCTCTGCAGCAACAGGCCCGAGGATTGCCAGGGTTCTTTCCTCCTCTGGGGAAAGGGGCAATGTTGTCATCTGCCCGCCTCTAGTCTTGGCCCTCTCTCAATTCTCAATTTTTTTCACACATCAGAGCCTGACCGAGGTTGTGATGTGCAGGCACTCATTCTCTCTGCTATTTCATTCCACTTAACTTTCTTCTCAGTGTTGGATAGGCTGCCGTGTGCTTTCGTCAACAATAACACTCTGTTGTTGTCAATTTCATCTAAAAGAAGAGCAAGCTCTTCCTTAGAAAAATGCGGCTTTCTTTTACGCCGTGTAGCTATCATTTTTTTTCGTGTTCGTCCTAGAAACAATAGGTGTCTGATTTTGTACTTTCGCTTCATTGGTAATTAAATGATGTCATGTTTTCCTCAGTACTTTTCAGAGCTTTTATTTAATTGCACTGAAAGAGCAAAACCGACACCATATAATTAAAGTATTGTAAAAGTATTGTCAATCGATTGTTTTTTAATCAACCTGTAATGCTTTCTCTAACCGACCGGGCAGGGTTAACAAAGAAGTACTTTATACTCTCTCCTTAAATGACCGATTAAGAGGGGTTTTGGGAAACGCACGAAAAAGTAGCACGTACTTACATTGTACAGTTTCTCGTTAGTCTCTGAGATTCATCGTTTTTGGGAAACTCACCCCAGTTTGGAGAGGCAGCCTGATCTAGGCAGTGACTGGGTGGTATGATGGGTATGATGCACCTTCCATTTCTTGATGACAGACTGTTTTTAAACTTAAAGGTTCTTAGCCTTCACAGTTGAGTCTTTGCTTAAAATTCACTGTGTGATCAAGGAGCCTCAGAGACAAGTGTTCAGAGTCTGAATTCTGAAGTCACGGGAACCATACCTATTATTGCATACCAAGGCCACTTAAGTACAGTAATTGTGTGACACCTTAATGTAAATACATGTATGTGTACCTTAATTAATTTAATCAATTCAAATTTGCCACAGCAATGGATACTTGTGCAATTGTGACTTGAATATTCTTCTTATTTTTCTGATAATTGTAATTATCTGTTTACTTATATCTTTTTGTTTTTTCCTTTGAATATCTGGAGTAGTTTGCTTATATACTGTAATATTGTTGCTTCTTCAAAGTGTCATGTCTAGAAGATTTAGAATACCAAAATATGAAAACTATGCAAAGGTCTTTTTTTAACATATGGTGGTGCCAGTTTCCACAAAAGGAATTGCAGTAATAATGCTGAGTGCTCAAGAGAAACATATTTTAACAAGATTAGTTTGTACTGTAAAAGTTTTTTTTTTTTTAATATTAGGAGCATTTTCTTTGGCTTGCTGTTCAAAGCCTCATTTGGTTTTGAGCAGCTGCTTGCTCAAAACTGTAGAAATGTAGGGATCTTTAATCTCTTACAAACAATTATTTAATATAATACAGTGTCATATGAGGTTTATTAACACATCAAAATGCATTTTCTGTTTTACAGATTGAACTAGATTCTGCTTCTTGTTTTATGTAGTGGGGAGGTTCTTCTTATTTTATATAACAGTACTGTCGGCTTCATAGCATATTAGTCAGTGAAGTAGCATACTTTGCCCAATAGGCAATTTGTCAAATTAAGCAGAACATATAGTTGCATGCAATCTCATTCAGTGGCCATTTGGCAATGGAAAACCATTATGTCTTACTTAATGTGTAGGTTTCCTTGGTAGTGCCTTTTATTATACTGGATACCATGTAGGGAAGGTAATTTATTGACTCTTTACAAGGTATTCACCCAGCACTTATAACAGAGAGCTGCTGTCTTTTCATTGTACTGACGGGCTTCTTGATAGCAAAGGAATTGAGACAAAACAAAGCTATGATGTTGGCACTCTCACACATGAGTGGAGGCCTTGGTCAGTGTTTAGTTGCCCCATTGAAACCCCATCGGCAGCAAAGTCTTTTTAATACATAGATACTCATGGAACTGTCAATTAAATCCCTATTTTGTTGTAGGAAGTTCAGCGTATCCTGGCTAGATGAGAAAATAAGCTTTCTGCCCCTTTATCCAGACTGACAGCCACTGTCATCAGCCTCCAGGGGGCCGTAATTAGGATGAGCTCCCTGAGAAACAGCTCATCTACTGATTTTAATCAAAAACCAAAGGACTAGCAGTGTGTCGCCACAGCAGGCTTCCAAGTCAGCGTGCAGTTCATTCCCACCACCTCATCAAATCTCAATTAAGAAGGATCCGTTAATGTGTATAGTTTGTAACCAATGTTTTTAGGATGTGTTTATGGCATTATTGCAACTTATTGGACGGACATCTTTTTTTATATTTTGCATTTAAAATCGGATTTATGAAACCACTAAGACCCAGCACTTTCTTGTCATAATGTGCAACTGTGACAGGACAAAATGCATAGGATTGAACAATGGCAAGCATTGCTGTGTCTTATAGGCTGGCTTTAATAATAATTAATCATAATAATAATTGCTTACACTTATATAGCGCTTTTTCTGGACACTCCACCCAAAGCGCTTTACAGGTAATGGGGACTCCCCTCCACAACCACCAATGTTTAGCATCCACCTGGATGATGCGACGGCAGCCATAGTGCGCCAGAACACTCACCACACATCAGCTATCAGTGGGGAGGAGAGCAGAGTAATGAAGCCAATTCATATGTACTTTGTACATCACATGGGGAGGGGGCATGAATCGATTCTTATACAGAAAGATAATACTTACTGCCCTTCTGAGAAAAAGTGTTCTGCAAGGTCTCGTTTTTATAAGTACTGAATCTTATCAAGTGCTTAAGTGCCCCATGTGTCCCATACAGTATGGAGAGCTGTAGAAAAACTGGACAATTTCACTGTTTTTGCAGTTGCTCATGTTAATAATGCCAGGCTCACTGTGGCATTTGTTTTGAACTCTGAAAGATGGTTTCTTTCAATGGGCATTAGAAGGTGGCATATTTTCTTACAACAAGGCTAATTTTGAACTTTGACTTTGAAGGCATCTTTTTTTCTAGTAGCCTTTACCTTAGCTTTGTCTAAAAGGGATCTTTTAAGGTGTTTTGCCTTTTGAATCTCATTATTTCTTACTGAAAGTCTGACATTTTCTTTTTTAGAATTCACGTAAAACAGTTTTGCTCAGTTACGCTTGTAGTTTTCTTGTTTCATTAATGCTATTTAATAATTATGATCATGTCAGGAGACATATGGCGTTTTGAGGTTTTGGGGATTTTTATTAATTGGATAATAATTATAAAACCTGTGTAGGTTGATGTAGATGCGGTATTGGTAACCATATTTGTTGCATAAAACTGCAACAAAGCAAGGGCATTTTTATATTAGCATTAACGTAGTGAAAAGTATATTTTTGTCATATCCTGTGAACTAGAATTAGAAGTGGTGTATGCTTAAACTGGTGCTTAAATAGTGCTTTTTGTGACTTTTGATATTTATCTGAATATTACAGGCATTTCACCCCAAGCATACCCTTGTGCAATAAAATCTTCTGATTCAACTTGAAGGATATGATCTTCTTATAGTCAAAAACACATTGGGTAGACAATACTTTGTTGTAGTAAAATAAAATGAGTACACTTTCATATTGTTTTTCTTTATATCAGTATGTCTGTGATGACACAAGTATCAGGTGTACAGTAGTATGACTGACAGGTCCTTTCAGAGCTTCTTGTAGAAATCTGGGCTATTAGTTATTTTTGTAACATTGGAGTGAGCGTTTTAGTCATTCTAATCCATCCCATTTAAAAAAATATGATAATTGCCAAGAATCAGATTTTCTGCAGGTGTAAATTACCTGAGGATATAAAAGTTTCCGGAAAGAGAGCAGATAATTTGATGCTGAATAGTCTGTATCAGAGAAGTCTAGCGACGACAACAAAGACCACAATAAAAGTCCTGCATGAGATAAAATTGTTTTAATTTGCATAGAGGGTGTTAGTTGTGCTTTCAATGCTGCCAAAAAGTTGAAGGAAATGTCTTAAATTAGTTGTCATTTCCACAGCAGTTTGTTCAACCTTTGATTTCTGGGCTGCATTATTATAGTGTCATGTCTTGTGAAATGTATACATGGTAATGGCATACAAATACAAAGCAATTTAATTTTTAAAAAATTAACAAAATAATTAAACATGTTTGTCTGTAGAGGTACAATTTTGTGAAAATCCTGTAACAGCAACAGCTCTACTTCTTAAACATTACACAATGCCATTTACTACAGTATGTAGTACAGGGACATGGAAAATCATGATCCTTAGCAAAAGTGTTGTGTGCTCATCGTATAAAAATAATGGACACTTTTGCTGTAGTTTAGAGACGGAACTTTGGACTCTGACGCTAAGAGTCCTGAAATATTTCTGATTTCTTCATTTCAGGCAAATATTTACAATTGCCTTTGAGCAACAGGCATACAGTATGTGGAATGTGTGTAAAATGATTAATTGGGAGAAGCTACTAATGCTGATCATTTGAATACTTCTGTGTTTGTGTTGTAATGGTTTACTTATTTTTTTTATTTATTACACCTGTTTTGTTAAGAAGCTGTTTGCCAAAGAAAATGTTTTATATTTTTCAATGATCTGAAACTAGTGGTCATCACTTTGAATATTGTTATTTCTAACTTAAGAGCCCATGGAGGACTGCTGCTGTAAGATGGCTTTTTTCTGTTTTTTACTATTTCAATTTATGGAAGTCTAATTTCACTTTACTTGCTTAGCTCAATAGCAGAATTAACACTACTGAAAAGCTGAACCATGCAAATATACAGTACCTTTCAGAATTATTCATACCCCTCATAAACTGGGAACAAAGTATAACAGAAAAATGTATAGATTGGATAGTGTCCCTCTGAAAAGAAAATGTCAAACTGTAATCTTAACATAATTTCAGGGAGTAAAGTCATATTTGTCGTAAATAATTGAAAGTCCAGAAAACAAAGGTCACGTTTATTCACACCCCTGTATTCAGTATTTAAAAATCCTCCTCTGGTAGGGATTACTGCACTCTCGTACGTCTGAGGAGTGATTATTGACCTAGAAAGTTTCTAGGCCCTTTTACTTTGTGAACAGCCTTCTTGAGTTTGAACCCAGATTTGATTGGATTGTGGCTTGGAGATTGTGATGGCCAGTTGAAAACAATTATTCTGCGTGGATTTAACCAGTTCTTTGTCCACATGTAGAGTATGTATGCTTTGGAAACATTGTCGTGGTGGAATGTTATTTTTTTTTTTGTGTCAAACTTGAGTTTCTTGGCTGAAGGATAGTATTCCATCTACCTTTTCGATGGAACCAGGAACCACAGATCCAACCACACTCTAACAGGCAGTCTGTACCCCCCCCCCCCCACACACACACACACACACACACCCTCCAATAGGAATTATTGTTTTCGTAACATGAATGTCACCTTTTTTACACCAAGCACACAACTGGTATTCATTTTTTTTATATATTGTATGTCTTGTCTGTCTGCTTCGTTAATGTTCTCCTGCTGTGCAGAAAGCAAATTCCACCACATTATTGAAGAAGGAAACAGTTTCAAATGGCTATAAGGTATGCTTTGTCACCCTGACACTTTTTGAGGTTTGACCTGACTAGATTTCCTTGTTGCCCGGCCATGAATGCCTCATTCATGCAGGTGATGTTGAATGCTAGTGTTGACACTTTGTATGCTAAAGATGCCAGTTTCTGCCCGAGATCTCCATCTGCTGCCTTAGGACCGACAGTTGCCTCCCAAACTACTTTCTCACAGTTTTACACCATGTGGTGGGAAGATAATCTTGCATTCACTTACGGGCAGGGATGCCTCTATATAGTACATGTAGCCTTGTACAGTATATATTAATAATGCAAACTATTATTAAGTGTAAAGTCATAGATTCAGCTTTTTGTGAATTCCTTACAGCCCATCCCCCCCACTTGAGAAGGTCAATGACCATTTGCTTGCAGTCTTCAGACAGCTCTCTGACCTTAACCAGGTGTTATTACTGAGCCTTCAGTAAGTAGTGAATGTCTTCTATGTATCCAGACAATGTTCAGAGGCATCTATAGAGTTCTGGAGGCTTCCAATACATTTTGCAATTGTAGAATGCTATTGTAAATAACATTCTAAGAATGTTATTGTAAATAAATATTTAGAGGTGTGAATTACAGTGGCCCTCTTGTTTTCTGGAATTCAATTATTTCTGACAAATATGACTTTGCTCTGTGCAGTGCTATAGTATAACAGTCTGTCATTTTTAGAATTGTTTTAGACAAGACATATTATCCAGTCTATAATTCACTTTGTTATATTATGTTTTTGCTCCTGTTTCATCGGGGGCATGAATTAATCAGGAGGGCGTAGTATATGATTTGGCTGATTCTATATTTTTTTTTCTTTTTCCTCTTTCTACTTCTACTTAAGTCTTTTATTCAGTATTGTAGGAAGAATTTAAAAGAGTATACTGTGTTTTTAACGGGATAACCAATATATACAGTAGGAAAATTATTTTCTTTTTAGGTCATTTATAAGTACTATTTGTGCACTGTTACATATTACACATATTATATTATTTTCTTTGAATGTTCATTTTTATCATGTTAAAAGCTGTTACTCATCCTTTGGTGAGTACAATTAATTGAGTAATTCCTTCAGAGATAACATTTTATTTTACTAATTTGAGAGAGCTAAATTCGATGTAAAAAACAAAAATGTGCACATTTCAACCTTTAAGAAGAAAATTAACAAGTGTTCACAGTTAAGTGACTGTGGTTATGTTGCATATCCTTTGCTGTTTTCTGTGTGTTGGGTTTTTACACCAAATTGAACAGTATGAGGGGACTGTATGTGAATGTATATTTATATTATAGTTTTTATTATTTATTTCTTATGGGTGTCTGATGGGCTTAATCATAAAATGATCAGGGAGTGAATTCGCTTCAGAAAATACTAATTGATTCTCTGCTCAAAGTCCTTAAGATAGCTGTAGTGTTTATTAAGAACTCGTAGAATTTTCAGTGACTGTGTTAATACGGATGGTGTGACCTAAAAGACATTGTGGCTGAAGCAGAATATACTGTATGGATCTTCAGATCCACACAGAATGGTTTGTGTATGTCTTTGATTGATTTTAGCACATTATGGGCTATTGTGCAAGAATAGCAGAATACAAGTGTACAGTAATATTATGGAAAAAATGATAAATACTTTTCTATAGATTAAATGTTTGATTTACCAGAATAGTTTTTAAATATATTTTTTCATAAATGAAATGGCACTTAAACTAACAACAGTGAGAAAGTGCAAACAAGGAACTCAAAGAATATATTATTTAGATTTCCTATTTATCACATTGAGTGTAAGGGTCTGAAATTACTGAACTGATTATTTTCTAAACAAATGTTTCTTAATATGCAGATGATCTCTCTGTATTCAGTGGTTTAATGATTATATTTGCAGTTTTCATTCCACATGGAATTTAGGTTCTTTGAAATTCTTTGTTGAACTTTCTGCAGAAATTACCTATTGCAATTAAGAGTTCAGTTACTTTAATGCATATTAAAATATATGCTTTTTACTTCTCAGGTGAAATTGCATTTCCCAAAAGTTAGAACTGCTGTTTAACTGGACACTGTTTATGATTTTTAAGCATTCTGAAAATTGTCCAATTAGATTTTAAGAAATTATTTCCTTAGGTTGCATGTTATTCTTACAATTTGCTATGTCGATTATATAAATTAACTTTACATTTCAACACTGGTAACTGAAAAATAAAGTTAATATCTCTGTTGCATCATTGTATTTCATTTTTTTTATATCACATTTATATGATAATAACTTTACAGTAACAAATTCTCCCAAGCATGGAAACTACATTTTCCATGTATTAGTGATATTAGTAATACAAAAGCTATGCATATTGTAATATTTGTATTACATACACTTTAATCAACATTATGAAAACAGTTTTTTCAGAACTTCGTTTGCTAACTTTTGCCTAATTCAGATTTTGAAAAATATACATTACACTGTATATATTTCAAGACTATAGGTTTATGAGTAATGATGTGGAAAGTATTGCAAATAAAAACAATAACTCTTCAAGCAGCATATTAGTTGGACCTGCCAAGGTATTCATTTAAAAATATGGGAATGGATTTTCCTTAAACATACCACACGGGAGAATAAACAATTATATTATGTTATATGGAGAGGCATTAAAAATTAGTATTTTCCCAGAAATACATATTCACAAATTATCTGTAAACATCATTTCATTTACTTTTTACCTCTGTACCTCTGACCATTTGTACGAAAATCTGGAGAATAGAAAACATGGGCACTAATCGGAGCTGATCCAAAATGCCACAACTGCCACAACTGCCACAAGGTAAAAGGGATAAGGTCATTGGGATGTTGATGACCGGAATGTCAACGTCCAGACACTCTGATGCACATCCAATAAGTGGGTTCCACTCATGGAAGATGGCAACCACTGCAGCCACATGTGGCCTCCACTGCAGAAGATATACAATCTATGATTGACATATCTCTGGAATTGTTACAGTATGTTCCTGCATCCCCAATCTGCCCCAGTGACACCTGGTTGTTACTGTTATCAGATTAGCTCCCCACCAGTAAGAGTGAATCCAAGATAAAGGCATCAGAGCATACTGTATACATGGGATTGGTGCTGAATAACTGGCATAGGAAACATATCATGCCTGGGCATTTTCCACAGAAACAGGCCAAATGCAGAGCAACTTCATGTTGTATTCAGTGAGGATTCATGATTCAATCTGCTCTGGCACAAATAGATTGGCAGAGAATATAAACTATGTAGGTGGGGATGTATCATGCACGTTGTGATGTAATGGGCTGCAAAACATTATGGATGGAAATTACAGTGTTTTTGGATGATTTCATGACTGTGAAGAGACTGAAGAGATAATGTTCAGCACCGAATTGACAACTTACAGCCATGTCACGCCCATTTGCCAGAATTTCCTAACATGATGCAACATGCATGCAATGGACTGGCTACCCTCTGGGATGCACTTTGCACTGAGTGTAGTATGATTGCCAATGGAGAAATAAACACTATTGTAATGCCCAGCTGGGTATGAGTACTGTTATCTGAAAGACACACAAGTTCTTTGTGCACGAGATATGGAAATTGTTCATTGAAAAAAAATGTATGGATCATAACATTTATAGTTCATACTGTATACAGTATATCACAGCATTATGCACAGTCCACTTCTTCTAAGAAACACATCTCTATTTTGTTTTTGATCAGTAAAATGTGATACTAAACTCATTAATTGATTTGTTAATGTCTCTTCTGAAAGATCTGTACTTTGTAGAACAAAGAGTAGCTTTTTAGCTTAAAGGGTATGTATTGTAGGACAAAATTGTCAGTGACCAGTAAGACCTGACAAGGAGTCAAATTTGATTGGTCAATGTCATGAATTAGCTACTGCAACTCTTCAGATGTGCTGTTGATGTTTTGTTTAACTTAACCTGTGATCACGTTTTTGAAGATGATGAACACGACTGTTTACTTATCACCCAAATTAAGCTGCATTGATAACAGTCGTTATAACAGTAGAAAACATTAGTGGAGGCTGTGATTAAGTAACTGTTCCTATAAAATACATATACTGTAATTCCCGATTGAGCCTTTTGTAGTGTACTATATTTATGTCTCCTTTCAGATTCTTTCAGAGGCAAAGTACATTGCTTTTCTTTCTGGCAATAAAACCACAAAAGATTACATAATTTCCATTATTATTATTGTTATCGATCATTTTTAAGAAAATAAATCATATTTAAATTTACTCTTCCATTCTTCCAACCGTTTCTTCCAATTCAGAGTTGAGGGGGATTTGGAGATTTTCCTGGCAAGCAATGGGCACAAGGCAGGGAACCCCCTGGTCAGGATGCCAGTCCTCTGCAGGGAAAACAGACACAAACATACACCTAAGGCTACTTTTCTCCAAAGCCAATTAACCTACCCATATGCTTTTGAACCATGGGAGGAAACTGGGGAACCCAGAGTAAACACAGGGAGAACATACAAAATCCATGGAATCCATAGAACCCAGTGCCTCAGGACTGCCAGGCAGGAATGCTAACCACTGCTCCATTGTGCCACATAAATTTACTCTTTAAGGTAATTCAACTTGTTAACGGAAACTACCACCAATTCACAATGACTTGACTTCATTAATTTCAGTCAATTAAGGAAGGTTTTTCTTGGATGGCAAGGAAAACGTTTTGTGGGAGTGATTCATTACACTGCTACTTAACGCCTGGCGGCTGGGAGCGTTTCTTCCAAGAACTTGCACTTTACATTCCCAAATTCCTACCCCAACCACAAACCTACACCAGGGTATATAATGGTGCTAGCAGTAAAACATGTTTTTTTAATTAGTTTTTGTTTTTATTTAATGGTGGAGAAACAATAAAATATGAGGGTGTCGTTTTTTTGAAGCTTCGCTTTTATATACAGTTGAAATCCCTTTGACGAAGAGCTGGCCATTAAGCAGTTCCTCTGTTTGTATTCGAAAGCCTTTTGGGATTCCTCTTTCTCTTACTGAAGGGGGTGCTTTCGATTGTGTCGCTCCAGAGCTTCTGCTTGGTGATCCCAATGACACAGCAGGCCAGCCGCTTGCCTGCGTTTCCGTGCAGCAGGCTTCCAGCATTGCCTCCTTTTCCCATGTCGTCTTCCTTCTCGTGAACCACCACTGCCCGGCTGAGTACCGACTCTGGCCCAAACATGGTGGCTTTGCTGTTGCTCTTCATTTTATGTATCTTCCCCTTCTTTGGCGTAAAGTTGCCAAAGTCGCCTGGGTGCATGGGGTGGTCAACATTTTGGGGGTTGAAATGGCCGCCGGTAGAATCGCACCCGTTGCTGAGGTCTCCGTACGTGTGAACGTGGATGGCTTTTGATGTGTTATCGGTGGTGTTGAAGCCCGCCAGTCTAAATATCACGTCAAGTTTTCCATCCGGGTAGAGCTGCTTGAAAAGCACTTCTCCTGTGACTTGTGGCTTGCCTTCTTCCAGTTTACTGCTGGGCTTCATGACACATGCTGCGTAGACGTTTTGGTCGTCGTTACCCGCTTCTGGGGTAGCAGGAAGAGGCCAAACGGCTTTCATCCTCTCCTCGATGTATTTCTGCACCTGCTCTTCGCTGACTGTGCCATCTTCACAGCAAAACACGTGGATTCCCAAGAAGACCAGCATGAGCAGACATTTTAGCCAGAAAATAGTTTTCGCCATGTTTCTGTAACCTTAGAGGGAAAAAAATAAATATGAATTCCTCAGTGGTTAAGGAATTGTATATTAAGCATGGCACATAGTCATATATTTACCCTTTAAATAACATACATTTTTTTTAGTTATTGCAGATTTCTTATGTTTTTAGCATTTCCACTGTGTATAACAAGAACAGCAATAATGAACTGTTCTTTAGATTAATACTTTATTAAGCACGCCTGAAATCACATTAATGGAGGAGTATTTAACGAGGGAAAACTGCTTATTATCCTTTGGGCTTTCCTTTTTTTTGATGTACGGTTTTAAATATAGTTTACTGAGTACATTATTTGCCAATTTATATCTTCCTTCTAAAGAAATAAACTCACGAATTATTTATTTCAATTAGTGGGATAATGAATAAAAAATATTTTAGATTTGGGATTTCATTAAACATTAACGGTATCCGTACTAAACATGCATGCTTTGACTTAATATAATCGAATCAAAACTAAAAAATCACCTCGGACTGTTCCGCTTTATTAACGTTGTGAAACGACCACAGCTAATTAATATTTCTAAAAAATAACTCGTAATTAATACTGTAGATTTGCTCTTACCAAACTGTGCAACCAAAATTGCACGTTGTGGCACTATAGTATTGCAGCAGTTTTAGAGAAAGTAACTTGTGACGCACTTGGTCTCTATCCCTTCTACAAAGATATTGATGTATTATAACTGTAATCATAATATTTAAAAGGTGGTATAGTACGATGTTGTTTTTCCATTTTTTAAAAAAAAATCTTTACACGCAAAGAACGCAATTTAGGAAAGAATAAGAGACTGAGATGCTACTTTATAAAGGTTTTAGAACATTGTTTAGAAATTCTCTTGTGATAGAATTGATAAAAAGAAATAATATAAATCCCAAAACTCCTGTTACATTGTGGCCAAAGATTTTTCTTTCATTTGCAGCTTTAAAAAAAAATAAGAATGGTTTCTCACCCGCGGTTTTAGATTTTAAAGTTTATCCTAACTAGAGAAACATTCCAGGAATGTTCTCGTTTCCATCCATTACTAAGACGAGCAAAATATCCTCACCACTTAAGGTAAGCACAACATTTTAACAACAGTTTTACAGGAAGATGTTACAAATTAATTTCACAAGTATACGAAAAGGGTTATAAACAGACATCTTTACCTTTGCAGGACTGCAGTGCACTTTCTTTCGCTTAAAAAATTCCAAAGTTCTTGAACATAAACGCGATCCTCTTTATCCAGACCGGGTAACGCCCACAAAGAAGTAGGGAGAACTTCGGATGCACTTAACTTCGGACAACAAAATATTTGGTTTGTCTTGCCCAGAATTAGCTTGCATAACAGTGGACTTGCGCAACTTTTTATAGTTTACTTACGTACGTCATGTGATTTGTTTTTATAAGAAAAAATGACATACAGTACTTTTCAGTCTTTGTCTTGTCATGTACTGTATAATTTACTGTTTCATGAAGAGATAGATTGACCTAGGCCTGCCTAACATAACAATAATAATTATATTGGATTGCATATAATCTTTTTATTATTTGCTTGACGTTTCAGTTCATGACCAACAGATGAATCAGAAGGACACTATTTTAAATGTTATTTCTAATAGCCAGGATGCTGGACAGACTGACTGAAGTGGCAAACAAAATGCAAGATGATGGCAATTTTGGAGGTCATACAATGAATCAGGAAATGGAGACAGATATGACAATATGGGCATTGTTTTGCAAAGGCACTTGGGATTGGGCAGAGCCAACAAGAACAGAAAGCTCATAGAAAGCGGTAATTTCTTAGGTACTTTGAATAGGTTGACCACTGGGGGACAGGTGTTTCCCAGAAACCTGAAAGTGAACCTGACCATTACAGCAGAATGGGAGTCCCAAGATCAGAGAAAATATTTGACTGTACCCGAGGTCCTTTAAAAACATAATTAAGAACGACAATTCGGTACATGATACAACAACATTATTTGTTGATAATGACGGCAATATCAGTTACTTTTTTAAAAATAAAACATAAAAAATTGCTTGGGTCTGGGGTGTATTGCATGCCACACCAGAAGAAGTCAAATCTTCTACAAATAGCTATGTCTTGCTTAGAAAATTACAAAAGGACTGAGAAATAAAGTATGACTAACATATCAGCTATCCCGTGTAATATAATATACTGTTCTTTTCACTTTTTGTGCTAAAAGCTATTTTAAAGTTAGAGCCTTTATAAGTTTGAATGGAGCCTAATTCCTTATTTCTAACAGGGAAAAATATCATTTCACTCTTCTTTTCTTTGTCAGAAGTCATTTTATGTTGATGTTCATCTAGGTATTTTCAATTCAAGTGCCAGTCATTTTAGCTATAAAACAACCCCCTGCTCTTTCCCTTCCTCCTGCAAAAGGTTCCTTTTCCTCTGTTTGACAGCGAGGCTGCCAGGCAGTCCTATTTCACACACAATTGGACTGTTATTTAATTGCCTGTGAAAGAAGTGGAAAAAAATGGCTGGTATTTTAAATTAGTTTTGAATTTGGAACATTAGTAAGGCTTACTTGTAATGTTAACTTCTTCTTTCCCATCACCATCAATCCCTAGTTACAAGCAATGAGCCATTTGCCATTACAAAGATTGTTAGCAATGCCCAGGTTGTGTAATTACCTGTGTCAATTGCAATGATTGTCTTAGGTGTCTACCGATTCATCACTACATAATCCAATAGCTTTTAAGCTGCATGGGATCTTATTAAAGTGGCTATGTCTATGGGGGCAGTGTTTTTAACGGTCTTTGTTATGGAATATAAATGTCCCATTAACAGACTGATTGTTTACATGGTTATCCAATGTTGCAACCAAAGTTTCCTGTTGAAAAGAATTTAGTTTTTGTTTGCACCTCACAAGTATGAGCAGAAATAATTTTAGATGCTATTTAATAACTTTTAATAATGATAAAATTGCAATTACTTTTGGCTAAGGATCTGTGCCTGTGGCTGGAAGGTTGTCGGTTTGTATCCCATGGCCAGCAGAGGAATCCTATTCTGTTGGGCCCCTGAGCAAGGCCCTTAACCCCAACTGCTCCAGGGGTGCTGTATAAATGGCTGTTCCTGTGCTCTGACCCCAAGGTTCTCTCTCTGTCTGTCTGTATGTCCATGGAGAGCAAGTTGGGATATGTGAAAAGACAAATTCCTTATACAAGAAATTGTATTTGGCTAATAAAGTGATCTTATCTTATCTTATCTTATCTTATCTTATACTGTTGGTGAAAAACAATACACAGATTTTACCGCAATGGTAAGGAAGTACACATTTAATAAACAATACATTACCTCCAGTTGTGTTGAAGATTTTTCAGAGAGGCAGGGCTATGACACTCTCCTCACCCCAATCATTTTTCCCATCATGCATGTGGCCCAGGTCATGATCTGCAAAAAAGTAAAGCTCGCTCCCACATTGCAGACGTTGCATGACTGTTTTTGGCAGAGTAACAGATTCTGCTCCTTCCATGGCCAGAAAATCTACCACATTTGTCTCAGATTGAACATTTGTCGAACAAAGTGATTCAGTGTCTTACTGCCTAGTGAACTCTAAACAGATATTTATGGATTTGCTGAGGAGCTGATCAACATTTGGAACACTCCAGAAGCAGTTAGCATCAATAACATTACAAATCACTGCTATAAGGTACTTGCAGTCACCAATGCTAATGGTGGCCCAACAACATACTTACTGACTTTGTGATCTGCATTAGCACCATCCATGTCATGTGTTATAGGGACCAAGATATTGGACTTAGATTAGGACGTATGCATTTTTTGGGGGAAAGCTTCTTACATTAACTTATTCTCTTGTATATCGTATATCTCACAATACAATTGCTATTTTCTGCAGTTTCTTTTTTATGGTAGTACAGTACATACGGTAGTCTATATGACTCTCTCTTCTAAATACCCCAACACATATTTTATTGTAGTTAAGTTGCAGTTATTCATTACTGTAATTTAATGCAAGTAGATTAAACTCATTTGCAAAATTAATGACTCAAAAATATTAATAAGTTTAATCTTGTTATTATTGAGAATCGTCTACAAAAGCATAGGAGCTGTTCTCAGAAATCATTTCTGGTAGTTTTTTAAGATTTATACACCACCATCTTTTTCCTGGAAAGATCAACAGCCTGGGGCATCAGTTTCTAAAGTTTCTATAGAAGAAAAATAATAGACTAAATTAAATAATTAAATAAATAACTGTCAAATTACATGTTGACAGCCAAGGAAAACCAGTAGGTTTATGCTTCACTGGTGTACACTAGGTTTATCACACTCTACTGTGGAGCATGTGCAGTGTTATGGTAGATTTTGTAGTGCTCAAGCTCATCACATCTTAAACAGAGTTAATAGGGTCCATAGCTATATTGTTTCAAAACTCAGGATTTCTCAAGTTTGCTCCAGCCTTGAATGAACTTCTGTTGGTTGGAAATGCACTTCGCGAATTGCAAAACATTTGCAAATGCATGTAATTTCTTCAGTTTTGCAGGAGACCATGACCATGATACATTGTTTTCAATGAAAACTGCATCTGCCCTCCTCTCACATTTTGTTTTTTGTGAGAGATAGCCAATCAATCCACAGAGTAACCAGGAAAATATATGCTAGATATTTTGCAATTCCTACCAATGTGGTCATTAGCTAGAGAAGGATCATTTTGTTACCTGTTGTGGGCACCAACATGTTTGAATTCAATCTTATTCCATTTCATTCTCTAATGTAAAACCAAATGGATGTACAGTAAAAATGCTTCCTAATTTAAATTTAGAACAGGGAATAGACCAAATTTAAAGCAAATAATTTTATTTTTAAGTGGTACAATACTCTAATAATACTTTCTCTAATAATACTGCTGAAAAGCCAGAACTATATGGAAGTACATTTTAAATCAAAAATAGAAGACACGTCTTTACACAAAGGGTTGTGGGAGTTGAGGAACAAGCTACCAGACATTGAAGCTAATACCTAGGCCCCTTTTAATAAAGGCCTGATAGATCAATTAACTGCTAATACGGCTACCATTTGTTTATAACTAATCTTATGTCCACTGGAGCCGAGGCTATAATCCCATCTCCTACCCCCATGGACCCCTCCATTACAGTGTATCCATGGATGTTCACATAGTGTAAGTAAAAAATATGAAACCAGCACTCATTCATTTCCACAGTCATTACTTATCCAGCTAGCCTGAAAATTGCATATTGAATAGTTGAGAATTCATGTTTTGCCTAGTTAATAATGTCTGAAAAAATGCGTGACCACTTTGGATTATATTCTTATATAAAGTTATACAGGAAATTAGTATTTTACTTACAGTATATTGCCATATATATATATAATATCGTATATATGTGTGTAAAAAGGTACATTGTATAAAGTTAGGCTGTCCTGGATGTCATCATGAAATGCATTACTTTTTGGTAACACAGATATGATCTCAACAGTCTAAACATAATTATGAAATCTAACATCAGCAACATAATAATAGTTTAATTTTGAGTACTGGTGAAGACACTTAGCATGATGAAAACAGTTACGCCGGCGTTGTAAACTATAACAGTTTGCAACACTATACGCGCTAGGCCGATCTACGCGATAGAACTAAGTTGTCGAAACTGGTATCGTTTTTAATTAATACAATTTTGAGTGCAACGAAGCCCAGAATTGACACCAGATTTTCCCTCGTCAAGAACACATCCACACGTCACGGAGGGAACAGAGGGGCGGGAAGGTTACTGTACTGTCTTCCTTCTTCCGGCGGTGCCGGCCGGCTTTCAACACTCCGCACCTGATGAGCTGTACCATCCTGGACTCAAATATTTTTATTTAATACATTTCATAATTACATATTTGTGGAAAATAAAAGAAAATCAAACACATCTATATATTTTAATGAAGGGGTTATTTTCATTATTTTATGTGAAATAATAAAGACGAGATGAGTGGTTCCGGTCGCCATCTTGTCGCCTGGTGCTGTGACTGAAGAGGAGGGTTTGTTTGGGAATAAGTGTGCATTTCAGGTGTATTATTTTTTTTAAATAAACCTTTTCCCGGTCAAACAGTATGTCCAAAAGGCATCGGTTGGATTTAGGCGACGACTATTCTTCTAACAAAAAAAGATCGTCCTCTGACTTGTAAGTTAATGTTGTTTTTTATTGTTTGGGTCCGGGAAGATGGGTTATGCATCTCGGCGCCTTCCTCGGGTCAGCGAGTGCTGTGCAATAGCAGTCTCGCTCACCGCTGTTTTCCTAAAATCCGAGTTTAATACTCTTGGAATAATACGCTTGGAACGTATTATTTAAAAGTTAAAGTGGCTTTAATTTACCAAGACGGGATTACAACACGTCTTATTTTGTTAGACATGTATTTTGTTACACGTGGGATTCTCTTGCGGCCTGTATGCGGTTTGCAAACAAAATGCTCGTCTTGCATCGAGTTTTTAAACTTGCAGAAAGCTTTTTAAGTCAATCGTGTCCATTGTAACACTGAGGGGTTACGATATGCGCCGCCTCAGTCGTGTTTGTCCTTTGCTCAAATGCTCTCTCAACACGTGTTGGTAGCTGCAGTTGTTGTTGCAGACGGTATGTGATTGAGAGCCTCCAGCCTGTGTAGGTTTCCGTGCAAATATACGTTTTGGCGATTAGTCTATGATAAGTAAGTCTGAGGCATGTTTTTAAAACTTCCAACAACAATGTTTAGTTTGCGGTGGGCCGGCATGCGGTGAACATGGTTTTCTTGTGACATCTGATGATGATGGTTTATGCCTTTATGGCCTTATCCTCGGTACATCTCGGTAGTGTTAATGCAACAGCCTTGCTATAAACTAGTGGCAGCTTAAACGGGCGACGTTGGCGTGGTGTAGCTTATTTTATATTTTCTTTTTGTTTTGTCACTGATTACGTTGACGCTTATGAATATATTAGAAATGGACCGCCAAAAGTGTGGATTGTTGTAGTGGGCTGGGGGCACTGGTCTGCTGAACGTCCCAAACAACAGGCTGATTCACTTGAATATGTACTGAGCGTGAAAACAAAATGGATCATTCTGTTTTTGCAAAGCACATGAATTTTGGATATTGATTGTTTTGGGGGCATTAAATGAACCGATCTTGATGATTTCGTTGTATAAGAGCTACATTTCTTTATTAATGATAGGGGGTGATTCAGCCTATGGAATCCTTTGTGAATTGTTAAAAAGCTAGGAATTTGCCAGTCATTTTGAATATTTCATATTCAGTCCAGATTAGACTAAAGTAATGAATGTTTGCAAGTGGCACAGATGTGCAGATCTTGAGCAAAGTCCAAGTTTTGTGGTCTGGGCAGGGGTGTTGCTATGGAGTGCCTCAAGCAATTTTATCACTAATTTGCCACATGGCATTGTAAGACCTGCGACCTCACTTGCTGTCCTTCCTGCATTCACATCCTGATATGACAAAATTCCAGAAGGACAGCTCACACATAAATCATATAACAAGTGAAGGTTTATTCCATGCTGAAAAGAGAATAAAAGAAAACACAACTTTTCGGCCGTGGAGCCTTCTTCAGGTGTGAGAGCCTGAACTAAATCATATAATAGCCGGCCTGAACTAAATCATTAATTAAACCTGGACTAAATCATATAACAGCTTTTTTGTGAAGTGGGAACATGGGAGATATGACATAGTTGCCTTTTCTACAGATTTGATGCCCATTGAACGTATGTGGGGTGGCATAATGGCCCGGTGGTTAGCATTGCTTTCACTCACAGTCCTGGGGCCCTGGCTTCAATTTCAGACTTGGGGTGCTTTCTGTGTGGAGTTTGTATGTTCTCCCTGGCTTTGTGTGGGCTTCCTCTCACAATCCAAAAGCGTACTGATAGGTTAATTGGTTCCTGGGAAGCTGCACTGTGGTTTATGAGCGTATGAGTGTCTCTGTGTGTGCCCTGCAATGGACTGTCACCCCAGCTGGGGTAGATCCTGCCATAGGCACTGGCTCTCCCGCAACCCTAGGCTGGATTAAGCGGTTAGAAAAGGGATGGATGAACATATGTGGGATGAGTTAAGACAACATGGCAGGGAAGAGGCACATGCTTGTTCAAACCCTGAGAGAGGAATAGGACAGAATCCCACAGAATGTGTTGCAGGTGTACAGCTTGTGCTACTTCCAGTGGTGCCCCCACAACCTACTCGCTTGTGACTTTTACTGTAGACCCTGTGTTGATCGACTCTGGTGATGATGATGATGTATCGGCATAATGAATTTACCTGTGTGTCCAATAATATGTCAGTGTAGTTGTACTACAAATATTTTTGGTACCTTTGCAAATATGTTGTTACTAAAGGTTTCTTTTAATGCTTATTGTATTTGAAATGAGGTAGCCGATCTTAAAGAATTACGCGCGTCCAGCTGTTAAAGCCTGAAAGGCAATGGCCACCTTTATGGCTGTATCAGAAAGCCATGGTCATTTTCTACTGTGGGAAAATGTTCTGCTCTTATTCACTCAAAGCACGTAGCTAGATTTTGGTTCCATCATGTACAAGGATCTTTTATAAATAAAATCTGTGATTTTTGAAGGTATCCCCAACACTACTCCCTGGAAAAATCGAAGATGCCACAAATTATAACGATTAAAAAAAAAAACTTAGTAATGTTTCCACCTACTTTTAGAAGGTCTCACATCATGCCCACCTGTTTGCAAGGAATATTAAGATTTTGAATTCTGTGACTATGCCTATCATATGCACAGTTTCAAACTGAGGATATTATTGAATATTGAAGTAATAGGCCATTGATTGACAGCAGCATTTTGTTTGTCAATCTTGAATATTCTGTTAAATCTGACCGTGTTGCATGCTAGTTTACTCAGTAATGCCAGGGGTCTATTTATGTAGTGTTTCCAAAATAAAGGTAAATTTAATAAATGTAATTACCAGTCTGATAGATCATAAACTCTATATAAATGCTGGTAAAGAGTGTGAACACCCTGTTGGGTGTTTACCATATTTGCTATGTAGCTAACACCTTAAATTTGTTCTTGTTAAAAGGGTTAATCTGATAATACACAGCAATGTTGAGGATTCAGAGTTGTTTTTCTCTGAGTGAAATGCATTGATCTTGCTCATGCTAATATTTTGTGATGCGCTATGAAGACCTTTCCCTCCAAAGTACAGATTTCTTTTTTAGGTAATGGTGGGGAAAAAGGGTCTTTTTTTGTGTTTCTCCAGTGCCGTTGTAGTGTTTTTGAATAACTTCTGTTCAGCTTCCATGCAGCCACCCAACAATGGTTGTGACTTTTTGATTTATGTTGCAGGAAAGATCGAGACCGCGACAGAGATCGTGACGACCGATCGAAGGACAGGGAACGCGACAGAGACCGAGATCGAGACCGGGACAGAGAAAAGGACATTAAGATGCCTGGCATCTCTCTCAATCCTGTGATGGCAGTTGGTAGTATGCCTGCTCTAAGGCAGTCCGTAGTTCATCAACAGATTAACCCCTTCACCAATCTCCCTCACACTCCTCGATACTATGAGATCCTGAAGAAGAGGCTCCAGCTTCCTGTGTGGGAGTATAAGGAACGGTTTAATGACATTCTCACAAGAAATCAAAGCTTTGTATTGGTTGGTGAAACAGGTTCTGGAAAAACAACACAGGTGAGATTAGTTTTGCAACTGCAAAGGTGAATTCCTACTTCTCTACTGTGCTGGAAATAGGTCTATTAACATTGGTGAGAAATGAATTTGCTAAACCAAATGTCTACTAGAAGGCCAAACTTTAATCTGTTACACTACCCCTGAATTGCAATACCTTTCTGTATTTACTCAAAATTATGATACTTTTTATGGGATATGTTCTGGGAAAAAATTAACTGATTGGAAAGATATTTTATTGTCCGTTACAGGACCCCATCTAATTTCTGAATGAATGCTTTTTCCTATCAGGTCTTTGTATTCACCATGCACATATGCAAGGAAAGCCAGTTTTCTTTTTCCTGTTCAAGTTTCTTAATGTCAGTTTAAATATTTCTAATAGAAATGGCAACCAACAGACAGCCGATAGCAGTCACTTAGGTAGATAAGCCAGATTCTGAGTAAAGTTTTCAGTTCCCCTTATAGCTACATAAAGTTAAGGAATACTTAATTCTTAACTCTCACATTACCATTTCAATCATTGGGCAGTGTTAGGGTCTAATTATTAGGTCCAGTTCTGATTCAGATTAGGAAATATGTCTAGAATATGTTTCTATAACATTATGAACAGCGTGTCTTAGTGTGTAGTGAATGCAATTGACAGCGGTATTGTATTAGCGGCCATGACGTCTCAGTGCACCATGCATAACTGTGACTGTGTGCTGAACCCAGGCGAGGAAACCTCTGTGTCCTACATTGAGTCTCAACCCTGAGATTCACGATACATCATAGTCAGATCTTGCTCGCAAAGTAAAGCTTTGTAAGTTTTTTCTGCAGTTAAATGTGTGTTTGGCAAAGAAAAATGTGATTCTACCATGACGTCAAGGAGATGTCTGGCACAAGATAAGTAGACTATTTTCCCTGAATATTTGAAAATATACCAACACTGAGACTTAACTAAAACTAAGGTTTATGGAATGAAAATCTGTGTGCTTCCTTTTAGTGTATAACTGAATAGGATGCATCAGATTTGTGTCATACTCTCCTTTTTTTGCATTTCCCCAACCATATGAGGCTGTGAGACTTGGTGTTATTTCCCTCATATAATCATGCTACTCTTCTTTGACAATTGATAAATATGGATAAAAATCTAGGACACTCACATGCTACAGTTCTCGCATACGCAGGCAAAGTTGTTGTGGCTCAGATCTCACTTGAAATGAAAAAGAAGCAGTGTATCACTTTCCTGCTGTTGTAGAATCACATTGAGCTTTGTCTTTCGCACTTGTCTGAAGATCGCTTCAGATGGTATGCATTGCACAATATTAGCTATTCATCTGTAAGGTCATGATTTGTTAAGTATATAATAAGCAGATCAAATGGGTATGTGAAAGAAACATTCTTAAAAATATCCCATCTGGATCAGATACTGGCTACAGAATAAATCCATGCTTAACGTTTTAACAAGAACTTTAATAAAAGTAAAGGATTTAATGGATAAAACACCTTTGATGGGAAAAAATGTATTTTTGGGTATCCTAATAGTTAATTATTTCTTCTTTCTGTGTACTAAGGCATTATCAAAAGGCAAGTTTGGTGTTTGGGCACATTCCAAGTCAATAATATATGAAAGGAATATTGAACATATGGTATATTCTGTCTTTAGAAATTAAGATTTAACTTTCGTGCTGGTTATGTGATTAGCCATATTGAAATCTACAATAGTACAAGTATAATCCAATAACCTGGAGTTATAGAAGCAGTTTTGTTCAACTAATGTATATGCTGCAAATTTAGGCAAAACCTAAGATTTACATATTTTGCTATATTTACTTATTTGCAGTTCAAAATGGAAAACATGAGCAAGAAAAAACAGCTATTAGCAAACAATTGCAAAATAAATCTATCTATCGATTTATATGGGGGTGATTTACTTTTTTCCATGCAACATATTGTAGATTGAAATATTAAACATAATAAAAATCAAAAATGGATCAGAAAATGAAATCTAAATTTGTTGCTACAAATTACTTCTACCAAAGGAGGAGATTGGCAGTGCTGCTTAGTGAAACACCGCACTCAATCATAGAACTTCAATAAATCCATGATTATTTTTAGGCTTGTTGGTACCATATACCTAAGAGACCTTATCCAATCCAGTGTAGGTTTTTGTTGCAGCCAGCTTTTGAGCTGTATAATTATTGTACAGTTACCGCACTCTTTGTATACATATGCTGCCAGGAATGGATTGACAACTCTGGTATTTGTCATATTATCCAGTTTGCATATACTGATACTTGAATGATTATAACTGATACCAGCAGAGTTTGCAGCAAGTTTGTTGGATGGAGACTATGATAAACAATCATGAATATTATGCTAGTCCTTTAGGTAGTAAACTAGATTTGCCACTTGTGAGCTGAAGCAGGGGCCAGCTGAAGAAGCACAGTAATTCTTTGCAGATATGAATGCATGAGCTGCTTTTACAGACTTTTAGGAACCAGCAGAGTTAGCTAGGCAAGTAAAGTAGTTATGGAATACACTCCACCATGCAGGATTTTCAATACATGCATATGTAATGAACCACTGAAGGTGTATACCTGGTTTCATATTCATGCCAGCAGCCATATCACCCTGCAACTCACAACTGGCAGCCCACTGAAGCTAAGCAGGTGTGAGCCTGGTCAGTACCTTGATGGGAGACCCCCTGGGAAAAACTAAGGTTGCTGCTGGAAGAGGTATTAGTGGGGCCAGCAGGGGGCACTCACCCTGCGGCCCATGTGGGTCCTAATGCCCCAGTGTAGTGATGGGGACACTATACTGTAAACAGGCGCCGTCCTTCGATGAGACGTAAAACAGAGGTCCTGACTCTCTGTGGTCGTTAAAAATTCCAGGGCGTTTCTCGAAAAGACCCCGGCGTTCTGGACAAATTTCCCATTGGCCTTATCAATCATGGTCTCCTAATAATCCTCATCTATGAATTGGCTTCATTACTCTGCTCTCCTCCCCACTGATAGCTGATGTGTGGTGAGCGTTCTGGCACACTATGGCTGCCGTCGCATCATCCAGGTGGATGCTGCACATTGGTGGTGGTGGAGGGGAGACCCCATTACCTGTAAAGCGCTTTGAGTGTAGTGTCCAGAAAAGCGCTATATAAGTGTAAGCAATTATTATTATTATTATTATTGTTGTTATTATTATTATATTGTCTAAGAAACGATCTTTCAAAGTGTCAGACCTGTGATCACATCCCTGCTTAACATGAATTACTTTTAAAATTAAACTTCAGATGTAGGCACAGTATTCAAACGACAGTGGTATTATTTTCAGGACGCTTAAATCACTGTAGTGCCATTTAGTCTTGTTTCTGACTTGCCCATGAACTTGCTTGAGTTAAAAGAAATGAAATAGATTGCTTCCTCTTTCCTCTGTTCATGGGTTCAGTCCGTTAAATGGATGTAAAATTTGCATTATTGCCTCTTTTTGAGACGGATTGCAACATTTTGTAGCGTTACAAAAACAATTACATTGAAACTTTGCTTAGTGATAGACTGCAAATGAGATGAAATACTCTTTGAGAAAAGTCTGTAAAGCAGTGATTATTCAGTCCCTCATTCTGGGGAACAACATTCAACACTGCAGCCTTTTTGTTCTTTTTGGTGTCGATTAGATTGGAAATTACCATCAGCTATGAATATTTTAGAAAGCCTCACTGGTTTAGTATTTTTTTTTCAATAAGCACAGTGGGGTGGTAAATAGTGTAGTGTTTAAAATAGTTTAGTGTTGAACTTTACATATTCTTATGCCACAGTTTTAACAATTGAGGTGTAACAAGTGAGGTTGTAGTTACATCTGTTTCTTTTTTTAAAAATTGTTTTTTTTTATCATTTTATCTGGAAAATTAAAGTATTTTCAAATTTGTTTTACTTGATAGTGTTTATAAATGTAGTTCATCCTGTTTAATGCCATAAGATCTAGTATCTTTTTATATCAAAACACTGCTCCGCAACTAAATTGCTCATTCCCTCTTGCAATTTTATCACCAGAACATAGGTGAAAGATAAGTTTAATCCTTTGGCCAAGAATGGGTAGTTTATTAATCGTCTATAATAAGGTTAAACAAGTTACAAAGGTATCTTTGTGGATCTCATAACTTTGTGAATAAACTAATTGCAGATCTGCTTACATATAGAATTGTAGGAAGCTTCATCACAGTGCAAGAGCTTTATTAATGATAATGCTGTCCTTTGAGCAGTTCTTGGCAGGACCAGCTGTTCATATTTAGTATTTTAATCATTAAAGGTTTTTGCGATTGATCTTACTGTAAGCAGTCTGTATTTCCTTTCTGCTTTTAAATATGCGTGATGGAATCAAAATGGATGTCACATTGTGACGCAGTGGTTAGCATTGCTGTCTTGCATCATCGGGGCCCTGGGTTCGACTCTGGACCTAGGGTGCTGTCTGCATGGAGTTTGTCAGTTCTCCCTGTGTTTGTGTGGGTTTCCCCCGGGTGGTGTGGTCTCCTCCTCCGCTCTAAAGAATTATTGGTAGGTTAATTGGCTTCTGGGAAAATCAGTCCTGGTGTGAGTGTATGTCAAATAATTGCTTTGGTTCTATTATTCCTTTTTTGAAATTGAAGAAGACTATTTTTTGTTATAAACCCATCTGCTTGGGAGTAGCTTTTTACATCTTTGCTCACAACTATGTCCCTTGTGACCACGCACAAGGGATGGTGGGAATGAGCAGGCAGACTCCTTCGACCTGCCCTCCTTTGAGCCTCACCACTGGCTCCACATTGCAATACCTAATTTATTTGTTACAACTGAAAGAGATGTGCCAGTAGTGCCACATGCCTTTAAGCTCCTGGGAGGTCAAGGGAGTTGCTAAGATTTGAGAGACCCACATTATCCTGGGTGGCATTCTTCATCACGGCTAGGGGAATCCCAGCCACAACTAGCTTGTAAAACCAGTGATTGCAGACCTCAGTGTGTGCTTGTAAGTTCTCCATTTTGAATTTAAGCACAGATGTTCCTTTTTGAGGATTTCTCACAAAGCAGATGAGTTTTATGGGTGTTTTGTCATATTAGTATGTTTTCTGACATATTTCTGGTGGGTATCTGCATCAGCATGTGGAGGCTGCTCAGGAACAAGTAATAGGTTTATGAAATGAGAAGAAAGAAAACAGCACTTCGGCTGTGGAGCCTTCTTTGGGTGTGAGGGCCACCACAGCCAAAAGGTTGATCTCTTTCTACTCTTTTCAGCGTGGAATAAACCTATTTTGATCCTTTCCTGACATGTGACTGGATGCAGTGCCTCACAAAGATTCTTTTGCCGTCACCACAGAGTTCTAAAGTTGTCAATCCCCCTTTTCTTTCCAGATTCCCCAGTGGTGTGTCGATATGGTCCGTGCCCTTCCTGGACCGAAACGAGGAGTTGCCTGTACCCAGCCCAGAAGAGTGGCTGCAATGAGCGTGGCCCAGAGAGTCGCAGATGAAATGGATGTGATGCTGGGCCAGGAAGTTGGATACTCCATTCGATTTGAAGACTGCAGCAGTGCAAAGACTATATTAAAGTAATTCTTACTCCCGATGTTTGTTTCCATGATATTTAAAGTTTTGAATATACATTTTTAGCCTTGAGTTTTACAAATTAGACGATTTAATGATGTGTCTGTAGTTCGAGACAATGGCTGTGCATTGTAATGCTTAGGTCTTCAAAATTCTGTTAAATATAAATATAGGACTGTGTTAAAAGCACTTTATAAAAACTGAAACCTCATATATCAAAAAGAGCCCCCTCAAATAGAATGTTCACAGAAATTTCTCTAAACCACTGTGAAATAGTGCATTTATGAATGTTAGACCTATTTGAGTAAGCACCAGTGGTAATGAGTACCGAAAGAGTATATGATACGGTCTGTTTAGTGTTCCATAAAAGATTAATTCTCAAATTGTTGAAAAGGGATGTAGAGATTCAAGACAATGCATGTATTTGAATTGAGTTGCGTTTCAAAATAGAAAAAGTATATATATATAAGTGCTGTATCAGTTGGTTGATTTGTTTTAATACCACTGATCTTCCTAATTTATGTAAAATATTTAGCTTCTGATATAGTTAGTAATCTTGGTTTGAGTGTGGTGGTGTGTCAGCATGTGCTGGTTGCAAAAGAAGTAATACAGGTTAATTTGACTCTAAAAAAAGTACAAAAAAGAAACATTTCAGATATCTAAACTTTTTAGCATGTAGTATTTTTAATCTATTCTATTATTTTTTTTTCCTAAGATACATGACCGATGGTATGTTACTCCGAGAAGCAATGAATGACCCACTTCTGGAACGTTACGGCGTTATCATCCTTGATGAAGCCCATGAGCGTACTCTTGCTACAGACATTTTAATGGGAGTCTTAAAAGAAGTTGTAAGACAAAGATCAGATTTGAAGGTATTTATAACATGGCGTGTCACCAATTTTATGCAAAAGAATAGATATTATATTATATGCAAAAAATATATGTATTATGTGGGCAAAAAATGAAATCATGGTTTTGTGTGGGTCAGTATATTGATCCCAGCATCGTTAGGCTAGTCTAAATGTTCTGAGTTGGGTTTGTTGCCCATAATTATGGCTAACATGACTGCAATTGGAGACCTTTGTGAGAGAGAGATCATTTTTGAAGGGTACATTTGCCAAAAAGCTTCAGTGTCTCAAGACAGCTTAACCTGCTGATGTTTCATGATAATGGTGTTTTAAGGTCATGACGACATAGAACTCTAGAAGGGAAAGACAGCAGAAGCAAAGGGGCCATGGTGAGCAGAAGTGCATCCTCCAGGATTGTGATATCTGTGCTTTAGTTTGAAGTGCAAGCCAAAACAGACGAGCACATGCACATCGATCTAATTTGCAAAATACAAATTTTATCCTGGGGTGCAAACGGCCAGTTTAATTGAAAACGAGATTGCAGTTCACAAACTGCTCATCACACTTCACACCATTTTTTCAATAAACAGACACCTATGGTGCCACCCTAAAGAACTCATGATCACATGTTGCAGTATTTCTTTTGCTGCTGGTAGTAGTGTCTTCCGGGATGATAGTGCCCATGACTGTATCCACAGAGCATGCGTTGTTGCCCAGTTGTTTTAATGAGCATGACACTGATGTTATCCATATGTCATGGCCTACTTTGTCATCAGATCTGAACCCAACTGAGCATTCATGGGATATTGTGGAAAGACATCTGATAGTGTTCTCCACCTCCGTCAACTAAACTGCTCATGTGCTGATGGATTTTCTCATGGCAGGTGCTGCATCTCTCCTGCAGGATTCCAGACAATGTCAGTCTTTGTCACAGCACATTCTGGCCATACTGGCTGCATGTGGCATCCCAAAGCCCTTCTAAGTGACTTTAGTGTTTCCATCTTTTTGTCCCAATACCTGTTTTTCTGTAGGATGTACTTTTTTCTTTTCAACCCTTAAAGTGTCTTCTGTTGCAGATGTTTACATCTTTATTTTTGGGGTTTTTCTGCCAAATTAGTGGTGAAGTTACTTTGTCCGACAGCTGCATAGCTATTGAAGAAAGAAAAACTGAACCATTTAACAAGAAATGCTCTGTGATTCACTGTGCAGCACCAGATAAATTGTTCCCTGGTCAGCTTATTTAAAGCAATCAATCTAAGGCTATGAGAAGCGTTCATGATTTTATCGTTACAATGTGCTGGACAATTCTCATAAACCAGATGGGTAATGACTGCTTGTTGTTATGAACTTATTAAAGGTTATACATGTGTTCATAGACTGTTAAATGAGGTCTAGGTTATTCGGCATTATCTCTGGTCTCGGTCTCCTCTAATTTAGGGTTTAATTTGCCTTTGATTAAGAATGCATCGAATGAATATTGAGAGTGGCCCTAAATATTTATATGCTAGAGCTGTACTTTTGGTTGCAAGGCTGATGTGACATGTTCTTCATATTTTCAAGATGAGACGAGGATTTGTGCCTTCGTTACAAAATCAAACATCATGAGTTATTTTGATGAAAAATAAGTTTCTAGGCTCAGTTGTACATCAGGGATAAAACAGACAAACACTCTCCCTTTTGCTCAAGGTGTTTTACAAATATTGCTGAAGTGCAATGTTTTGATAATTTGGGTTTGGTAAGTCCACGCAGTTACAAATAAATCACTGATTTTGCTATTGTGTTTTTTTAGGTTATTGTTATGAGCGCCACATTGGATGCTGGGAAATTTCAGATTTATTTTGACAACTGTCCCTTGCTCACCATTCCCGGTCGTACACACCCTGTGGAAATCTTCTACACACCAGAACCGGAGCGAGACTATTTAGAAGCAGCTATCCGTACTGTAATACAAATCCACATGTGTGAGGAGGAAGAAGGAGATGTCCTGCTGTTTCTTACAGGACAAGAGGTATGTCTGCAAAACCATTCCAGTTTAATTTTTTTTGTAATTTACCAGTTGCGCAAGGTGCAGTGGTATATTACCTCTGACTTTCTAATATAGAAATCATTTTCTGGTTGCTTTGAAGTGGCCTTGGAAAGAATGAATCCATATATGATTGAAAAAGTGCTTGGACTCATACCAATATTCACTTGACAGCCCGTGTAAAAAATGCCCTTGAATTGATTGAAGAAGCAACCTGATTTCTGATCAGTTTAAAGCTAAGGCTCACAGTTTCTTATTCCTTCAGTTTACTTACTGATATCTAAGAAAAGTTCTTGCTAAGATACTTATAGTTCATTTACCAGCACCTGTGAGCTCAAATGCATCTGATATCTTCAGGATCATAACCAGTGAAGTGTGTGAGCATGCTACTCAGTTTCCATTCTGTTATTATGCAGCACATTGAGATGACGTTTTGTGGAGCAGAGCATCTTGGGAGTTCATATCCAGCATTACAGTTGCTCTACAGTTCAAATGGTGCATTGCACATTTCCCACAGCTTGTACTATCAAAACAACAACAGCAGTTTTGCCTTGAAACTGAAAAAAGAGTAACCACATTTTCACTTTTTAGAAAATTTGCTTTCAGATGTTTTTGCCTAACTTCTTCATTTGAAGAGTGCTTTGTAGTAGAAGCATACACGTTTTGAGAATAAAATCCAAGGATTAATTAGAATTGACCATTTTCTTTCTCATCTATATTTTTTTCTTTACATTTGCTGTCTTTGACAGTATCTGATAAGCACAAATATTTAGGCTTTTGGCAGTTGAATGTAATTTATTGTAATTTTGGGATGAGCAGGATGAACTGAACTTCCAAATTCAAGAGTTTTGAAAGTATTACCTGGCTTCCAATGGTCAATTTGCGAAATACTCAAAATTAGTTGCACTGTATTTTGTGTTAACTATTCTTGAAGTATAAAGATAATTACCACAGGGCTCACTTTTACTATTTTTTTTAAATCTATTTTGATATACATATTTCATTTGTTATTTTGTAGATGGGGAAAATAACTTTATAATTGCTATAGATTAGAGGAAATGCAGAAAAGTTTTTTTCTGAAGTGCCTCTTATTATCCATATGAAATAGGTTGAGAGTCCTTGTTTTCTTTGTAAATGTAATGATGGAAAGCTTTTCACTTGAGAAATTATTTGTTTGAAGAACAGTAGAGTCATCTTTTCACAGTTTTTTATGTAGAAAACCAAATACGTTAATTTTTTTTTAATCCGCCGTGCATCAATTATAGCGTGACACAGTCAAGTGATTTCTACTGTTTCATGAGCACAATCTTTCTTGTTACCGAGAGAGTTGAATGAGCACAGGTGAGGAAGGGAATTAACTTGCTGGATGTGAATCCTGGTGAAAATCTAAAAGGAATAATGGAAAAGTGACCATCTTTATGACATGGGTCTTTTGTAGGCTGGATAAAGTCACTCACCATCTGGGGTGTTTACAGCAAGCAGTTTCTAACTTGAGCTGATATTACAGCCAGAAAGTCCATCATTGATGGGCCACGCTCTGGGAAACCATGAATCACATCTTGCCATGGTTGACAGGGGAGGTCTAAGTGTGGGGTGTTTAATCTCTCCAGTGCTCCACTTGTACTAATTAGTGGAGTCTTGACTATGAGGTGCTACAGTCCTCGGACCTCCATCAGGACCACCATCCTGATTGACAGTCCCCCAGCAGCTGTCATGGCGCTCATGTAAAATTGGCTTTGTTGCACGATCGGAATGTGACAGGTGTGCCGTACGGGCTGCACCTGAACTCCACTGGACCTGTGTGGGAAGGGCTGGAGCTACGTCTGGGCAGCTTTTATTGCTTTCAGTGGTGGCCACACTTGCGACTAGCCTGTGAATTTCACAGTGGAAGCTTTGTTTGATGACAATGTAATCAACGCAATAGGCTGATTGCACAGACATGACACTGGAAAATGATCACTGCCTCTGCTACAGATAAAAGTGAGTTTCCTAATATTGATGCCACAAAAGCCTTGGGAAAATTGTGAAATCGTTGCAGTTCCAAGTGATAAGTTTCTTCTGTTCATTGGTATGTTTTCCCCTGTCAGGAAAACCGAATTGCACTGCTTATTTATTTTGAGTATTCAGTTAATTATAGAGATGACTTAAAATTGGGAAAAAAAAAACATTGGAGCCTTCTGCATTTTTTCTTCTGCTTATTTTCAAAGATAGAATGTTTATTTCCTTTGAGATGAGGGTGCGCCATATTCTTAAGACCCATTTTAAATCCTTTTGTGGATTCAAAGCCTTTGTAACTTTGATAAGGTTATGCAAGTATTGTGAATTAAAGTAATGTACATTTTATTAAAAACTGCTTAAATACGTTTCTTCTGTTCAGTACAATATTTTTAGTTTAAATTTAACATCTGGAGCAAAGTGATTTGTTCAGAGCTGGGTGCAGCATTTGCTTCCTATAAACTTAAATTTTGTCTTAACTTCAAAGTTGAAGAGTTGTCAGTTTTATCTTCAATGTACTTACATATATGTTTTTTTTTTGTTTATGGCAGAAAAGGTATTACAATCTATGCCAAAGTCAATAGAAGGCATTTTTCTTTTGTTTTTGGAATGTTTTTTTAAAAAAACAAATGGAAAAACAAACAAAAAAAAAAACAATCAGAAAATTAACAGGCAAAATATGCCCATAGCTGTTTTCCTTCAAGTGCAGAAATATGCTGCTATCTTGGTGATCAAAAGGGCTAGAAGACCGTTTCATAAGATTCATTAAAATAAAAGGATTGTACTAATTCTACAGGGTAGGATTAAATTGCAGTGTTTTCAGTGTCACATCTGTAGCTTTGGTTTAATGGTGGGACAAAAGATATTAAAATGGCTCCAATAATTTCAGAATGTGACTTGCCCACAGTTCCTGCAGAACGTTCTATTCTGCAGTCAGATCCAAGTAATTTATCTGAGTCACATGACACTTCAGTAAGCAGTTGTATTTTTCAGTGTGGGCTGATGGTGGTGCTACAGCACAAGCTTGTCATTTGTCAGCTATATATCTACGTTTGTGCGCACATGCACTTGTATTAGTTGTCACTTAAAAATGGGAACACCTCTTACAAAGTTTTAAATTAAGCGGGTTTATATCTAAAATTAGGGCAGTCTTTTATAGTTTATTTTGACCACATGGTGTAGTATCTTGACTAGATCCCTATTCAAGAAGACCGGGTTTGAAATGACAGCTGAAGCCAAGCTTTTTCCTCCTTTATTTCAGCTGCACACATTCTTTTTCTCACATTCTCTGTGGGACCATCAATTGCAAATTCAGTCTGTACATGATAAAAGCTGCTCTGGTCCACTGTGTTAGTCAATAGTGGGAAAACAGTTTTGCTTAATCCCTGTGATAAGATGTATAGCAAGGCTTGGTGCTGTAACGCCTGGTGCTTTCATGTGGGGGAATGATGCTAAAGCATCTTTGGGCAGGTGACCTTTGATGCCTTGTGTTCACTTCTGAGTTTCATGAACATGTTAATTGGGATCGATGTAACACCGTATAAAGACAGATAACCTGACCTTGCTTGAGGCTGAAGTTTTTTGAGTTTCATCTTGGAGAAAGAGCTATAGGAAACTTAAAGATAGCCTGCTTACCTTCTTTATTTTATTAAATTACTTTGTAATAGTTGTCTGTTAAAGCAGAATTTGCTTGACAAAATTTTAAGAAAAGACTTCATGCCCTAAGTGGTGATAAGAGTTAGAAGCCTTAGGTTTTTTAGACACTTAATAATTAATCTAACAATGTGGATTGGTCTAGTAATAAAAGTTCAGCTTTCAGGTATTGGTGCGGCAGCCATTTTGCAACAGTTGATAGCAGGTAGTTCTTTAGCCAATTAAATGTCAGGAGGGGGGATATAGCTGACCTGATTTTTCAAGAGAATAATGATACTAAATTGAAAGTGCAGTTGGATCTAAGGCCCCTTTTTGAACATATCACCTGATAGATGGTGCTTCTTACAGTGCAGTGTTCTCATTATTACTGGGCTTGGTGAGGGCCTATTCCATTTACTTGTCCACTAATATCACAAAGTACTCTCCAGGCCTGGCATGTCTTATCTTCTTTCTGAGATTCCAGTAAGATACGGAGTCACAGTGGTAAAGCTACAGAAATACGTATTCCATTGATTTCTACATTTCAAGCCTCGTAGTTCCGTGGAAAACATTTCAGCAGGCGTTGGTCATTTTTTTTTGTGAAATGACATGAGAAGAAATGACCAGCTTATTTTTCTCTTAAAATACCACTGATGTTCTTGACCAGAAGATTTGCTTGGGGTGATATGTAGTTTGTCTTTGGTTCCCCTGTCAAGATTAGGTAGTTGCTCAGAAAATGTATAAAGCATCCCAAACCTCCCGCAGTGCATTCACTTCACCAATGTGTATTGTTTCTGTAGGTGATGCAGAGCATATTGCCAGACTAGCTCTTCATGCTGACTGCAGCTTGACAGCTGCCTTTTGCTAACATTAATTGTATGAATCATTTTTCAGGAAATTGATGAAGCTTGTAAAAGGATAAAACGAGAAATAGATGACTTGGGACCCGAAGTTGGGGACATTAAAATCATTCCACTGTATTCCACCCTACCACCACAACAGCAGCAACGAATCTTTGAACCTCCGCCTCCAAAAAAGCCAAGCGGAGCAATAGGAAGGAAGGTATGTACTGCATTCAATTACTTATCAGGCCGGTGCCTTCCAACATGTCTGGTCGCATAAGAAAAACAGTTTCCTCGGCTTTGGTGCAGGACTGACTCACAGCATATGCTGTTTTTGTCAGCTGTGTTGAACTGTTTCCCAAATTGTTACTTGGGTATTAGTCATTCACTTAAAAGCTAAGGAAGGCACTGTAGCTGCATGCTTTTTATGTATGCATGTCCCTCCTGATTTCTCAGATCGTTATTGCTATTTTTAAACTGACCCGAGACGAAAATCTGTTATCTTAACACAATGAAAGAGCTTAAAATTCATTGTCATGTGTTGTAGAAATCAGCATTTTTGTGGTTGTGCAGCTAGTTGTAACTCTTTTTTTTTCCCCAAGGCTTGCCAATTTCGTTGTTTTTGGCAACGATCAATTTAATCAAAGTTGAATTGTAGGTTAAAAGTGGTGGTTGTATGAGGTTTTTCTTACAGATTTGATATTGAGGAGGGTGTCAGCTTTAATTAAATGATACTGTAACAACTGTGATGGTTGTTCCAAACAAAAGTAATCTTACGTGCTCTATTAAGAACTGTACAACTCTGTATTTCTTTTTTTTGAAAATGGTGTATTAGACCTGATCTGATTTGGTGTAAGGTGACTGGAAACCCCATAAACAGTGCAGACCCCGGTCAGCAGGATTTCCATGCATGCATATTGGTAAATGTCACTTTCTAAACAAAGTTAAAAAGCAATCATTAACATAAATCTTCCAAAGCAGTACATAAACTTTGTTGACTCTGTAAGCTTTGTGGTTACTCACACAAGGTAAAGCCAAGTCATTCACAAACCATGACACATAATCTTAATATTGAGCAGCCTTTGTTTGTTAAAAACCAAGTGAAACACCAGAAGGACAATTTCAATATTTCCATTTTATTGAACTTATTCTTTCATGCACCTGTACAAAATGCCTCCTCCATCTTGGGAATAGGACCCAAAAGTGAGGCACAGCATCTAAGTCTGTCTAATCAGTGGCTGTCTCACAGGGGCACATATGTGGTCATTGTATCAGGAGTAGACCATTAAGAGTAATGTTTAATGGAAAATCCACCTATATTCGTTAAAGGAATGGCTTAGTTTTTTTTGTATTCAATGTGGAATGTTATTTTTATTGTGTTGATGTCGTGTGAGAAGAATTATGATGGAATATTTACATTTTATTTATATTGCTGTCAAGGCATTCCAGGGGGAGAGGTCAAAGCAGTTAAAAGCACCTATATAAGAGGATTTTATTAGATGGAATATGGTTTGAGTATAGAGTTGGATCTGAGTTGAAGAGAGAGCAGCAAAGACTACCTGGATAGTAGGTTTTCTTGATGTTCCTAAGTAGGAATCGGCTACTGATTGTAAACATGTTTTGTCAATAGCTTTCACGGTGTTTGACAGCTGATTTTTCATGTGGTCCGGCTCTTTGGGAACTGTCCCTAAATTTTCCTTTGTCCTAACGTTAAAACGGCTGTCCAGCAAATTACCTATCCTTCCTCAAATGCTACTAGTAACGTGTGTATGACACATAGGAACAAAGAAACTTGGAGCTGTGATTGTACTTTGATAAAATCCATGTTCCTTGGCATATGAAAGCAAGGAATTGATTTTGAAAAGATGTTAACAGCTTTGAGTGTTTTCTTTCCTTCTGAACTCCGGCGCTGCTTTGGACACCTTACAATCCCAAGTCTTTCAATGGCACCTGAAATTTGTTCTGCTTAGTGATGACTGACAGTTTACCTCATCAGCCTAGCGAATCCCAAATTGAGTCCTGCTCATCAAATGAAGGCTCACTTGAGTTTGAAGTAAAGAACTTATATTGCAATTTACTAGGCATTTCATTCTGCCATCTTAACACGTTTGACCATTTTTTTTCTCCTGTGACTTTATGCTCTCTGTCTGCTTTGTATTTATAAAAGCTCAGGCTTTTCCACAGCTTGATTACTGAAAGCAGAAGACAAATTATCTTAGTATGCACCTTGTGTTAAAAGGAATGTTGACATAAAAGCCAGACATGGATACAGGGAGTTTAATAACATAGATACACCAGATGCCACCTTGAGATTCTTTATGTAATTAGCATGTTTTTACTATCTGAAGACCCGATGACTTATGTCTAATTACTGTCTGAAATGGCAGCTGCGTTTCTTTCCTGTTGAATCCAGAGGTGTCTGAATATACTGGATGCTTTCAGTTATTTTTTGGCTTCCTGTAATCCTTAGCAATGCATTAAGATGGGCTTCAATTGCCTTGTTAAAATGCCATGTTGAGACCGTATATGTCAGGGATGCAGGTAAGGGCTTTGAAGGTGGGAAAAGGCTGAAGGTAAATATCTAAAAATTCTTGCCCATAAGTGTCAGAACAAGTCCATCTAACGGATTCATTTTTATAACTGAGGTAGACAGAGGCAGTCTTTTTAGCCTTGATTAAAAGATGCACAGAAATCCTAAGAAGTCTTGTGCTGTACCAGAGACTACCACATGCTTGAGTTTCTCAAATTGATAAAAAAATTGAAATTTGTGCTCCACATAGTGAAAATATATGAAGCCTCACTATGTTAACATAAGGAATACAAAATGTGCTGTGGCTTTTGCAAGGTTAAGCATTTTAGTAACTTTTATTCAATTGGTTGTACTGATTGCCATTGAGCTTGTGTCATTGTCCGATGAACTGCTTCACCAATCAGCGCTAACTCTCCTCTAAGGCACAAGGAGAGCACACAAGAAAAGGCAAGTGACTTGTCAGATGACATTATCGATCCGCATCCCTCTTTGCAGGTTAAGGTAATTAATTGGCAATTCCATTTAGGGAGAGTATAAAAACAAAGCTAATAGGCAATCCATTTTTAAATGGATGAGCAGGTGTTGTGAACTGTATTTGTAGGACCCTACGTATTGCTGTTGATGCATAACTTTTTAAATCAATATCCAGGATCTACATCTCTGTGGCTTGCTTTTCAGTCTGCTATACCATTTGATGAGGAGTCATGTGATCCAGTGCCTCAAAAAACAGTGCTTTATTTTACCGAATGTAGTTTTATATTACATTTGCATTTAATTTTTATTACTTCAAGTGAATATTATATTAAATTAATAGAATGACTATTATAATTAAAGAACAGAACTGTTGTACTAATTATATATATGCAGTATCAGAGGGAATAGATTAAGGCTCGTCTTTGAGCCCTTTACAGTACTTGGAAGACATTTCACTATATCAAAGCCTTCAGACATATTTTTAATAAAAAATCTTCACCTGCTTTTGCTAGGGGCTTGTCTCCTATTTGGATGTTCGCCACCTCAGGGACACAGTTTTCTGTCGTTTGTCAATTCTTTTTGTGTTTTTGGTGCCACTGATTCTACTTGTTGTGACCAGCATCTGAATTTCACTACCTGAAATGATAGTGGTAGCCTGAACTGCGAATCAGAGTCTTCCAAGTCTTGGTTGGCTTTTTCCAAGTCTTGGTTTAGAGCAAGCTTGCTTGGTGATATGATGTTAATTGGGGCTTTTGCTTTCTGTTTGTGTACTTCCATTCATGATTTGGGACCAGTTCCCTTTTGTGTTGCTTTGACAATTTGTAATGCAAATCTCCTCAAATGTGACTTGTGGGTTTTGTCTATTTCATGGTAGTTGCCTGTTTCCTCTCTCTGTTGATGCTGGTTTGCAAAATGTATTACAGTAAGGAATCATGAGGGCAGACTTGATAGAAGAGGCTGATGGAAATTAAGTTCATGATCTGTTTGATATCAAGATAGTTGTTGCTTATGTACTGGTACCAGTAGTGCAGTGACTACAGCTGAGTGAAAGGACAACAGTATAGTGCAGAGGCAGAAATTTCAAAATACTATTAATACTATCATTGAACAGATAAATTGTACATTATTCTATGCAGGATTTCTGGCTAAATACTCCCTATGGAGCCTTTTAAAAATAGTCCTTGTATGTATCAGATTGGCTAACCTTGGAAATGCTAGGGGCAAATATGAAGCCAACCCCCAGTCTTAAAAATGTGCAGGACCATTGTGGCAGTATTTAGTATGTATGAATGCTCTTGATACTTCACTTGATTAATTGATGAAGTCACTTAGATGCCAATGCCTTAGACTCTTGTGTATCATCAGCTGTAAATGAGCTTTATGAAGCAGGACAAGATTGTGAAGGTCAGACAAAGCTGAAGATGTCATATGTATGTACTATGTGCTGACCGTGGGTTTGGTTAGTTACAATGAGTGCTTGAAAGTATTACATGCAAGTTAGCGCCTTTTCAACCTTACCATTTACAGATGGAAAGATTAGATTTTCTCTTAAGCTTTTAAGCTTTTAACAAGTGTTAAGAGTTTTTTGAAGCATACCTAGTTTCAACTTTAATCCTCTGTAGGCTTTACCTTGATGAAGGGAGATAGAACAGTTCAATTAAAAGTTCAAGTAGTTCATTAATCTCTAATTTTTGTGACTTGTGGGTCAATTAATTTTTAGATCTGCAAATGGTGTTAAAGTTTAAATGATGGCGGAGCAGTTCCTGTGTGTCCCTCGTGCAGTGCATTAAATGCAGAGGCAAGCCACAAATGTTTATGGTTTGAGGCAGCACGGCTGTATTTTCTGTAATGGAATCCACTGTTAGCCTGACTTGCATGCAGCAAAAGCAGAATTCGCTTTCCCATTTGTTTAAATGCTGACAGAAAAACCCATAGGGTGATGTGACTCATTTGATTTCTGTGCGAAGATTCAGCTGTCATTTCTCATACTGAGACTTGCTATAGGGGATAGTTGTAATAGAAGATGATCAGGGATTCAGAAGCACAGTTGTTAGAGCTTGCTTATGTCTATAAAATCCAGAAGATGTTTTTTGTTCAGTGTGTGGAGGGGTCCTGTTCCATTTCTTGCTGCTACCATAGTTTGTTCAGCTGTAGTGCAGAACTGGGACTGAAGAGGCCTTTTCTTTACTAAACCCAATTTTTTATCACTGTGGCTAATGAGTTGTTCTCTAAACCATGAAACTGTAGCAGAAAAAGTTAATGGTTTTGGACATTCCTTTACTGTAAGTCAGATAATTCCTCCTTTGACAGATGCACAGCTGTGAATATGAGCCAATTTTTAGGTAAACTGTGCATCACAGATTTGGATAATTGTAATTATCAGATGTTGAAATTTTAAATTTGTAACACTTGAAAAGTAAGGCAAATTTTATTACATTTGTCCCTGCAAGTCATTTTTACATCAGTATACCTGCACACATTCAGTAGTGTAAATACATCACTGCAATTGTATTTCTTCCAAATATGGAGCAGTTTAAGTTTTAGTACTGTGTAATTTAATTCTGGAATACTGTGTCCCTGTTTTTTTCATTTATGTATTCAGAAAGTCTCCTTCTTTCAGAATACATAACTGAAAAAAACTCTTCTTTTCTGAATAAAATGAGAAAAATAAGATTTTTTTTATTTTGATAATGCAAGTCTGTAATACGCACTGTACAGATTGCGGATATTAGTACGACATTGTAGTAGAGGAGTATTAAAATAGCAGTATTTGTATGAATGGTATGATTGCTTTAAACAACGGGTACAGATGAGCATTTGCTTGCTGACTGAAAATGCCAACATCTAGGACAGCCATTAGGCTGCATAATTAACATTATTGAATTGCATCAGCATTGAATCTTTTTAACATTAGTATTTTAAATCTCTTACTGATACCAGCTTTAATATGCATTGAGTTGTTGTTTTGTGTTCATAGTTGTATTTTTATGATTAGTGCAGGCAGTTATTTTATGGAATTTTTGTATAAATATTGTAAATCATATTGTTGTAAATCATTGGGGGGGATTTTAATTTTATGGTTTTGGCTTCCCATACCATTAAAATATGTTTTAAATAGTCCCTATGTATTTTATTTAACACGTGATTTAGGTTGCATTTAACTTGCTAAATAGTACTTCTTAATTTTGTTGTCCATTGAACAAGATGTAATTTGGTTCTTTAAAACCTCATATTCCCATCATAGATTTTTCTGAATAAACACATTTTGTGTCAGGGTTGTTTTGCTATTTGTGCAAGAAGGAAAGCCTTTCCAGGAACTCCAAATTTCTCAGTGGTTGTTTTTGCAGAGAGCACCTCACAGAGGAAACTGCATGTTTTTTTATTGAGGTGTTAACCTGGTGGATGACACAGTGGGGTTCAATTCCAGATCAAGGGAGCTATCTGTGTGGAGTCTGTATGTTCTCCCGGTGTTGGTGTGGGTTTCCTCCCACAGTACATGGACATACTAGTAGGTTAATTGTCTTTTGGGAACACTGTCTCCAGTGTGAGTGTGTGCGTCTGTGTGCCTGGACTGGTGTTGCTTGCTGGGATAGGCTCCAGCTACTGAGAGACCCTACATTGGATGCATAAGTAAAAAAAAATGCGTATAAAGGTGTCAACTTATCAAAAAGGTATTAAACCCTTAATTGCCCAGCATTATGGTTGTTTGCTCTTCATACCATTGCTTCTGTTGCTGTTTGCTTCACAGGTTGTAGTGTCAACAAATATTGCTGAAACTTCCCTGACAATTGATGGTGTTGTGTTTGTAATTGATCCTGGATTTGCTAAGCAAAAGGTAAGTGGCCTTTCTCATATCATCTCTACAACATGTATGTTTTTTTTTAAATCCTAAGTGCAACCTTTTACATTTGACAAAGCCAGAAGCAGTACATAAGGTACTCTTGTTTCATTTGAAGAAGAAAATAATTTGAGAATTTGAGAGGATCTGATACACAGGATTATCCTCTTCTTTTTGTTTTTAAACTGGTTACAAAAACAAATCCCTCATTTGCACGAGTGTAAATCTCATTGGTTGTGTCCTGTGTCTGGTTAGGTATACAATCCTCGGATCAGAGTGGAGTCCTTGCTGGTGACGGCGATTAGCAAAGCATCTGCCCAGCAGAGAGCTGGCCGTGCTGGCAGGACGCGCCCAGGGAAGTGTTTCCGCTTGTACACCGAGAAAGCCTACAAGACTGAGATGCAGGTGAATACCATTCGGAGTCGTTTCCATATTCTTTATTACTAATGGAATTGATCAAACTGCTTAGGGACAGTTTACACAAACACATTGTGTTCTCTTAGCTCATACTTCCACCATCCGCTGGCAATGAATGATACATTTGAAACCCAGGAAAGTCCTTTGCATTACAGCTTGAGCACGAATTCTTAAGTTACTCAGTTTTATGGTGATTAAATGTTGTCTTTAACGGAAAATGATATCATTATTGTTCTTCTTAGTACACATTTGCTCTTGCTCAAGGCCTGATTAACATATCTGAACTGCAACTGAAGTGCTACAGATTCAATTAATTCCATTGAAATAGTCAAAACTATATACTAAAAAAAGCAGTGTATTTGCCTACATGTTTAATCCTTTAAGCATTTACTCTGTTTGTAATCATTTCAAAGGAAAAACGCCGCAGGTTCCTTTTTTATTGGGAATTGCTATAGTCAATAATACAGGAAAATAGGCTCATTCAAACAGATGAAGCGCAGGTAATTTTGTTTTTGTGGCCCAGTATAGTCCACCTGAATTCTCACATTGACGCCCTGTTCAGGCAGCACAGAAATTAGCCTTTTTCAGAGCCAACTTTCTGTGTGTCACAATAACCGATAAAAATAGAAGTTGAGGAAACTCATGGACCATCATCCCTGTTTGTGTTTTAAGATCTAAAAAATTAAAACACAGTTTAATCATTTTAATGTTTTTTGTTGAGGATATATCTACTGTTTCTGGTGGCAGTAACATTTTTTTGTTGGATTATTCTGTATTCTGTACTTGAACGTTTGACTGCTAAGATCTATTTTTCTACTTTAGACATGTAACAATTACACCACAACTGCAGAGAGGCACATTTGCTTCAGTATTCCCTCTGCCTTCAGTGTGAAGATACTTGCTGCAGGCACCTCAATCAGTATGATACCCCCTTAGCGTCCGCAGCAAGGCATACCTGGGGCAGTAGGGGAGAATAATTGGTGCCATGTGAGATATGATATTTGTCAAACTAAAGCACAAAGGTCCGCAAACTAAACATTATTAATAAAGCTAAGGTGTGGTTCACTACTCTGTACTCTGTCAGAATTATTACTTACCATGTTCAACAACTTCATGCCACCCAACATGTTTACTTTGAAAGGGCAAGCAGGGCAGTATTGCCCTATACTGTAGACAGAATGTATACAACTTGTTGTAAAATGCTTTGTCATCTGCAGAACATCACCCTTTTTTCTTATTAATCATGCTGCTCATAAATGTTATCCTTGGTATTCAGGTCCTAAGTACAGTAAACACCCTTTTCTATATAGTTATAGTATTTAATAATACATTTCTTTAGATTGTGTTTTGATGAGTTTCTTAAAACTGTCCAGCTCGAGAATAGGTGGCCTAAGTGCTCATGGTCAGTGATAGAAGAATGCACAAGATCTGATTATGAAAGGAAATGGTAGATCTTTTTCATGTCTAGTGGAAAAAGAAATGATAAAGTCACCCAAACAGCTCTTTAAGTGATTATAAAAAAGATTAGTAGAACTTAATTTTATTTCTCTCCTGTGACAGGATAACACATACCCTGAAATTTTAAGGTCTAACTTGGGCTCTGTTGTGCTACAACTAAAGAAACTTGGGATTGATGACTTGGTTCATTTTGACTTCATGGACCCACCAGGTAAGAAGGTTGTTTTTTGTAAAACTGAGATGCATTTTAAATATTTTTTTGAAGTTTAACATTCCTGAAGTTTCTTGTTGCAGAAGGTGTTTCATAGTTTCTCATAGTGGTACACCATCATCTTCCTCAGTGCATGGGTTAAGCACATAAAGAACAGAAATCAGAGGCGTTTTGTTAGTTACTAGTATTTGATCCGAGTATCCAGGTGATTCTTTAATAATGTCAGGGTATTGGCTTGAACAAATTGCTGGTACGGAATCAGTCAAGAGAAGCTTCCCAACCAATCTTTTTTTGTAGTGTGACCAAAATTATACACAATATTCTAAACGAGCACTTACTCTTTTAAATTTCTTGCTTTTAATTATATATCCCATTATTTTTCCTGACTTTTTATTTGTTTGTTTTTGCTGTTTAGATTTAGCAAAGGGGGGTCTTTTCTCTTCATTCTTTTTCTAATCTTTTCGTACCAGGCAGGTGTAATGGCTTAAACCAATGCTTTAAACAATGTGTTAGCACCGTCTTTCATTTTACTTGTCAAGAGACTTGGTGACTATGTGTTCATGTGGTGTTCATATAGAGCAGTGTTTTCTCATTCTTCATTGGGGGTCATTAACCTTCATGTTGATCACTCCTCTCTACATTAGTAGTTTAGTTGCTTTTTTATTCACATTCATAACTTTTTGGTTGTAGCTTTCACAGGTTTTTACAAGCTTCACCAAGGTAGAGAAATCTGTTAATTTGTTGAATTTTTGGGATTGCAATTTAACTACTATATAATCGTAGTTTTAAAGAGCGTTTTCTAAATATAACAAAATACTTTCAAAGAATTTGAAAATGTTCTGTTACCCTAGCCACTTTCACTTTTTGGGTTCAGTAATGTCGACATTTTAGTAAGGTTTGCTAACATAGTGGCTTTTTGGCTGTTTGATGATTTTCAATTTTGGGTTTCTTCTCATGTTTTGGATTAATTTCTTGTTCTGTGTTTTTTTGTGCCATTAAAGTTGTATCCAGTTTCCTCAATCCGCAGCACATCAAAACATCTGCATAATAAGTCAGATTGAGACTGAGCTTGGAACTATTTCAAGTTCAGATTGGTACTTTTAAAAACAAGTATAGACATTTCAGGGAACCTGTGCTTCCTAATTCCCATGGTATCAGTCCTCCCATTTCTCTAAACTGTGCGTTTCTGGTTTTTAGATTGAACTTTTTTCGACTACAACTCTGATTTATAGTTGCGGGTGATTCCTTGACTAATACATGTATAACAATTGCTGTTTTCTGTAAAGTGCTTGTTTTAGTCAATTTAAATTTAACCACCTTTAAATTCATGACTCAATTTTTACGTAATAGGGCTATTGTTAAAAATAAATAAATGAAACTGGACAGGCAGCCATCCACTATAGAAGATGTAACTGAGAACTAACCTTTGATATGAGGAATGAACCATTAAAAATGGAAGTTCTTGAAGAAGCCTGGATTTGAGAAATTGGAGCTGGAAATGTTTTAAAAGGAAAATGATTTTTAAGCGACTTCACTATGGAAATGGTGTAGTCTTAAAATAATCACCTTTAATTTTAGCAAGCTCTGTTATTGACTACTGAAATAAAATAAAAGACTATACTATTTCACTTCAGGCCAATGTCTTTTCAGTGTTTCTGCTACATAATTCATGTGCACCAGCATTTTCTCTGTACAGTTCTAGTGAAAGTATTAAAATGCTTTTCACTTTATTTTAGTCAGCTGTCAAGATGTAAAATAGAACAGAATGAACTGAACAGCAGTAACTAAAAATAAGTAATGTACTTGGATGTCACTGTCTTTATTTTGCTTGCAATTTCAAATCTCAAAGCAGTTTCTATTATTCAACTTATTTTTGAAAGCATAAAAGTGCACAAAGGACTTGTGTACTATTACCACACTACAAAAAATGTATTTTTTTTGGCCTGGAATCACTCCAGAGAAGAGAGACCAGATATGAGGTGTCTTGCAAACATATTCAAACCTTTGTACAGTTTTCATATTTTGTTGCTTTAAAGCTTGCAGTCCTGGTACTTTTAAGTAGTAATTAATGTTCGTCATATACACAGTTTGTGCCTTGTGTTCAGCAAAATAGAAAGAATTGATATGAAAGAAATGTAATGATATGGAAGTGTCATGATAGCTTAAGTACTCCAACACTTTAATTCCATTAAATCTCATTTAATGGTGCCAAATACCTGATTAACCTCATTTTGTATGGATGGAGCAAAATGAAATAAAAGTAAGTACATTTGTTTCAGTCTGCTAAAAACTTAAAACTGGGGTGAAAATTCACCTTTAAGAATTCACTGGAGTGGCTTAAGAATAAGAGTAAATCTCCTTGAGAGGTCCAAAGACCCGACTTGAATCCTATACAGATTCTGTGGAAAGACTTGAAAACTGCTCTCCGTAAGCAATCCCCTAACAACCTGAAGAGTGCCTGAACTAATTTACTGAGAAGAACGGGCAAAAAGTGCACCAAGCCTCTGCAAAATTTAGAGACTTAATCTAAAGGTCTTGCAGTTGTAGTTGCTGCCAGAGGTACTTCTATCAGATATTGAGTTCACAGGATTAGATACTTAACAATTAACACTACAGTTTACGCTTTATTTTGCTGACATTTACTGAAACGTATCTTATTCTGAGACATATTCAGTTTTCCAGGTTTATTCAGAAATTTCAGGCTTTGAATAAAATAGTTTTCCTTAAAATGTGTATACAATATACCTACTCCTCAGTTTCCAAGTAATCATTACATATTTTCACTATTACAAAGCTTGTGAATTTATACCCATTTTTCTATATACAGCCATTTTTGCCACAGAGTAGAATCCCCTTCGGTTCGCAAGCATCCTCTAAAAAGTACAGAATTTGTGGAGAAATGCGGAACGCATGAGAGAGTGGATTCAAGGCAGCATCTTTCAGTGTCAAAGTGCTCACATCTCTCTTGATCACATGCATGATATTAATCTTAAAATATCTTTGCTATGTCTGATATTCATGGGCCCAAAAAGGCGAAACAATGTCTTTAGGTGGTGTATCAAAATCAAAGAAAGCAAGAAAAGCAATATTCCTGATGACAAAATTGGAAATGATTAAAAGAATTGAAGACGGCCAGTGATCGAAACGCATTTGCACAGCAATGAAATTGGCTGCATCCACAATTCATACCATCGTTGCAGAAAGATGATAAAAAATGACTGAAATACGTGTTGGTGGATATAGGGTGCTTCAATTACAAAGGGCAGGAATGCAATAATGGAAAACCTTGACTCAAAACTTAGATTTTTTGTTAATTAAGATTTCACAGATAAAATTTGGTACTTATACTGTATAATGTGGTTATTAGTATACATCAAAATGTAAACTAATTCAAACCTTCTCTGTTAGAGTTTAATAGGTAATTATCAAAAAAGTTATATTCTTAATTTAATGACGGTACTATACTAATTTTATGGGGAAAATTTATTTGTATAGGGATTTTTTGGGGAATTTGGGAACAAATAAGAGGCTTTTATTTAAATACACAGTGGTGTTTAAATTTTTTATTTACAAATTTTAAGCTTATGAACAGATTTCATTGAACAAACTACGTTTGCGGGGATGTCTGTTTTATCATTTTACCTAAAGCGATTCCAAAGGGAAAGGTCTGAATATTTTAGCAAGGCACTGTATTGCTTACTTAAATTAAAATATTTTTAGTGTTGAACAGAGATGACTAGAAAGGAACCCATTTCATTTAGCTATTATTTTAAATAGCTTTGACTCGGATATCCCAGTGGTCTTCTTTTTTTAGTCTTGGAACAGTCACATTGCTTCATTTTCACTGTTGCTTGCAAGTTAATTCTTTAAAATGATACATATCACTGATTCCATGGCTTTGCTGATTTTGGGGTTCTTTGGTGCACATCTTCAACTTTGGTGATTGCCAGTTGGAGGGTATGGCTGTCACAGAGGAATCAAGCTATTCTCTGCCTGCTCTGAAGCGTTTTCACAGCTACTTTTATATTTTCACCATTATCATGGACTGCGGCCAGAACTTTGCTTACAGAAATTTCAGATCTTGCCAGGATTTCTGTCCATCCAAATTTTTCTTGATGGTACTCTGACCTAATCCAACATACCAATGGCATAAATTGGTCAGTGTAGTTTTCTTCTGTTTTTTCCTTCTTGATTTGCACCAGGATTCACATTCAGTATGTTTAAATCATCACCTGTGCCCCATCACATCTCACTAAAGTGACTGTGCTAATGCAGCAGCCAAAGTAACTTGATTATATCACTGTCATTTGTGAATTAATGACCCAAAAACCTTTAATCGTTATCAATAATCTATACTTAATTTTTCCAAAATGTGCAGTTTGTTTTGTTCTATTTGTTTTCTGTGAAAATTATCTGTAATTTCCATCTGTGGTTTGAACCTCATTGGTTTTAATTCCAATGTTTTAGAACAGTGTTAATTTTGTTACTCAGTTTTTGAAAGGTGTTTATGCATATAGTAGAGGTATTTTGAACAATTTTGTTCACTTCATTACAGAAGCAGTTTCAATGTAGAAGATCAGTATGCTTATGGTTCATACAAGGTCCTCTTTTGGGATTGTATTCATACGTCTCTACCGTAATCAGAAATCAAAGCTGGTAATTTGCATTTAACACACAATTGATCTCCAGACTTCAGTTTTACAAAGCCAAAGGTCAATAATTGCATCTAGGAAAATCTTTTAACCAAACCGCGTAATTGGTTGAATTCATTAGATGAAAAAAAATCTCTATAATTGAATTAGTGTTGTATGGTTGTGTTTTGGACCACTCAACCGATGAATGAAAAATGAGCCTCCTTAGTAAGTTAGTATTGTGTTGCAGTTCTGCTTGCTCTGGTTGGCATGAGTAATATTGTGACATTTTGTTTTTTTCAGCACCCGAAACTTTGATGAGAGCCTTGGAACTCTTGAATTATCTAGCCGCCTTGAATGATGATGGTGATCTGACAGAGTTGGGATCAATGATGGCAGAATTTCCTCTGGATCCACAGCTGGCCAAGATGGTCATTGCGAGTTGTGAATTTAATTGTTCCAATGAGATCCTCTCTATTACAGCAATGCTGTCAGGTAATGCCCGGGACAAGTTAAGGAAACAAAATGACCTAGCAAGCATTGAATTTTTCTTGCTCAACTACAGTTCCGCGGACAAAAATCTTCAGTTCTTCTAAAGCCGATTTCTCTTTTTTGTTTGGATTTAGCGGTTGGATGTGTCTTGAAGCTTTAACCAAGCATTTTAGGTTTTTCTAGATAGTGATGTGTGGAGGAAAGAACTGGTGGTGTCAGGTAATATTTGTCAAGGGGGAAAAAATGCATGCCTACACTAAATTAATGAGTTCATAGTCCTCACAGCTAGAATTTGCTGCTGCAGTAATTGCACTTTAGGCTGCCAAAACAGAATGCTGCTCATTGAGATGAAAACAGATGCCTTTGAAGGAAAGAGCAAAAATTAACTAGCTGTTTCTATGCTGGCTACATTAATAATCAAGTATGTATGAAGGCTGATTTCTACAGAGTTCATTACCAAGACAGCAGTGTAAAGAAACCATGGCATCACAGCTGCTGAACACGGTTTTCAATAAACATTGGGCTTGCCTGTTAGGTTCATGATTGAATGGAGAGAGAAAAAAAACCTAGGCAGCAAAAGCTGTAGTGTTCATGAACATCAGCTCACTTTTGTTACCCTTGTGTTACACATGCAGTCCTTCAATTATTTAGGAAAATTATTCAGAAATTTCAGGCCCAGAGCAGCTGGGCAGGGCAGAAATGTCTCTTTCCATTTCATGCAGTATTTTTGGTATGCATATACATTAATGCTGTGTTACTGATTTTTAAGCTATGGGAATGTCTTTAACTTAAGATGGTTTCATTCACATAGTGCCTTTCATAAAGTGTTTGGAAACGTTTTTTTTAAGGGTTTGCTGTGAATGTTTTTTCTTTTCGGTATGAAACGCTGCTCTCATACTCGTCTGCTCAGCCTTTTCTCCGATTGTCTTTGTATTTTCGTCTTTCATCTGTAGTGCTAGTGAAATGTTGAAATGGAACTTTAAATTGCCCCAAGCAGATAAGCTGTAGTCAAATAAGCTTTGTATTATATAGTTTTGTAAACACTCTTGTCTTCCAGATGTGGTTAGGTGTTGAGACCAAGGTAGTAGGCAGTTCAACATGCAGTTGGAGACCATGAGAAAGCCCCATCCTGCCCTGCCCTAAGCTCTGTGAACTGATCTAGCTAGGCCTTGTTCCTCTGTCTGTGATTGCGTGACTCATCGATATGGGCGTCTGTGTTGGGCCCATACCAACCTTGTTTAGTCCCACAGTGTTTTGTTCGTCCGACGGAGGCTAAGAAAGCTGCTGATGAGGCCAAGATGAGGTTTGCGCACATAGATGGAGATCATTTGACACTACTGAACGTCTACCATGCTTTCAAACAAAGTAAGTCAACGTTTTTTTATACAGCTCTTCACCTGTGTACTGCTTTCCCCTTTCAGTCTTAAAATGAGAAACTTCAGTAGTTTACAAATGTTACTACTGTAACAGCGGGACATGTTGTAGGGCAGAATAATGATGACTTCTGTCGTAATTCCACATTATATATCGTCTCTAGTCCCTTCTCAGAGATGGATTCTACTAGGTATGCAAGGGTGTTGTTGCTTGATGAAGGTGGGTTTGAATACATTTTATCAGGCACGGTGATGGGCTTCCTATCAGAAGATGAGCAAGTGAATTGACAGAATGAAAGTATCACTGGCTTAGCATGATTTCAAAAGTAGAAAACGTTGTCTAGGTGAAGAAAACTCCATTTTGAATGGCTTTTCATAATACGGATGGGAGATGAAAGATAGTGAACTTTGGGTTCTACCGAGTATTACATAAGCACTGTCATTTCTATACAGCAAAGCCTGGTTATTTGCGGGGGATAGGTAGGTAGGATTCCAAGAATGGTGAATTTGCTAATACGGAACTTTATACATTATGGGGAACATAGAGTGTGGTTCTGCGGCCTGCAAAACAAAAATTGCCATAGTTATATTTTTTACAATTGACTATTTCAGAAAGTGTTAGTAATAAATGGTAGCAGGTATTTTTAATGAATCTGAGTTCTGGAAACTTGAATTACTGTTTCCCCCCTATAAAATTCTCATTTATTACATTAATATCGGACAAGTAACCTTTTTACTTGTTCCCTTCCCTCTTAACCAACTCATTCCTGCTCTTGCGATTTATCTAAATCTCGTATTTCTATCATATCCTTTTCTGTGAGACGCAAGAGCCCCGAGACTTAACTGTGATAACTTGGGGGACCGCAGTTATTTTTTCTTTTATTTTGCAACACGACTTTGAGTTACAGACACTTCTCAGGTTATATGTCTGCACAGAATGCACATCTAATGCTTTCCTGACAGAAATAGAATAACTCAAGCATAAAGTATAACCCTTGATGCACTAATAAATAAACCTAATAAGATACGTCTTCACTACAGAGACCAATGCATATTGGGTGAAGTAGAACTGAGATGAAAATGCTGCAGAATTCGCTGCCGGGTTCCTACTGCAGAGCCCCCAAATATGTGACCTTGGTTCCCGAATGTGGAAAAAGTCATTATAATTTTGCGTCACTGGGCGGAATCGCAAATACTGAACTTGAGAATATCGAGGTTTTCCTGTAGGTTATTCTGCGATTTTCACGTGGCTTTGTAGTATGGACTTGAAAACTGTGAACTGCAAATCATGCCGTTTTGGCGTCTCGTCTTAATTTTTATTTTCTTTTATTGCATGTTTTTCCTCTTTGCAGACCATGAGTCTGTTCAGTGGTGTTACGACAACTTCATAAACTACAGATCACTGATGTCGGCTGACAATGTACGTCAGCAGCTGTCCAGAATAATGGACAGATTCAACCTGCCTCGCAGAAGCACAGAATTCACAAGTCGAGATTACTATATCAACATACGACGGGCATTGGTGACTGGCTTCTTCATGCAGGTAAATCTGAAGCATCAGTTGGGCATGTCCGCACAAAGAGCACATTTTCTTTCTTGTATTTGGCTGAACAATTTTTTGTGTGTATATATCATTTGTAAGTAAATGCTTTATTTCAGAGACATTTTTATTATTATCACTTTATTAAATCAAGCTTAAGTGCCAGTAGATGACTGATGTATGTCTTAATAGTGAAACAAAAAGGGTATGTATTAGTTCCTGGTTATGAAAGACAGTAGTTGTCTACCTTGGCTTTATACAAGGGTTATCCATTTAAATGCTAGTCTTTTAATACAGCTCACAGAGAACTCCTAAAATAGTGTTAAAATATTGAATCTTTTAATGTTAAAGTGCTTACTTGAACAGTGTGTTTTCCGAATGTGTTTTGCATTATCATCTTATACTTGCCGATTTGGGTACAAATTTGGTATAAAATCAGCAATTCCCATACAAACGTAAATACAAATGTATTTTTTCATTTACATTATAGTACAATGTAATAGCAGCCATGTCCTGTAGTATAGGTAGAACCAAAAGAAGGCAGGCTGGAGTTCATTAAGTGAATTTTCCTTCATTTTAGTTTACCTCTAAAAAACTTGTGACCTGGATTAAAGTGTGATGTTGTGTTTTAGCAACCCAGCACATTTAGATCAGTCTTTGGTTTATGTTAGCTAAAGTTACTCCTGGGACCCTGAGTGGGAGGATGGTAATGAAATATTGCAGCACTCTGGCTTTTATGAATGTATTGTACACCTGGTATTTAAAACTGTAAAAGCTGGCACTGCTTCAGCGAAAAGACCTGCATAGGTTTCATAACTTTTCTCCTGCTCTTAGAGAGGATTTGCATAGGAAGAATAATGTACGCCAATGCTGTTGTTTTTCAGTGAGTCATTTTGCATAGTGTTTAGTTTATAAAATAACATCTAACTTTTTGAAGCAGTCACAATAGACACATGTACAAAATGATCTTTTCCAAAGAATCAGTGACATTTACCAGTTGCATTATTTTGTGCCTTTTCATGATTGCTTTTTTAATTCAAATTAATTTCTCTAGTACCGTAAAAGCAAACTATAGCATACTAAAATGTGTGTAAAGTGAGTGCTTTGGCTGAAGGTTCTAGAAAGGGAAAGTACTGTGATTTTTGGTATATTAAAACCTCTAATACATCTTTCTTTGCCCTTTGCTTTACGCGTTTACTGGTAATTTGCACCTCTGAGACTGCCGCATAAGGATAACAACTTTTTATAAATGAATAAGAGGTCCCTGAATCTGTGCCTCTCTTTACTTTTTGCAAATGCAAAATGCATTAGAAATTGATGGCTACAGATTTTTAGTGGCTGCTGTGGTTTTTGATAATCTGAATCAAATAGCATAAAGTTATATACAAAGGCATGAGTCATCTGCAGGGTCTGTTGGGTTTTGATAAGTAAATGAAATTGCCTTCTGTAGAATTGGTTAAGACTGATCAATATAAGATGAATACGGAGCTGAGCACATTCTAGTTTTAGCCCAGCATTTGCTCAGATTTGCCCCGTTTTCAATTTAAATGTGGTTTCCCACCCAGCTTAAATTGCAGATGTTTACCTTACAAATTTGTCTGTTTAATGATCACTGCACTCTAATCCTTTATCTTGTTCATTTTTAAACAGGTGCAAAACTTTGTTGTTACCTTCCTAATGCTTTACATACAGTATGCATATGATAAGCACAATCAAAGGATTACTATTAAGCTCATTTTACAGATAATTCTTTTTAACACGATGGTAACTTTACTGAAATTTTTTGTCCCATCAAAATCACCTATTATTGTTTATCTTTACATTTGTTCATTTCCTTATTTAATTTATTAAATTGTTTTAATTTTATTTTTGGTTGACACTGGCAGGTGTTAACACAATAAGCCCCAATTTGTACTGGGTTAGGGTTTTTATCTTGGGGTTCTGATTTTCTGGTGCTTTTAGTTTTTAAACCCCAGTGGGTGTCTTTTTTTAAAAAAAATGTAAATCTAGGTTAACCTTTTTTTTCTATTACTGAATTGTTTGGATTGGAAAAACTTGTTTAAATTATTAAAACCAGTTTGTTAAAAACAATCATAACAGAATACAACTATCCCTTTAAAGAGTTGGGTACAAAATATATACTGGTTTTGCCACTAGTTAGCATTTTTTAAACTAACCCAAAATCTAATTATCTTAATCTTAATTATCAACCCTTTTTTAAAAATAAAATAACAGCCACCCTGTGAAATAGCTGGAGTTAGAAAGCTAAACTGTTCCCTGTTCCATTTTTTTGCATCTCCAACTTGAGAAAAAAATATTTATTTTGAGGTCAGTATTAAAAGCTTTGCAGCAGCTGGTTACTGTCTTGTATATTCTAATTAACACAGTCACTTACAAAACTTTGCATGTATGTTTTTTTTAAAGCTACACGACTGCATTCTGGAAAGTAGAAAGAAAGTATGGAATGTTTTAAGCTGTGACGACGGCTCTCTATCCAAAATGTCTTACACTCCACTACTTGTGTGGAATTAACCTCTACTTGTTCATTTTCAGCTCACATGCTGACACAGCTCCCTGCTCTAATAATTTTACTCTACAAATTAGATCAACTTTGTACAACAGGACCAACAGCATGCAGTGTAAAACATAACTCGAATGAATTTTCATGTGGTAACTTGGCAATTACAGGAATAAAATTCTGCTGTTTAAATTTGTTTTCGCAAGGAATATGAAACATCGCTGTAACTAGACCACTGATTTACAGTGCATCCAATGGCACATTCTACAGACAGAGTTTAAGTAGTTGTGAATCAGTTCTAAAATATTAAGAATAACCAAAAGGTTTAAACAATTTTATACTCTAAAAATATACCTTTAATTCTAGAAATATTTGATAAATATGCATCTTCTTATTTTTACTCACAACGTTTTAGGGATTATTTCATAAACTTCAGGTAGCACAACATTACAGCTGACCCTTCTGCTTTTTATTTTTATATAATTGGAAAAGGCTTTCAGATCAGTGTTTAAGAATATTGGCAGTTACAACTGCCTTTTCTGAAAACACTGATTTATTGAAAGAAAGTAAAGTTTCTATTAAGATCTTTCAATTAAATGGCTGGCATTTCATACATAAGCTGCACATTTGAAACTTTCCTGAAATTTGAGCTATTGAATGGAATAGTGAATATCCAGCCTAATGCCATTTTGGAGGAAGACACTTTTCTGTTTAGTGAAATAGTCTGCATTTGACTGCAAAAAAATAAATGCCCCAAGATGTGCTAAATTTAATCTCTACATGCACATTAGCAGTGACATTTGCTAAGCAGGTTGCCCCCATACTATTTGAAATTTAATTTCTTTGGCTTCCAAGAAGTGGGTTTTATTCTTAGTGCTTATTACTTAAAACTGCTTATGTTCAAAGACTGTGCAGCTGAGCACATTCATATACCTAGGAAGGTATTCTGGGATAGACTAGCCACTTCAGCCTTTTAGGGCACAAAGTAGGGTTCTGAATCAACCAAGATGTCAGCTTGATATTTGAAAAAAGTCTGTTATTGAGTTGCAGCACTGTTTGTATTATGAACAATTTCTGTGATAGTTTTAACACCCATTTTGAATATTGTAGGAAATATAGCCTTTCACAAACCGTTTCTTCTAAAAAACTTGTAGTCGGTTAACTCCAGACCATATTACTCCAACTGAAGGAATAGTAAGTAGGTGAAAATGGCAGGTGTTATTTTTAAACTTTCCTGTATACATGTCTGTATAATGCTGCTAGCTTTTTTACCTTTTAACGGAAATGTAGTTTCTTTTAAGACTTCTACCAAATATTCCAAACTTCCAAATAGAAAAGTAAGTTGTTCTTAGGGCAGATAACCAGCTTTTAAGGGTACACATTTGAAGTATCTTTGCTTTTAACAGTTAACCATGATTATTTAAGCCTTGGTCTGGCAACAGTAATTGAAAATCAGGTAAAATATTAACTGTAAAGACTTTTAGTATTATGACTTTATCAAAATGATCCCATGCTTACACCATCACACAGAACATTGATTTTACTGATTACTGTCATGCTGCACTGCAGACATTCACAAAAAAAGCAGCAGCTCTTTATTATTATAACTATAGGTAGAAAAAAACTGCTACTGTAGGTATAATACCATACATTACTGTATTGTAAATTGAATGTAGTTTATTGATACTGGAGAATTACAAACTGGAGTTATTTCTCAAGAGGTATTACTTTGAAGGCGAATGTAATTTTCCTGTAGAAAATCTATCTGCATTATAAAATAGTGATTCTGTTGTTTCGCTGCTACAGGGAATTTGATTACAATATAGAGTATGACAGGGGTCTTGAACCCTGATCTTGAAGAGCCCTAGTTCTGTAAATCTCAAGGGTCACCCTAAATGACCTGTTTCTTAAAATTGGTGATGCTTGTAAGTTATTGATCAAACATGCTGGTGATTTCTTTAAAGGAACTTTGTTCACTGAGGGCTTATTCAGATTTGTCTTCCAGATAATCTTAACTAATCCCTGGTTTAATTGACTTCATAATTTGTTCCAAATCTTAAGAAATTGATTTAATGGTTACCCCATAACCTGCTGGACAGGGGCCCTCCAGTGCCAGTAATATCTGTGGTGCCATGCACATTTTTTACCATCCTTCAAAGAAGGTTTCTGATTGTTCAGGTTCTTTAGGTAAATTGTTACAACTTTATTCTGCTACCATGACATTTATATGCTTCAAGTGTGAATAAGACATTAATGTTGAGCTTCTGAATAAAGTAACAAGTACTGTTTTTTTTTTGTAGAGGAAAAATAAATTTGCAGCAGGCAATGGAAAAGATGGGGAGGAATGGTTATTGCACGAGTTATTGAACTTGTTTCTGCTCCCTTTCACTCTAATTTGAACCATTTGAAGTTTACGTGGAATGACTGGTCCCTGTTTTGTAGGTGGCACACCTGGAGAGGACAGGGCATTACCTAACAGTGAAGGACAACCAGGTGGTACAGCTTCACCCCTCTACTGTCTTGGATCACAAACCAGAGTGGGTGCTCTACAATGAGTTTGTACTCACCACGAAGAACTACATCCGTACATGCACTGATATAAAACCAGAATGGTGAGCTTTCACTTTCACTGTCATCTGCATGCACTTTCTTATACCGTTAGTTGTATTAATATCATATTATATATATATATGATCTGCAAAAAATCATAATTCCAGAAAAGGCACTGAATTGTTAATAGATTTCTATGTTCATGATTTTGTTGTTTTAATATATTTTTCTTGGTATATTTGTATGCTGCTGTAGTTTACAAACCTTGGTAACTTTCTTTTTAACTAAGCTCTCCACTTGTGTGGAACAAACGTACTTTTCAGTGTAATATGTAAGTGATATTCTTATAAATCTCTTTGTGTTGCTAAACCTTAGTAGTGTTGGGGTCGAGGTAAAAAATGTTTGGATAATCTTATTTAACTGAAGAAAAAGAGATGTCAACACTGGTTTTTCAAATTTTGAACAAATATGTTGTATTCCATTCTACCCTAACACAGAGCACCATCTTGTACGTTTAATTAATGTATTACTTGCAGAAAGAATCTGTGCTTAAACAATGTTATTTCCTCTTCTAGGTTAGTAAAAATAGCCCCCCAGTACTATGACATGGGCAACTTCCCACAGTGTGAAGCAAAACGACAGTTGGAGCGCATCATTGCCAAACTTCAAACCAAGGAATATTCCCAGTACTGAACATGGTTTGGCAGGAAAAAGACAGGCTTCAATACTATTGAATTGGATCTTCTGAGATTTACACCATAAATGTTTAACAGCCTTTGTTTGGAAAGATTTTTAATGTTTTCTTTACAGTTAAGATTATTTTTATAACTTTTATTTTTCCCTTTTTTGTTCACACAATAGCATAGTGTAAAACTTGTCATTGTTGGCATATATTAAAAATGATCGTTTTTAAAGTGAACACTGCAGACTTTCCTTTAAGGTTTTTCGACAGGAATGCAGTTACTGACCATGTTATGCATGATCATTCATGTTGATGTTGACATTCCTTTTAGAAATCGTGAACTCTTTCAGGAAATGTACTTATGTAGACAGTCCTTGTTTCTTCAGTAAAGGAGCTTTGACTTCAATAAAAAAAAATCTATTACTAACACCTTTTGCAGTTTCATAAATGTTCTGTACAAATAGCCACTGAAATCAAAGTACGTTTTGGGGGTTTATTCTGTGTTTTTTTTGGCAAGTATCTCTGTCACAACATCATTGGTACAGTGTAACCAGGAGTAACTGACAGGAGACAATAGAAGGCTTATAGAGACAAGCAGAATTCATTTTTTTAATAAGAATGGTAAGATGTTTTGAAAAGTACAAGCAATTGACTGTCCTCTTGCAGTATTTATTTATTCCTGTTCCTCTTGCGAGTGGAAGACCTCAGTAGATTGAAGGACCGCAGCCCTGTGGCAGAGCTCAGACCTTTCCATTAGCTGTGAGAACAAGGACTTGCACATTTACAGGAGGAAAAAAATCAAAATGCCTCTAATCAATTAAAGCCCAGATATTCTTAGCAGACACAAATGGGAATTCAAGAGGTAATCTGAGAGAACTGTTGTTAATTATAAATGTTTGGGAAGGCAATCAATGAAAATGCTTTCAGTGGGCAATGTTGCAGTTACATGGATGCTGATGGCAAAACGGTAAAGAAAAGCCTTACTGAAGGCTTTAATTTATGACTCATGGCAGATTTACATTAAAGTAATCTTAATGTCTAAATGTCTGCTATTTGGACTTCTGTTTCTTATGGCATGGAAATCATTGCTTTTACTAGCCTTTTGAACGGATGTCCAGATACCAGTATAACTTTTTTTTTCTTTAATTGGAATTCCTGTGCTCTTTTAATGACGGAGCCAGTGAGGGTAACGATTGCTTTGTAGGAGGTGCAGCTGTAACTTGACTATTCCTTTGTGGCTTTGTGCAACAAACTTTCGAGTCCATGGCAGGTTTGCTTTCCTTGGATTTGACAGAAACACTCGTCGTAATGTGCTCATACCTTTCCATTGCTGCAATGCATAGAAATTGCAAAATTATAGAATAAACGTTTGATGAAAAGGACAACACCAGTATCTGTGTGACAAAGATTTAGACATCTGTCATTTTTATAAGCTCATGGCAGAGAGTCCTAGTTTCATAGAGATGTAGACTAAAAGGTGTGCATTTAAGAATACTATGAGAAATGATTTACCAATGGTGCCTGAGGCAGTCATGTACCCAGGAGGCCACATATCTAATTTAAGTAGTATAGTACTCCTTTTTGAAGGTATACAGATTGGTATTGATCGTGCATGGCATGTCATATTTATATTGTAGCATTAATTCATAGAAGGTCTTTGAAGAAGTTCTTTTCACTGAGCTCTTGGCTGTTTGTATTGAGTTGCTTTGACGTTATCACAGAACTGTAAAATTGCTGTTCAGCATTTAGTCTTTATAAAACACATTGCAGTACTATAATCTGCAGTAGTTTTTCCATAATTGACTTTCAGGGTGCCACCGTCTTAAAGTTTTTAATGAACAGTTATTGTGTAGTCATTGAAAATGATGTGTTTTCTTAAAGGAATGTCCTTTTTTATCCCCTTAGTGAAAATATAGATTTTATCAGACATTTTAAAAAAAGAAATGCTCTTACTAGCTGGAGCAATTATTTTCCCATTTCATTCATTTAAAATGCACAAATAATTTTCCCCAAATTTCCTAAACCCTAGTGCACCACAGCTAATGCTGTCTTAAAATTCACTTTGCTGTGCTGCCCAAGGGTTTTTGTTCTATCAGCATCTTAATCCATTTGTTATAGATGAAAACTGAATCCGTTTTTACCCATGGCATTCTCTAGCAGTTCAAGTATTTGCCAAGGACATAAAGCCAGAAAGGACCACTAAATGTGTTGAAATGCCAGAAGTGATGATGAGGGAACTTAAAAAGCAGTCTTAAGTAAGCACTTGCCCTTTGAAATTTGAAACGCATGTTCCTGTGGAATGGTTTAGAAGAGTCTTTAACACCTATTTAAGTGATCTACTCCTGGTCCTTCCAGGCTTGTATTGGAGGGCACTTGCATGATGTGTAAATAGATTAAAATGTTTATTTTACTTTTTGTTTAAGTTAAGGTGTGTTAAGGCTTCTGAATTTGTTAGTGGAAAGTTGAAGGATTAAGTTTAACCGTGAAATTAGGTTTACAAGATTAGACTCATCAATTAGTCCTATAGAAAATACATTAGTTTTAGTTCATTGGAAATTGTTCTTCATTGATCTTGAAAGTTTTTGCTCATTGATTTGCTTAGGCATCATTATAGTAAATCATTAGAATTGCAGAAATTTTAAAAATATTTTGTTGACTTCAAAGTTTAAATGCTTATGGTGTACTTTTTTTTTAGGTGGACAAGATCTAGGCAATCTTGATTCATAACTTGAGCTTTTTAATTAAATGTGGGTATGTAATTCAGAATCCATCAACCTTCAATATTGTTGCATGTTAAAACAAACAGCTTTGCACCATCCATTCATTTTCTAACCACTTCATCAAATTAATTATCCCAGTGGAGCCAGAGGCTATCATGCATGCAATGAGCGCAAGAGAGGATATACCCTGGACTGGACGCCAATCCATTGCAGTGCATACATGCATAAAAACCTGCACACACTCACACCAAGGGAAGTTTTCCCAGAAGCCAATTAGCCTACCTCTTTGTCTTTGGACTGTGGGAGGACACTGGATTATCCAATGAAAATGCACACTAACATGGGGAGAACATACAAACTCCACGCAAATCTCACCCCAGGTCTGGAATTGAACCCAGGGCCCCAGTGCTCTAAGACAGCAATGTTAACTAATACATTACTGTCTCACCTGCTTTGATCTTTTTTTTTAATTCTTAAAAACTAACTTCTACATTCATTCAATGTTCACAAAAAGTGCATTATCCAAGTATGTAACGTCTTTGAGAAGAGTGGGTAAAAGCTGACCTTTCCAGCCTTACGTTTTGGTCTTGATATTTTTCACGTCATTCCATTTCGGTAAAATTGAATGTGCTGAATATCATGCCCTACGTTTTTTTTAAACAGATTTTCACATAATATACTTGCTGTATCGCAGAGAAAACCATATCCATTTATGGAAAATGGAATAGCATAGTTACTGTAACATGAGCATGTATATCAAAGTCTTGAAAGGTAATTTTATTTCTTTCCTTTTATTTTTGAAGTTTTTACAGTTTGGAAGGTTATAGTGAAGTCCTGTAATATGATTAAAGGGGTCCTGTAGACCTAAGTAATGTGCATGCTTATTTTATGCTTTTTAGAGTCTGTATTTGTTGCTGGAAAACCAATGCCATGTCTTAAGTTGATTTATGTTCTCAATACAGATGCACAGTGAAAACACAATAGTTCTTGTTTTGATTCAGTAGCATATTGGGCACATAATTGTATTGGCATTTTAAATAGTGGATAGGTTTGTTGATTGAATAGTATTTGCTTGATAGCAAAGTGCTGAGCTGAAGATTTGGTAAAAACATACTCGGTTTTCAATATTTGAGTTGTTAAAATTGTCAGAACGAGATGATTAACAATCTGTGTAAACTGTCATACAAAAAAGACATTTTCATTACAGAGAGCTGGATCTGTTTCCCTCTTGAGTAAAAACAATCGACTTGATTGAAGGTGGCTTATCTGGATGTTGCCTCAGGAATTAAATCTGCCTCAACAATCCAGCTCAAAGTAAAAGGACATGTCTTAGAAAACAAGAGAATCAAGACACCAGTCAGACTAAAATACCTGTCTGATGCTTCTCCATAATCGTTTTCAAACTGCAGTGGCTACACAGTCCTGAGACATTCCATGTAACCTGTGCATAAGCACCATGGCTAGCTCCGTGTTTGAAAATATTCTAAATGCTTGAAGGCTGTGGTCTGCCGAGTCAAAATTGCCATTTGCTGAGGTAGTGGTAGGGATTGTGGAATGTTAAATTCACAGATGAGTGCAGTTGTGACATGCAAAAACATCAGGTTGAGCGTTATGCTGACTAGCATTGTTCAAGCAAATCAGTGAGGTTATCTAAGGAGGCAATCTCCCTTAAAATGACTACATCTTTCATGCATATTGAGGGCAGCATTACTGCTCAGTCATACATTGAAGTCCTTGAGCCAACAGTTTTTCCTGCTCCTTCAAGCCAATCCAGAAATTTCAATTTGAATGCAGAACAATGCAAGACACAGAGTGTTAGGGTTACAATGACGTTGCTTAATGAAAATCGTCTTGTCATTGTCGACTAATAATAATCCAACACTTATGTAGTGCTTTTCTAGATGCTGCACCCAAAGAGCTTTGCAGGTAATGGGGATTCCCTTCCGCCACCAATGTGCAGTCCCACCTGGTTGATGCACAAGCAGCCAAAGTGCACATGTATGCTCTCCACACATCAGCTATCAGTGGGGAGGAGAATAGAGTAAAGAAGCCAGTTCATACATGGGGAGTATTAAAAGGCTATTCTTGGTAATGGCCAGGGGAAATTTGGCTAGGACACTGGGGTTCACACCCTTACTCTTTTTTGGGGTATTGGGACCTACACAATCTGTCGGGTGAGTACTCCCAACTGATCCCACTAAAATCTCTTCCAGCAGCAGCCTTTGCTTTCCCATGAGGTCCTGCATCCAGGTACTGACCAGGTTCACAACTGCTTTGCTTCATTGAGTCACAGATCTCCAACAGCTGGTACTGTTTCATGACCGCATATGCCTACAGGAGCTGGGGACAACCTTGTAGACCCAAAGAGTCCTTTGGCCAGTTAATCACATGCTATCTTTGGTCTCACTTGGCTATAGTACTTTTAGTATTAATTTAACACTTACAGTTAGAAATATAAGACCATCATTCCTGTACACGTGTAGATGAAGGTACACTACAAATTTGATTCTCTTGTTGCAGATTGGTTCTACCCATTGATCACCACGACCTAAGCGATACTGTGGTTCTGTTATGGAAGTATGACGTGACCTTACAGGTGATCTGATCTCATCACACACCTTTGCACCATGCAGACGTTTAAATGCAGACGTTCAATAAATCAACGTATGCATAATTTAAGTGTGGTAGTTTTGGCTACATGTTCAGCAG